TCCGTGGCTGAGCGACAGTCGACCTAGGAACCAGGAGGTCAGGGCTCTATTCCCGTCAGGGCCCAGGCCCGGGTTGCGGCTCGATCCCCAGTGTGGGGCGTGCAGGAGGCAGCTGATCAATGATTCTCTCTCATCATTGATGTTTCTATCTCTCCCCCTCCCCCTTCCTCTCTGAGATCAATATATATATACATACACACACATATACACACACAAAATATACACACACATATACACACACACAAAATATACACACACAAAATATACACACACATACATACACACACATATACACACACACAAAATATACATATACACATACATTTATGTATATAAAAAGGGGGGAAGAGCCCCAGGTGTGTGAGGGACCCACCGGGTGTGTAGCCCCGGGACACAAATCAGAGTAGCACGTGACGTGTCCTGCGTGGGGTTGTGGGGCAGAAGCTGAGGTCTCAGGCCACTGGCTCCCCACCCATCCGGCCGCTGGCCCCTCCTGGGCCCATTGCTAGAGACCGAACTCTATGTCCCCAAGTCCAGGGGTCGGAGCCCTAAGCCCAACGCGATGGCGCCAGGAGGTGGGGCCTCCGGGGCGGTCAGGTTCAGGTTCAGGTTGGGGTGCGGGGGGGGGGGTGCGGGGGGCTGGAGGGGGGCGTGATGGGACGAGGGCCCCTGAGCGGAGGCCCCAGAGCGCTGGCCACGAGGACGGGGAGGCTGCCGGCCCCGCAGCCGGAGGAGGGACCCACCAGCGACCGGGCAGCGCCCCCACCTGCGGCTCCAGCGCCGGGCGGGAGGACGGGCTGCCGAGCCCCGACTGGCGTCTCCTCATGGCCGCAGCGGACTGCGCCGCCGGCCCCCCCAGAACGGCCTCCCCGCGGCCTGGCTTCCGGGTCCAGCCCTGGAGACGCCCCGGGTCCGGCAGGACCGGCTCGGGGAGGCGTGGCGGGTGCCCGGGGGCCCGCGGATGACAGCCCGCGGGTCCGAGCGGGGGCGCCTCGGCTGCTGGTCCAGAGCAGGGCCCCCCTGCCCACACCGCCCACCGCGCGGCGGTGCCGGCTCCGGCCCCGGGCCCGTCCGGGTGGACCTGCCCCGCGGGCGCCCGCAGGGCTGACGGGACCGAGCCGGGCGCCCTCGTCACCTGGCGCGGGGCGCAGCACCGAGCGCGGCCGGGAGGCAGGGCGCCCGGGGCCGTCCCTCCGGGGTCGCGCGGGCCGGGGCCACCTGCGCCCCGCGGTGCCGAGCGCCCGTCCGGACCCCGGGGCGGCCCAGGCGCCCGGACGCCCCGCGGGTGGACAGAGACGGGAACTTCATGGCCCGTGAGTTACAGCTCGACGGGCAGCTTCCCGGACGCCGGGGCCGGGCTGTCACCGGCTCCTCGGGCTCCCCCGCCATATGGCAGCCCGCTCCGCCCGCGCCAGGCCGCCGCCGGGAGGCGCGGGGACCCGCGAGACCCCGTCCCCGCAGCCCGGACCCCCGCCCCTCCCGGGCCGCGCCGCCCGGGCCCCAGACCCCCGCCCCGGCCCGCGCCCGCCCCCGGCCCGCGCGACGTACCGGGGCGCGCAGCGCTCCTCAGCCGGCCTCCATGCGGCTCGTCGCCCCACCGGACGGGGCGGGCCGGGGCCGCGGGGCGGGGCGGCCGGACAGGCCGGCGGCCGGGCCCCGAGCGCGCGGCATGCCGGGAAGCGCAGTTCCTCACGCCGCCAGCTCGCCTCCGCGGCGCACCAGCGAACTACACTTCCCAGGGAGCCGCGCGCGGGCGCCCGCGGACTACAATTCCCAGAAAGCCGCGTGCGGGAAAGCGTCGCTCCGCCCCGGAGACCGGGTCTCAGGACACAGGCGGCGGCCACGTTGACGAGAGTTCGAGTCCCCGGCCCCCCGCCCGGACGGGAAGGCCCTGCGAAGCCCTTAATTCTCTGGTGGCAGCTCCCAGTCTGTCGAGTGGGGATGATGTTCGTACAGCGTCCACAGGTGGCTTTGCGAAATGGTACAGACGCAAGGGGCGGCCCAGAGCGCGATGCGAAGAGCAGAGAACGCGGCTGTGCAGCGCCCCCACCGGGAGCCGGTCTCCAGGCGCGCGGCCGGCTGCGCGGAGAGAGGACGCCGAGACTGGCCTGGCCATCCCTCGGCATGAAGTCCCCGGACCGCAGCCCTGGAGGGCCCTCGGCCCACGGCCAGCGGAGGGGCCCTGTCGCCCTCTGACCCCGGCGGCCTCCGGGTCCTCCCGCCCCGGCCCTCCCTCGGCCCCGCCCCTCTCCGGTGGAACGCCCGGTTGCGGGGACGCGGCGCTGCACAGCTGGTGGGTGCGGTGAGGGCTCCCTGCGGGCGGCGCGCCGGGACCGCCCAGACCGCTCCCCGGAAGCTCATGCCCCGCGCTCGCGGCCCCGGTGCCCGCTGACTCGGACGCGAGGGGCTCCCTGTAGGAAAGGGCGGAGGGAGCGTCTGCCTCTGCGTCTGGGACCAGCCGCTCTGGGCCAGAGGCCGCCCGCCGCCGCCGGAGCCAGAGGACCCTGCCAGGCCCGGAGGGCGGGGCGGCCCAGCCCACCAGCAGGAACTGGGGGCGGGGGGCGGGGGCCCTCGGGCTCCAGGAAGGCCGCCCAGGCTCCGGGAGCGGCCCCAGGCTCCAGGCCGGATCTGCGGTGCCCCTGCGCGGGATGGCGCGGGAGAGTCCTCCAGGCCAGCGGGCTGGGCTCTCTGCCCGCCAGGCGCCCCCGCCTCCCTCCTCCAGCTTCCTGGTCCCGGGGCCCGGCTGGCCTCGGGGCTGCCTCTTCTCCTCGGACAGGCATGTCCGGTCCAGCCCCTCTGTCCGGTTCTCCGCACTGGCTCCGAGAGCCCGCACAGGTCATGGCACGGGAGGAGCGGTGTTTACCAGGCGGTGCCCGGGCCCACTCTGGGGCATCGCCCGGGGCCTGGAGCAGGCTGAGGGGCCTGCCCACGCTGGGCTGGCGTGGCGGGCAGAGGCCTGGCCGAAGGAGGGGCTGCCAGTTTCCCCCCAGCCTCTCCTCTTCCCCCACTCGCCCTGCTGGGAGCTGGAGGACGGAGGGGAGGCGAGGGGAGGAGATGGGCAGGCGGCTTCCCTGATGCCTCCCTGCCCTGCGGGGGCAGAGTCCCACCCCCCTTCCCGCCCTTCCGCCCCCGCTGGGAGTGCCTGCCTCTGCGTGACAGTGACTCAGCAGATGGCACCGCACACCAGGGACAGGTGGGGCAGCCTGCAGGCTGCAGAGGCCTCGGGGAGTCCACGGAAGGTGTCCCCAAGCCCCGCCCGGACCCGTGTGCGCGCGTGTCCTACAGCAGCGGCCCCGTGTGCTCACTGGCAGGGGACGTGCAGATGGACGGCCGCCGTGCTCAGGTGGCGCACACCCTGCAGGACTTGGGGCCGTCTCCATGCTGAGTGGAGTCACCCTGGTGGGCAGGACGAGCAGGAGGCCGCAGGGGGGCAAGGCCGGCCGGGCAGGGCCCAGCTGGGCTCCGCATGCATGGGGTGGGGATGGCGAGGGTCACAGAAGTCAAGCTGGACCCCAGGCCCAATCGAGAAGAGGCAGGAGGCCGCGGCAATGCTGACACCTGAGGCCTGCATGGCCTGGGTTCCCTGGTGGGTCCCCTAGGCCTCCATCGTCTCCATGGAGCCGGGTGCCAGTGTGGGACCCGGAGGGGTGCTGCCCGGGGGCCACGGGCCAGCCTGCTTCCGTCCTGTGGGCACACGATCCCTTCCCACGGCGTGGGGAGAGGCCGAGTGCCAACCCGAGGGGCAGCGGCCGCACGGCCTGGGAAGCTGGGCCGGGGAGAGCGTCCTGGCTCACGCGAGGGGAGTGCTCTCTGGGGACAGGTGTTCATTCCCTGATGCTCTGGCCCATGGAGCCTCGGACGCGACTGCCCCTCCCAGGCTGGCCGGTTCCGACACAGTCGACAATTTCCAGTGCAAACCAGCAGGTCCAGGGCCCGCCCGCCCGCCCCTCCTCTGTGGGGCCACCTCCCACCTGCCCTCATCACCCGGGGCCAGGTCCCCGACAGCCAGGGGCAGCCCTGTCCCGGGGCCCCGACACTTCACACAGCCCGTCCTAGGCCTGCTCCCTGCCCGTTCCTCCCTGAGAGACGACAGCAAGGGCTCTTGTGCCCCCGCCCCCGCCCGGTGTGGCCCCCCCTCCTGGAGACTGTGAGCACAAACTGTCATCGCAATGGCCACTGTCCCCTGTCCTGCCTCCCCACACCTGAACAACAGCAAACCTACATGTCAAACACCTGGTGGGCTGCAGCCTATCCACGTTCCTGTACAGTCTGACTCCCGGGAAGGGCAGTTGCCCAGCTCCCAGATGCTGGGTGGGTGCAGAGGGCGCTCCAGGCCAGGCAGTCAGGTCTGCCCACGCCGGGCTCTCTGCAGAGTGCTCCCTGCGATTCCAGGCCTTCACCTGCCTGCTCTGCCCCTGCAGGTCTCTGGCCCACTGCCCCAGCCACCTGCCTGCACGAAGTGTCCCTTCAGACCCAGAGGGTCACGTGCCGTGGCCTGCAAGGCGTGTGGTCCCGTGGAACACCCACAGGGCCAGCTTCATCCCCGCCCAAGTCCTAGGCCTGGTGACAAGACCCTGCCCTGGACCCCTATGGTATTAGCAGCACCTCAAGGCCAGAGCCTCCTCCGGGAGCCTTCCTGGGTCCTGGCAGCAGCCCCTGCTCTGCCGAGTGTACCCAGCAGCCCATCCCCCAGCACCTGACGGAGGAGATGGCTGCCTCTGGGCGCGCGTCGTGTCTCTGCTGAGCCTGTGTGTCCTGGAGGGCTCACCTGGTCCCGGCGCCTACGGTGCAGTTAGCAAGAGGCCACGGCGTGTCAGCCACAGTGACGACCAGGTGTCTGCCTCGCTATGGGTCCGCAGCTTCCCCAGGATGGCCTGGAAGGCAGGGGGGCGCCTCCCGGGGCCTGTAATGTGGGGGTCCGGGATCGACATGCAGTGGGGACCCAGGAGGCCTTGGCCAGAGCACAGGCCCCCAGCGTGGACCACGCGGGACGCAGGCGGTATCAGAATAGTATTTATTGATATGCTCAGTGCTACCTTGTGAATGCGTCACGTTGTTGCCGTGGCTGAGGTAATAGGGGCAGACCCGCCACGCCGCCCGGCTCCCCGGGAAGCAGCGTGGGCCCGGGGCGGGGCTGGGCCCGGGTGGGGACGTGGTTATTGCGTTGGACTCCTTTCCTTGCTCACGCCCCGGCGCCCATGCCTGGTCTCACACGTGCACGCTCACCTGGGCCCGCTCACACACACTTGCTTACACGCTGGTGCCCACTCACGCATGCTCTGCACGCTCACCCACGTGTCTACTTGCACACAGGCGCCCTGCCCCTCTGGCCACACACACCCACACGCCCACACACACATCCTTTGTTTTAAATGCACCCTAAGTCTCCTGACAAGAGAGATACTTGTGGGTTACAGTAACCATAGTGAAGTACAGGTAGTCGGGGTACAAGGAGAAAGTGCATGTTGACCTTTGACCTGAGGGCTTCCGGCCCTGCCCGGGCAAGCCAGGAGCACAGCGTGGCTCAGCGGCTGTGCGTCCCAGGCCCGCGGTGCCCCTGCCCCCAGCTTCCTTCTACACCTCGGACCCACGTGTCCCCCACAGAGCACCCCTCATGGCCAGCATCCTGGGCCCAAGACAAACTAAGAAAATAAACTCTTCTCACGGCGAGCGCCTGGTGCAGGGAGGGGGCTCATGGCCAGCCCCTGGCCCAGCCAGCACCCCAACAATGCCACAGAGGGGGAGGGACAGGTGCTGAGCCCGAGGCATGCGGGTGGGAGGCTGGGGTGGGCAGTGCTGGGGGCGGCGGTGTACCCTGGTCATGCGGAGGGGTCCCCCGGGGGGGCCCTGGCAGCCATGCGCCCTCAGAACTCCACGGTACTCACTACGGTCCTTGGCTCATCGAAGGTGGCGATGAGGATCTGCTGGGGTGGGGGGATGGCGATGAGGCTCCCCATGTCTGGGGGTGCCCGGGGCCCCCCGTCCTCCTCCTCCTGGGCCTCATACAGCGTGCCGATGTGCAGCAGCGGGTGGGTGGCGTTGCGGCTCAGGATGGCGAGGGGGTCGGGCTTGCCCAGGCCGGCGGGTGACAGAGGGGCCGTGGCGGGGGCGGCGGGGGGCGAGCAGACATGGAAGGTGCTGCCGGAGGGGAGCACAGCCCGGGCCGGCTCTGCTGGGTACAGGATGTCCTCCTCAGCTAGCGGAGCGTCTGGAACACAGAGGACACGGCGCGTCACCCCCGCAGGCCCATCCTTCCGCCATTCGACCCCTCCCCACCCCCTGAAGCCGCTGGGGCTCATGGCTCCGAAACGTCCTGGGAGGGTTGACCTCTCCCTCAGCCGCCAGAGCCTGCGGGGTCCAGGCCAGACCCCCTGTTTTTTTGTTTTTTTTTAAATATGCCTTTATTAAGTTTTTAGAGAAAGGAAGGGAGAGGAATAGAGAGAAACATCGATGATGAGAGAGAAACATCATCGACCGGCTGCCTCCTGCAGGCCCCACACTCGGGATGGAGCCCACAACCTGGGCATGTGCCCTGACTGGGAACCTAACGGGAGGCGACTTGGTTCCTGGGCCAATGCTCAGCCGCTGAGCCACACCTGCCGGGCGGGGGGCGGGCCCTCAGCACACAGCGGCCTCCCAGCACCTTCTCCAGGGCCTGAGCAACCTCCCTGTCCCGCCCTCCAGCCCTGGGCCCAGCCTCCTCCTGTCCCCCTCACAGGACTCGCCCCTGCAGAGCCACCCGCGCCCGCTCAGCCTCACCTCTCACCCCCAGCAGGGTCACTCCTCCGCCTTTCACAGGGTTCCCAGGTGCTGGGGCTGGGGAGGGCGGGCGCGGGTCCTCCCTTCTCTGGACCCCATGCAGCCCTGCCCCCTCCGGCCCTCCGGGCCGCCTACCTTTGGCGGGGGCCGCGGCCAGGCCCAGCCCGCACTCCTCTGCCTGGGACAGGAAGCCCCCTTCCTGGCTGCGGGAGACGGGCAGGGCGGCGGGCGAGGCCTCGGGCTTGGCCTTCTTGGCGCCCAGGATGTAGGGGTGCACGTCCAGGGAGAGGTGGCGGGCCGGCTTCTTGTCGGGGCCGGGCGGGGGGCCGGGGGCGGGGCCGGCGTCGCCGCCGCCCTTGTAGTGGTGCGCGGCGCGCGCCCCCGCGTCCAGCAGCGGCGCGATGAGCGTGTCGGTGGCCGTCTTGCGGCGCAGGGGCTTGGGCTTGTCGGCCTTGCTGTTCTCCACGCGCATGATGGCCAGCGGCTCCTTGAAGGGCTGCGGCAGCGGGTTGCTGCTCGGGATCCACTTCATCTTCTTGCGGGGCCGCTTGACCACGGGCGGCTCGGCGGCGCCGTCGGGCTGCGCGGGGTCGGCGCTCGGGTCCACGGTCTGCGCGCCCGCGTCGCGCACGGCGGGGGAGGCGTCGTGGTTGGACTGCGCCAGCGCGGCCAGCAGCTGCCGCACCACGTTGTCGTACATGAGGTCGCTCTCGTTGGTGATGAAGTCCAGGCGGTTGAGCGACTTGATGTGGTCGCGGTTCTCGTTGCAGAACATGGCGAGGATGTTGATGTCGCAGAACTGCGAGCCGTGCCACTGGCGGCGCGTCTTGATGCCCACCTTGTGCAGCTTGTCGAAGATGAAGTTGCTCTTGCGGAAGATGAAGAGGTGGATGAGGTTGACGAGGATGATGAGGTTCATGGCGCAGAGCAGCACGATGTCCACGCCCGCCACGATGCGCTGCAGCTGCACGGACGGCAGCTTGCAGCTCACGCGCACCGCCGCGCCCGCCGCCCCGTCCGGGGCCGCGCCCAGCGCGCAGGTGAACTCGTTCTGCTTCTGGGTGGCGTAGTAGGTGCACAGGTAGGAGATGGGCGCCACGCTGAGCAGCAGGATGAGCAGGTGGCGCGCCAGGTAGAGCTTGGCCAGGAAGTTGCTGCGCCCCCGCCGCTCCAGGTACTTCTCGAACAGGTTCTGCTCGGGGCTCTTGTCCTTCTCCGCGTTCTCGATGATCTCGCGCTTCTCGCGCTCCGTGATGCCCGGCCCCTTGGACTGGATCTGCTTCTCGATCTTGGGGGCGCGGCCCTCCGCCGCGCGGTGGTAGCAGTTGTCGATCTCCTGCAGCAAGAAGTTGAGCTCGGAGGTGAGGCGGGTGGAGGCCAGGAACTCCCAGCCCAGCGCGGGCACATACATGATGGCTGCGAAGGCCAGCAGCGAGTAGGGCAGCAGCTTGTGCTCGAACAGCGACGGCCACAGGCTGGCGTCCACGCCGGGCAGCGCGTCCCGCAGCTCCGTCCAGCAGTAGCCGCGGGCGTACAGCGCCTGGTCGCGGGTGAAGTTGTGTGGGGTGTAGCAGTAAATGGGTTCCTCTGGGGGGAGAGGAGAGGGGGCTGGGGCGCCAGACCCTCCCCGGCCACCGCCTGCCCACACCCGGGCCTGTAGAGGCTGCTGCTCTTCAAACACTCCCCTCCCTCATGTCCCAACCGTGGGGCAGGGTCACACCGGGCACCCCCCCACCCCCCAGCAGTGGGCTGCCCCTTCCATTAGGTTACGGCTGTGCCCACTGCACCTGGGACCAGCCTGCACTGCCAGCAGGCCCTCCTCCCAAGGCCACCCACCGGGCTCTGTGGGCAAAGGGGAAACCAGTCCCTGAGAGGAGCCGGGCAGGCCATGCCCCCGAGCCAGGGCCGCCTTCCAGCTGGACCAGCCCGGGCCTGGCCCCGGCCCAGCTGCCCCTGGCCTTCCCCTGAGGACAGTGGCCCTGGGTTCCCCTGGAAACCCCACAGCTGCGTGGCAAGGCCACATGCAGCATCGGAAAGTCCTTACCACGGAGAGGAGAGCCGGTGCTGGGTGCAGCCTGGGGGAGGAGCAAGCTGCACCTGCGTCTGCGCAGTCCCACGCTGCTGTGCCCGACGCTCCGGCCCCCGGCCCCTCCCGACCCTCCGACCCTCCGAGTCCGTCCGGGTCCGGGTCCCACCCGGCCCACACCCCCCAGTGCCGCCCGCAGGGGAGCTGAGATGCTCCTGCGCTGGTGGCTCCTGCCAGCAGCGCCTGCCCTCCGGGCCCCGCGCCCCCAGCTCTATGGAGCCGCTCTTCTGGCCGGCGAGACCCTAACCCAGCCACCCCCAGACCTGGCCCATGGCCCCCACCTCCTCCTCTCGGCCCTCTCACCCCAGGGGAGGTCCAGACCCCGCCCAGACCCCACACCCGACAGGCCTCTGTGTGGGGCGCTGCAGCTGGCTCCCCAGAACCTGCGATTAGGTTCCTTCACAGACTGCCCGTGGGTGAGGTCAGGGCTCTCAGTGGGGCGATGGGCCTGGGTGACCGGGTGGCCCGGTGTGATCACAGGGACCCTTTAAGGGAGGCAGGAGCATCAGAGTCAGAGAGAGGTGTAAGGGCCGGCCAGTGGCTCAGTGGTTGAGCGTCGACTTATGAACCAGGAGGTTACGGTTCGATTCCTGGTCAGGGCACAGGCCTGGGTTGCGGGCTCCATCCCCAGTAGGGGGTGTGCAGGAGGCAGCTGATCCATAATTCTCATCACTGATGTTTCTCTCTCTCTCCCCCTTCCTCTCTGAAATCAATAAATATTATAAAGAAATAAAAAGGTGTAAGGAAGGAAACAGAGGGCGGGCCAGGGCGAGAGACCCAGGGATGCGGGGGCCTCGGAGCTGGAGAAGCCCAGGGAGGTGGCCCTGCTGACACCTTGGTTCCAGCCCATAGGACACATTTCAGGCTTCTGAGCTGCAGAACTGTGAGTCCATTTGCGTTATTTTTAGCCACTAAGTCTGTGCTGTAGGCGGAGGCTGGCCGCCCCCTCCCAGACCCTCTCTGGAGCCTCCCCCAGGGACCTGAACAAACATGCTCCCAGGGCGCTGGCCCCCATGGGAGGGAGGGGCCTCAGAACTGGCTGGGCTGGGGCCTCACTCCTCACAGGCCCAGCCTGGGGGTCGGGTGGGGGTGTGTGAGATGCTTGCCTCCTGTCCTTTCTGGAAAGGGAAGCAGAGGCCGAGCCGGGACACGCGGCCTTGGGGACACGCGGCCTTGGGGACACCGTCGGCTGTGGCCGGAGAGGTGCACTGACTATGCTGGAACCTCATCAGGTGGCTGTTTTAGGAGTTGCTGGTCCCCTGTCCAAGGACCCTGGTAACCCTTGAACTCAGTCTCTGCCCTGTCCTGGCCACACACCCATCTGACCCCTCCATCCACTGAGGGGTGGTCCATGTGGTGGGGGTCACTCACAGCAGCTCTGACCAGGGGCGAGGGGGGTCTTTTGCCATCCACCACCCTCTAAGCCCGGGCACCCGAGGGCCTGGCATTTGGGCAGCTCCCAGAAGGGAGGCCAGCCGTTTCTGGTCGGCCCCTCCACCCACCAGCAGGGCCCAGGTGGGTGCACCATCTCCCCGTGCAAATACAGTCGGCTCCACGGCAGGCCCGGCTGGACCAGGATGCCCAGGAAGACGCCCGCAGCCCAGGCCCGGCTGGACGCGGAGGGTGCCCAGGCCCTGCCTGGCTGAGCTGGCCTCAGTCCTGAGCCTCCCCTCTGTGTGCACCGTACTGGGAACTGTCTCCCAAAAGGCAGTCCAGTCTCACTCCCCGCTATCTGTGAACCTGACCTCACTTGGGAATAGGGTTTCTGCAGATGCAATAAAGCTAAGACGGGGCCACACTGGAGTGGACGCCAGCCCAGTGGCTGGTGACTTCATAAGACAGGAGGTTTGGATACAGACACGCAGAGAGAAGGCCCCAGGAGAAGAGGAGGCAGAAACTGGGCAATTCAGCCTCGGTGAAGCCAAGGACTGCCAGGCCCCCAGAGCGGGAGGAAAGCAGGGGCCCCTCGCTGGAGCTCTGGGAGCCCGGCCCTGCCCACGCCTTGATCTTGGACCCCAGACTGTGAGAGAGTCAAGTTCTGGTTCTGAGCACCAAGTTTGTGCTAATTTGTTCAGCAGCCCAGGAACCGAGTCCGCCTGCCCACCCTGAGGGACGCCCCGGAGTGGGCAGCACCCACACCGGACTCAGCAGCTGTGGGCTTGTCCTGGCCCTGGGAGTCTCAGTGTCTGGACCCTGGGGTGCCCCCCGCCCTGGGGGGCATTAGGCACCGTGGACAATGGGTGTCCCCTAAAAGGCGAGGCCTTTGGGAAAGTGGATGCAGAGTGCAGGGACGTTGCCAATGTCACTCGGGGGACAGAGCTGCACATCCCTCCTAGAGGAGCCCCAATCCCTTCTCCACGGACAGGCACCCCGGCCCTCAGACACGGCATTGGGGCTGGGAGGGTCCTCTCACCGTCACCTGGGCCTGAAACCCTTGCCAGCCAGACCCTGGGGGTGCGATTCGGGTCTCCACCCGCCCACCTCGGGGAGGCCTCATCCTGTGGCTGAGCAGAGCTGGCCTGCTCCTCGGGGGGCCCTCCCCGCAGTCAGGCCCCAGGCGCGGGCTCTGCTATTCCCATCCATCACCTGTAGCGTCTCCTGGTTCTCACCTGGCCACTCCTCCTTCCTCAGACCCTGCCCACTCCCCTCCTGGGCGCCCCTTCCCAGCCAGACCCCTCTCATCTGTGCCCCGACGTCGAGGTCCAGGATGGGGTCCATCCCGGGTTCCAGGTGAGCGAATGGGAGGTGAAAACCATGCCTGGTGACCGGCAGCACAGCAAGGATGGTGGTGTTGAGGGGCTGCTGGAGGCCGGGCTCGGCTCTGCGCGAGGGTGGCGGGCAGCACGGGCACCGGCAGCCCCCCCCCACCCCCCCCCCGACCCCCTCCCGCCCCGCGCCGCGCCCCCGCCCCCGCTCCGCGCCCCCGCCGGCCTCACCTGCGAAGTTCTTGGTGAAGACCAGGGTGACCAGCAGGATGGGGACGAGCACGGTGCCGATGGTGACCACGCGGTCGAACGGCAGCTCCAGCTTCAGCTGCAGCAGCAGCGCGGCCAGCGCGCCCGCCTTGTCGTCCTGCGCGCCCGGCAGGATGAGCTCGCGCAGCTTCTCGCCCGCCAGCAGCGCCGTCGCCATGTCCGCCGGCTGCTCCAGGAGGTGGTGCATGGGGGGCGCGCGCGGGCGGGGGGCGCGGGGCGCCGGGGGCTCACGGGGCGCGGGGGGGGGGGGGGGGGAGCTCACGGGGGCGCGAGGGGCCGGGGCGGGGGCGCGGGCAGGGGGGCGCTCCGCCGCCCCCGCGGGCAGGGGTCGGGCGCCGGGCCCCGCCGCCCCCGCTGGGCTGCAGCCCGGCAGGCCTGGCGCGTCCTCACGGGGGCGGCGGTGTCCCGGGCTGGGGCCGCGGCCCCGCTCCCGCGGCGGGGAGGGGGCTGTTTACCGCGGCAACGGCGGCCTGGCTCCGCCCCCCCGCCCCGCCCCGCCCCCGCCCCGCAGAATGCGGCGCCGGCGGTGACTTTGCAGAAAATACTTAAATTCAATAAAACGAATGAGCCCGGGCTGCTGCCTCCTCTCCCTCCAAACGGGGATGGCGGGCGAGGCCGTGGGGGGCGACCCTCGGGGCGCGGTGCCGCCTCTTCACTCCCAGAGCCGGGCCGCCACGGTGGGTGCCGAGCCCCCGCGCCCTTGGGAGCTCTGCGGACACGGACGGGGGACCGGGCACCCCTTTCCCAGCTCGGGGCGTCTTCCCTCGCGGCCCCCACCGGCGCCCAGCGCGAACCACGGTCCCCACATCACCTGCCCGCGGCCGCCTGCTCCCCGCCGCGACCTCCTGCCCGTCACCCGCCTGCGGCCCGGGCCAGCCCCTGGCTGGGCGCTGGGGGCCTGCGCTTCTGGGCCCGGCTCCCTGCCCCTTCCGGCCTCCATCCCCCCACCCGACACCCGCGTCCACCCCGCGTCGCCCTCGGAAGGTCCCGCAGAGCCCGCTCTTCATTCTCCTGCGGGCCCGTCCCGCCCCATAGGTGCGCGCACCAGCGTGTGGAAGTGCGTGGCTGGGGTACCCTCACTGGATAGTCACCCGGTAAACACTCTGAGTGCTTGCAGCTGGGTCACCGTTGCCCTGCCTCCGGGGGTGGGGGTGGGGGCGCAGGCCGGGCTAGTGGGGGGAGGGGGGAGAGCATGGCCTGTGCCAGGGGCCATTGTTATGTTTTTTAAAGATTGGGGTGACATTGCCAATAGGAGTCCATTTCTATATCCAGTGCTATGGGTCTTAATGTACGTTTCTCCGCCCCCCTCCCCCATAGTCACTAAGGCAGTGGGCTGCTTCCAGTGCCCAACAACACAACCCAGACCCCCCACAGCCAGGTGCCCCGCCCCCCCCATTAGCACAGACACCTTACAGCCACCGAGAACCCCGAGTGATGCTGCCCCACGGCCAGCCCGGGTGGACATGGCAGGTGCCCGCCCCTGGGCCTCGGACAGTGTTCAGGGCCCCATTCCCCGCCAGATAGCTCCTACCTGGGCGCCTGTAGGGGGTGGGCCGCCCTGTCATTGGGCAGCCCTGGGGGTCCCCCTTCACCCCGCAGGCCCAGTCACAGGAGGCTGTGGTCAGGGCACAGGGTGACCTGGTAACCAGGCGAATGGGGGACAGGGACAGCCACACAGGTGGCCAAGCAGGACCGTTTCTGGGGACAGAGCCTCCTCACCCACGGCAGCCATTTGTGGGGCGTCTTCGGAGCCTGGTCCTCAGGCTCAGGCCAGCGTGGGCCCGGCTGGGCCACCAGAACCTCAGTTCCCTACGTGTCAGCCAGGAAGATGGCCTCCCAGGTGCCCAGGGAGCACTAGGGGCCTGGGCGGCCTCGGGACCTGGTGTGGACCTGCCTTGGCCCCGCCACGCCCCCTGTGCCCGGATCCTTTGTGGGACCCTCAGGAAGGTCCCGGGGGCTCTGCAGCCTTTGAAAGGCCGTCTCCCCTCACCCCATCCAACTCACTCTGCCTGGGCCTCCCGCTCCTGTCCCAGCTGCCTTCCTGGAGGTGGGGCCACAGCCCTCCACAGGAGGGAGGGAGCTGCAGGTCTGAGGGGTCACTGCTCTGGTCTCACGGTTCAGACAGTAGTGACCTCTAACCCCAGGAGGGCGGCACGCAGCTGCGTGGTGAGGAGCCCAACCACAGGAAGGAAGGCGAGTGGGCCATGTCCGTCGAGCAGTGCCTGTCCCACCCCAGGGATGGTGGGTGCAGACCCCCTGGGGTACACTCCCACCCCAGGTCAGACCTCAGGACACCGTGGCTGTGATGGGCGGAGGGTGCCAGGCCTCATTGTCCCATCGCATGGCTGTCGAGGTGCCATTGGGTGGTCCCCCAGCCCAGGGATTCCGCCCCCGACAGGCGGCCCTGAGGCCGGGCCCAAGCTCCAGCCTCTGCGCTACTCCCTGGACGCATGGCCAGACTTGGGTCTGACACCCTTCCTGGGCCCGGGGTGCTGGTCCCCAGGCCTGGTGCCGCCCACGAGGGACACCCCCAACGTGTGAACGCTCCCAGCCTCTCTTGGAAACGGTCCCCGAGCATCTGCACCCGAGGGCAGCTCCTGGCCCAGGGGTGAGCAGGGGCCACACAGGCCACCACCACCTCTGGGGCCGCCGCAGGCAGAGCCCCCCAGTGCCCACGGCTTCGCACGGCCAGTGGGTGACTGAGCACTGGCTCGAGGACCCGGGAGGCCGGCGTGGCTCTGTCCCCCACCTGGTGCTCTGAATGGAAAGCCACGCTGGGGTCTCACGCGAGTGTTTATTTTGGTGATGGGCCGTGGTGTGGTGACTACAGTGCCAGGAAGGGGCTGGGCAGGGCAGGGCTGATGGTCGGGCAGGCACCGTCCTGCCCAGCGGCCCCCATGCTTGTGGCCAAGACAGCAGGAGACGGCCGTGACCATGGCAGACAGAGGCTGCTGCCCTCCTTCCAGTAGGGACTCCGGGCAAGGTCCCGGGTCCCTTGTTCCTGGGCTCCCGGCTCCTCTAAGCAGGGAGGCTGCACAGCTCAGCCCCAGCTCAGCTGTGGGAGGCGGCAGCCAGTGCACTGGGCTCCCCGCAGGGCTCAGGCTCAGGACCCCGAGGTGAGCTGGGCAGGTGCCTCTTCATGGTGTGGTTTTATGAGGAGCACGTGTCTATGGAGGCTGTGCAGGGAGGGGTGATGCCAACCGTCCGCTGCTAGACAGAGCGCCGCCACAGCCCCGGAGCAGGAACGGGCGAGGCAGGGATGTGGGGCTCAGCCCTGCAGGTGCCGCAGCTCGGGCGGCAGGTCACAGCCGGTGTACGCGCCATTGGTGATGCTGTATTCCAGCAATGCGCCGAAGCAGGGGTCCTGGGGGGACACAGGAGCGGGCCTTAGAGTGGGCAGGGCGGACAGCCCCCACCGCTCCCTGAGGGCGGCAGCTCACCCTGACCAGGACGTAGGGGTTTCCCAGCACGATCAGCAGGGCTTTGGGCCTGGTGACGGCCACATTGAAACGCTTTGAGTTGGACAAGAAACCCAGGAAATACCTATCGTCTTCGAACCGGTCTTCGTTCGACCGCACCTGGAAGCACAAAGGCGGAGAAAAAGGTGTTTCAAGTTTCTGGCATGGAAAGAACTCTCGACATATGAAAACAATAAACACAGAAACATCGTCAGTGTGACCTCATTTTTGGTTAAAAGAGAAAAAAGTAGCCCTGGCTGACATGGTTCAGTGGTTAGAGCATCGGCCTATACACTGGAGGGTCTTGGGTTCGATTCTGGTCAAGGGCATGTACTTGGGCTGCAGGTCCGATCCCCACCCCGGTCAGGGTGCATGTGGGAGGCAACCTATCGATGTGTCTGTCACATCAATGTTTCTCTCCGCCCTCGCCCCGCCCTTCCCTTCCATTCTCTAAAAAAAAAACAGTGGGAAAAAAAATATCCAAGCCCTAACCGGTGTGGCTCAGTGGACAGAGCGTCGGCCTGCGGACTGAAGGGTCCTGGGTTCGATTCCAGTCAAGGGCATGTACCTTGGTTGCGGGCACATCCCAAGTAGAGGGTGTGCAGGAGGCAGCTGACCAATATTTCTCACTCATCGATGTATCTAACTCTCTATCCCTCTCCCTTCCTCTCTGTAAAAAATCAATAAAATATGTTTTTTAAAAAATCCAAGTATCCTCACTCCTGGATGAGGGTAAAAAAAAGGGAAAAAGCAGCAGGGGGTGGGGGAGGAGCCTCACTGCCCTCTGTCTGCACAACATGGGCCCAACCCTATGGGGCTCAGCACAGAGTGTCGGGGTGACCAGGGAGTCAGGGTGACTCCGGGTGTCGGGGTGACCAGGGAGTCGGGGTGACTCCGGGTGTCAGGGTGATGGTGGTTCTTTTCCCGATTCTCTAGGGCCCCCCAGGAACAGGGCACCTACGGTTGAGATGATGATCACCAAATGCTCTTGCCCTTGGAACTCCTCTACTGATCCGACCTTTATGTCCATCAGATCCACATTTCTCAAAAGAATTTTTATTTTCTCCACCTTTGAAGCAGACAAAAAAGATTAAAGATACAATTTTACAAAGCTGACCACTTCTTCCCACATTGCAGCAGAAGTCAATGCTGACAACGTGCAGTGCTGCTTCTCAATCCCAATCGTATGTCACCCGACTCCAGGGCTGGGCTCAGTGCCCATTTCTATGGAGGTGAGGGCAGCTCTGCCCTGTGGGGCCCTCCCCGGCCTGAGCCTTCACCACACCTGTGGCCTGGAGACAGGCGGCGTGCCCTCCTCTGTGGCAGCGTCACAGGCAGCCAGGAGGAGGACCAACGCTGTGATGAGTGGCCACGGAGCCAGGAGAAGGCGAGCTCGCCCTCAGGAGCGGGAACGGCCGAGTCGAGCCGCGAGACTCGGGACGAAGTGGGTTCCAGATGTTTGGAGACGAGATCTCCAATGGGTGTTGGAAAAAAAGGCCCCATTTGAAATCTTGGAAGAACGAGTATTTGAGAGAAAACTCGATGGCAGGTGACTCCTCCCCAGGACGCTGGGGCGGTGCTGAGGGTGCAGGCACGGGAGGGTCAGAGAGCAGGAGGGGACACCCGAGAGCCCGGCCAGAGGTCCCGCAGACGCTGTGGGGAGACTGTCCCCACTGAGAATAAGGGAGTGCTCACCGGGTGGAAAGGATGCTCCTGAAAACAAAGCAGGCAGCGAGCAGGTGTCCTGGCAGCGCATCTGCTGCAGGACAAAGGCCAACCCTTCCCACACCTGCCGGCAGGGGACTAAGGTCAGGCTGAGGTGGTCAGTGCCGCGTCTGCCACGCACCGGCCTCTGCTGAGACGACGACGAGAAGACAAACTTCAGGAGACAAGCGCAGAGACCAGTGGTGCAGGCGGCACAGGTAAGCGACCAAACTCCAAAGCAATCGGCATGTTGACCAATTGTTCCAAGAAAAAACACGTGTTTTGATAAAAGGTGGGATTTCTAAAACTCACCAGAAAGAGCACAAAGGGAAGAACCGGGGGTGGGGCAGGTCTGGAGGCTCACCATGAGGGCCTCAGCCCAGATGCCAGCTCAGCCCAAGCCCCAGCAGCCAGGCTGGCGGTCCCGGGGGGCGGGGGGACCGCGAGGGAGGGGGAGCCCAGGTGCGCACGGGAGCCGTGTGTGCAGCAGAGACACACACCACAGACCAAAGTCAGACCCTCGCCAGGACCACCCAACACAACGCAGAGGGCTGAACCTCCAGAACAAAGTGGGAAAACACACCTCACGTCACGACAGGGAAGGGTTTCTTAGACAAAAAACAAACAGCACAGACCACGAAGGGAACGGTTTACACGTCCCATGTGCATGTGACTACATGGAAAGAACACACACACCCACACACGGAGGGAACCAGGGACAAGGCCTGGCTGAGACGGTGTCGGGAACACTCGACCACCAAGGGTCCGGGTGCAGAAATAATGCTGACTCAGCGCAACCTGCAGACACCACCTCAGAGCAACAGAGGGGGCACTGGATTCAAACAGGGTTTTAAAAACCCTCACCTGAGGATATGTTTTCTTTATTTTTAAATAAATATATATTTTTTATTGATTTCAGAGAACAAGAGAGAGGGATAGAAACATCAATGATGAGAGAAAACCATAGATCAGCTGCCTCCTGTACGCCCCACACTGGGGCTCGAGCCCACAACCCAGGCATGTGCCCTGATCAGCATAGAACTGTGACCTCCTGGTTCATAGATAGATGCTCAACCACTGAGCCACACCGGCCGGGCTGTTTTATTGATTTTAGAGAGAGAAGAAGGTGGAGAGGGGAGGGGGAAAGGCAGGGAGGGGGAGAGAGGGAGAGGGAGAAACATCAGTTGCCTCCTGTATGTGCCCAAACCAGGGACTGAACCCTCAACCTAGGTTTGCGCCTGCCTGGGAATCAACCCCATGGCCCTTGTGGTGACGGGACCTTGTCTGGCTGAGCCACCTGACCAGGCTACACAGGAATGCTGACGAAACATCATGGCCAGTACACACAGGAAGAGACTAGAAGCACAGCGCGCCCTCACCACGCTCACGGCCCCGCCCGCCTGTGTGCGCCTCACCACGCTCACAGCCCTGCCCGCCCGTGCGCCCTCACCACGCTCACGGCCCCGCCCGCCCGTGCCAGCCACAGGCCTTTTAGAACACAGATTCTCAAGTCCCTGACAACCCCAGGGGAACCCTCTTCCCCACTCAGGCAGCTGCAGGTGTGGGCACCGTGGGATTTGCAGACACGGGAGATGGGAGACCAGGGTGGGCCCAGGGCAGATGGAGGACGTGCACAGTGAGTACAGGGGTGACAACTTCACGCTGGGACAGGTGAGCATGGAGGCGGGCTCACCCAGGTGCCTGCACACCCAGCCCCAGGACCCGGGTGTGGAAGGCCAGGGGAGCCCCGCGGGTGCCACTCGACCAGCTCGTGTCCTGTTCCTGCGTGGCCTCCGCGGACAGGAAGCACCGAGCGGCGGGGGCGGGGCCCACCTGCTTGCGGTAGGGCGTGATCACGCCGATGTCCTGCGCGGACACCTGGCTGCAGAGGCTCCGGGCCAGGAGGCAGCTGTAGCGCATGACCTGCACGGCCTCGGCCGGGTTGAACCAGGATGGGCTCCTCCCTTCCCGCGCTTCGCTGCCCTGTCAGGTTGGGAGACAAGAGAGACAGGGCGTCACGAGGCCTCGTTTACCAGCTACACTCGTTAAGGGCTGTGAACGGGGAGCTGAGCAGGCGCTGGGACAGGCAGAGGTGAGGGGCCTGGCTACGGAACCGGAACCGGCTCAGCTGCAGTGAGGCCCAAGGACGGGGGCATGAGGAGGGCAGTGTCCCGTGAGGACGGTGACGGGGGCGGGGGGGTGGGGCGTGCACATGCCGGTGGGGAACAGAGCCCGGGAGCCAGGATGGCTGAGGTGGCAGTGACCAGTGTGGTCAGTGCGGGAGCCCCTTGGGCCAGGCCAGGCCCAACCCCTCGCTCTGGCTGCCCCCCTCCTGTGGAAGGTGCGCCCTCCTCTCTCCGGCCTGAAGGGAAGACAGGAGGATGACCAGTGTGCACAGGCCATCACTGCAGATCAAGGAAATGCAAACCCAAACCTCAGGGCCTGCCTACGCCCACCAGGACGGCCACAACTAAAGACAGACACGGTGCCTGGCGCTCAGCGTGAGGTGGTGCAGCCGCCGTGGATAACGTGTGCAGGCCCTCAGAACCCGAAAGCAGAGTTCCCCTCTGGCTCAGGCGTTCACCACAAGAACAGACTTAACGCAGGGACCCAGGCAAGTAGATGTGGGAGCAGCCTGAGCGTCCGTGCAACCTGGGAAGCACACGCGGCCCGAGCACACGATGGGAGACCCCCGCGCGGCACATGCCCGCGGCCCAAGGGCTCGGAGCAGACGCAGGGGTGATGGGGCCACCAGGGCAGGGGGGGTGAGGGTCAGTGGGACAGTGTCCGTCCGGGAAGATGGAGAGCTCTGACGACTGACTGTAACACAAGGGGCCCGTGCTACCCCCCCCCCCCCCCGCCCCCGCTGAACTGGGCCCTGCTGGCGAATGCAGCCGACCGGACATGGTGTGTTTCGCCACAACTGAAACAGCACACACAGAGCAGTGAGAATGCACTGACTCGCCCTGGCTGGTTTGGCTTAGTGGATAGAGCATCGGCCTGCAAACTGCAAGGTCCCAGGTTCGATTCTGGTCAAGGGCACATGCCTGGGTTGCGGGCTTGATCCCCAGTAGGGTACGTGCAGGAGGCAGCCAATCAATGATTCTCTCATCATTGATATTTATCTCTCTCTCCATCTTCCTTCCTCTCTGAAATCAATAAAAATATATTAAAAAAAAAAAAGAAGAAGAATGCACTGACTTCCAGGAGTTTTCGCTGAGGGACCTGACTGGCCCCTGGATCTACGATGGGAGGTCGGGAACCAGCGGCGAGAGGAGCGGGCTGTCCTCAGAGGGAACACCAGTCAACGGGCACCAGCCGCGCAGCAGAGATGAGGGGGACGAAGGGCAGAGTCGCACTAACGACAGGCTCTTACACGGGTGCAGTGTGATGCCCGCAGCTGCTCAGAAGCGGCCCTGAAGCGAGGAAGGAGGGATGAACCCGGGAAGGGGCGTCAATGTCTCACCAGGTGGGACGGAAAGGAAACCAGGACAGGGCACAACCTAAACCGCAGGCGCGGCGCAGCGGGGAGCACAGGCGGCAAGGCCTCAGGCGCCGGGGGGATCTGGTGTGGAAGCCGCGGGCAGCAGTCACTGCCCGGCCAGGGGGAGGCCGAGCAGACAGGATCCAGGTCAGGACACAAGCTCCACAAGTAAATTTTAAAAATCAACGTGAAACTTACATCCTCAACAGAGAAGGTGAGCTTTTGTGTGTCCTTAGAACATCTACTAAAACAGTCCCATTGGGCCACAGATCTGTAAAAGCCGGGGCCACAGGCCTGGCCTTCATCAGAACCAATGCAACTCGGCATAAAAAGAGGCGACCACAGCACTCCAAGCCCCTTGGAAGTCAAGGAAAACATGTCTCTGTGAGCCTCGATCAAAAAGAAAATGGGGAGTCACCAGGACCAGGGGGTGCAGGAGCCGTGCGGAGCAGAGCTGCGCCCAGGCCCTGCCTCCTGTACAGACGAGAGGACTGGGTCCCCCCACGGGGCTAGTGAGGGGCAGGGCGGGCCATAGAGCTGAAGTGAACGAAGCAGAAAACTAGCAGGAGGAAACAGAGTGAGTTCAAAGCTGGTTTCCACACAGACCAGAGGTCGGCACAGCCTGGGCTCCGACGGGCCACACAGGCAGGCCATGCAGCCGGAGACCGGTGGGAGCTGGTTCAGGGTGAGCTGTTGTGCCCGACCTGCTGTGCCCCCAGCACTGAGGGTCGCAGGCCCTGTGCTTACCGAGCTGAGCCCCTCCTCCTCGCATCGGGGCCACACACTCACCCGCACGCCGTGGAAGACGAGGGGGAAGCCTTTCTTGGGGAGCTTCTCCCAGCCCAGCAAGGAGGTCACCACCTTGGGGTCGGCACAGACCTCGAGCTCCTTGTGATAGAAGAGCCGGGAGGGCAGGGCCAGCAGGGCCGCGTGGGACCTGTAGTTCTTCACCAGCTTGGTCACCTGCAGGGAGAGCGCGGCAGGGGCAGCCCTGTCAGCACGCGCCTCGTCCTGCTGAAGGGAAGTGATGCCTCCCCCCACCCCACCGCCCAGACCTCCCGGCCTCTCATCGCCGCCTGAGCAGAAAGTGGCCTTTGGGAAAACAAGAGCAGGAGGCCAGGCCCTGCTGCCCGGCCTGTGGGCACCTGGAGGCCGTGCTGCCCGCAGGGCCCGTCCTGCCGCCCAGCCAAGCCCAGCCCCAGGCCCCGGCATAGGCTCCCAACGACCCCTCTCAAGGAGTCGACCCCACCTCCATGTCCTCCCCACTCCCCAGGTGACCTGCCCGTCCACGGCCACGCTCCTCTGTCCCAGGGGCAAGCTCCGCGGCGCCAGCACTGGGATCAGAGGGCAGCACGCGGGGAGGGGCCCACGACCCCGGCCGGCTCCAGCACTGGGCCCTGCAGTGCAGATTCCTGTGGCCCCGTCTGCACTGGGCCACCCCATGGGCACCCTGTGTGGTCCCTCAGGGGCCCAGCACCATGGGGTCTGGCTCACCAGCAGGGGGTTGTAGGCGCCACAAGCACCGAATGCGTCCTCGTCTCGCAGGTACACGGGCCGGGACATGAGCCTCTCCAGCATGGACACGTTCAGCCCGTAGGCCATGGCCAGCCGGGACTTGATCACGGGCCCGAGCTGCATGGGGTCCCCGGCCAGGACGATCTGCCACACAGACGGGACCCGCTGCAGGGACAGTGGCTGCAGCCCACGCAGAGCGTCAGCCACAGCGTGCGTCGGGGGAGGGCGGCAGAGGCAGAAGCGCAGCCCCAGGCCTGGACACAGCCACTGGCGAGGCCCACCCCTGCTGGACCCAGCCTGACCCCTGGGGACTGAGGGAGGAGGTGGGACTCAAATGTCCCCTGTCAGCCAGGGTGAGTGTGGGGGAGGGGTGATGGGCCTTGGACTGACCCCAGTCACTACCAGAGGCCAGTGCTCAGCCCAGGACAGAGGGACAGGTCGGGGCAGAGAGGTGCTCCAGGGCCGCTAGTCTCTGCACCCAACACGGGTGCCAGCGACTATGCGCGCGTGTGCAAGTGTGAGAATGCGAGTGCATGTGTGTGTGTGAGAAAGTGTGTGTGTGTGTGAGAGAGTGCGTGTGAGCGTGTGTGAGAGAGGAGAGGAGAGGAAGGGAGGCAGCCCTTCCCCCCATGTGCCCGGGGACCAGGATGGGTGCCGACAGGCGGACGGCACAGCAAGGCCTCACCTGGCCGCTGATGTCGGAGACCAGCCCCAGAGGAATGAGGCACTCCGGCTCACTGGCCTGTCCGGCTTCATCCACAAACACATGTGTGAAGTGTCCGACTCTGGAGCCAAAGATGAAAGTGGTCGCCTCGGTCAGTGTCCCTGGGGGTCGGTGGCCAGCCCGGGAGGCACCCACAGCCCATCAGGAGACTGAGTTCCCGTCCCCACTGGACCCTACCCCACACGCCTGTTTCAAAAGACTTAGAGGGGACAGGTGAGGGGCTGCATGGTGGGGAGCTGCTGGGCGGCCGTGGTCCAGGCTGGGGACTGCCGCCCACCGCAGGGGCCTGGGCTAGAGCCCCGCTCCCTCATGCAGAAGCTGGGTGACCTTGGGCAGGTCCTCCTCCTCTCTGTGCCTTGGTTTCCCCAAGGTTTCGGGCGGAGTGCGACAGGGTAAGCTGGTCAGGTGGGCACTGGGCAACATTCCCACGTGGGGAGACTGCCCGAGTCATGCTCTCGGCTGGAGCTGCTGCCGCTAGGACAGCCTTGGGCGGAGCCAGGCCTTGAGCCCCCAACCATGGACGGAGACCCCAGCGCGGGGCCCTTGCTCACATGGAGCCGCCAGCAGTGCTGGGCCCATTGCCCTGACTGGCCGTCAGCTCGCTCAGGTACAGGCCTGAGTCTGTGCATCTCAAATGAACGCCCTGCCCCCCCCCCCCCCCCGCCCCTGCCCCGGACGGGCAGCTCACTCATTTTCTACCTCACGCCCGTCTCTGCTGGAAAGCTTCACAGCAGGCACCTTCCTGGGGACAGAAGCCCTTAAACTCTGGGTCCCGAACGGCCTCCGGCTCCTTAGCTTCCTCCGTGAGGCCGGGCCGCTTCTTGCTCACCCTCCTCAGCCTCCCGAGGCCCCGCCCACTGAGTGGTGGTCCTGCCACGGTCCCCTCGGCCCCTCCTGTCCCTCCAGCGAAACAAGGTGCTTCCTGCCTCTGGTCTGGGTGCCACCCGCACGCTCGCTCCTTCCCCACCCTCTGGGACCGCCCTCCTGGAAACCTTGGGGCCCTGTCGCCCTGGGGTCTCAGCACAAACCCCCTTCCTTGGAGGAGCCCCTGACCTGCTGTCAGGACAGAGGCCTCTCCCGCTGCCCCACCCGCCACGCTCACCGCACTCCGATCTGGTAGAAGAGGCCGGCGCTGCTGCAGGTGCTGATGATGATGCGGAAGCGCGAGGCCTTCCAGATGTCCTCCCCGTCTTTGCAGTACGCCTTGATGGCCTCGACGATCGTCTGGGGGGGCAGTTGGTTTTCAAGTTACTGAGTGTCTTTAATTGGACATGATCACAAAGTCGGAAGGACTCCTACAAGCTAACTGTCCTGCTCCACCTCTCAGTTACGACTAAGTAACGACGTAAGATTGTCTTCGTAAATAAAAATACTTGTATTTTCTTATCAATTTAGTCCCCATTTTATGGACTCTGGAGCCATGAATGTAACATACAACCCTGCAGATCCTTCCCCAAAACATTACTGCTAACGTCACCCATTTCCTAGCTTTGGTCTCTGGCTAATTAGCCCCTCACCTACAAGCAACCCAGCTGAGCTGCCCCCAGACCCAGGAGGGACTGCAGCTGTGAGGGAGGGGCAGGAGCAGGAGCAGGACAGAGGGAGGCTCACCTCCTCGAACCTGCAGGTGGCGTTCACGCGCACCATGCTGCCGGGTCGCAGCAGGCAGCTCTCGTGCAGCCGCAAGCACACGAGGTCGGCCGCGCTGTTGGAGGGCGCACACACCAGAATCCGGCTGTCCGGCAGGGCGTGGTACACCTTCACCAGGCACAGGAGGCGGCAGTCAGCGTGGGGCCAGTCCCAGCAGTGACGCCCTGGCCATGGGAGCAGGTGGTGGGTCCCGCCCGCCTGCAGGAGGGCAGCTGGGCACTCTGCATACGTGTTAATCCGAAGCCCCAGGGGGCAGCGCTACAGGCACACACGCCCCCGCTCGCTGCGACACAGACGGGCCCGCAAGCACCTGCAGACCATCCTGAGATGGGCAAGCAGCTTACTCTCCTGAGAACAGGAGGCTCCCTCTACACCCGTGAAATAAGCTTTCACACCCTGCACAGGCCGCAAACACCACAAGACAGACTTAGCTAAACAGAAGCAGCTGGACCTTACAAACTCTGATTCACATGTAAACAGACACAGAATTCCGCCCACCCCCCACCCCCGCCCCAGCCAAGCTCACGGGGACCGCACGGCCTCCGTCACCTGTAACACAGCCTCGATGATGGTCACCGTCTTCCCAGTGCCAGGAGGCCCGAAGAGGACGTATGGGAGGGGGCGGCAGTCGCCACTCAGGATCCTACGCACGGCCAGCTGCTGGTTCTCGTTGAGCAGGGGGTTGAAGAACTCCTTCTCTCGGGCCCCGGGGGTCTGCAGCTCATCGCCTGGGTCCAAGGAAGGCACAGGGTCAGGCAACACCCAACAACCCGGGCAGCTGGGCACAGAGACACCAGCACCGGCCCCGGGCAACCCGTCAGCGGGGCGCTCCCACAGTGCCAGGGCCTGCGCAGCTCGGGAGTCAGCGTCTGAGAGCAGACGGGGCCTCCCCGTCTCCCCCTTCACGGCAGCAGCGACAGGAAAGGCCACACAGTCGGAAGTCTGTGTCGTGACCAGAGTGTTTGCTCATCTTCCCGTCACACAACTGTCTCGACCACCCTCGACCCCAACAGCGAGCCTCTCAGGGGCCTAGTCCCAGGTGTGATCACCGCCCCACAATACGCACCCAGGAGACTCGTCTCTGTGGCCAAGGCCTCCGGTCCCCGTGTGTCCTGGGCACCCGCCTGGCTTGTCTTGGTGGCAGGCTCAGGCTGGTCCTTCTCAGCTTCCCGGTTCTAGAAATAATCACGACCGCCCCCCGCCCCCAAAAAAAAAATGTGTGTTTGCAGGGTCTCAGTTTAAAGAGAAAACGTAGCCGTCTCCCCACGCAACACTGGCTTGGTGTCCTGAACGGCGTGGTGTCCTGGCACGGACCATAGGTCACACCCCTTTAAAGCGTGACAAAAACACACAACAGCCGATAAAACGCTGCAACACCGTTTCTGTTTCTCTTCTGAATTACCTTTCACAAGAAACTAAGTTGCTAAGTTTGTGAAGACGGCTCCAAAACAACAGCCTTCCCTTCAGCTCAGCAAGTGTGCCTCCTGCCCAGCTCAGGGCGAGGAGAGCCGGAGCCCCAGCCTCCTCCGCAGGGGGCACCGAGAGCGCAGGGCAGGTGACGCCCGAGTCTTGGCCCCTGGGGTAAGTGAGTGCTGCTCTGTCCACGGTGCTCACGCCCGAGCCCCTCTGCGGCTGTGGAGCGCAGGGTCCTGCCCCTCGGAAGCCTCTCTGCCCTGTGACCTCCCCTCCCAGGGCTGGGAGCTGCAGGCACAGGGCCTGCCTCGCTTGCTCCGTGCAGGACGCCTGCCCCGTGGTGCCGATGGAGGTGTCTGAAACTCTGGCTTCACGTACTCTGTCTGGAAGGTCAATCCATCCCTGAGTCCACCTTGCTCAGGTGTGCAATGGCCTCCAGTTTACCTGCCACCAGCCAGTCCATGAAAGACAACGCTCTGCATTTAAAAGCGTCAAGGCTTAGCCCATGCGGAAGGCGAGCCACCTAAACGGCGCAGCATCGCAGCCTCGCGACCAGCAGGCCGGGCGGGACAGGGTGACGCCCCTGGTCTGTGGCCGAAGGACAGCACGATCCACACGACACCCAGCAGGTGACCCGGTGGAACCTCTGCTCTCTCCTTCCGGGGCTCCTGTGGCCGCGAGGCACTAACACCGTAATGACTGCCTTTCCGGAGGGGCTGAGCACGGCGAAAGGATTTCTAAACACTGGGTACAATTTAAAAGCCGGTACTTAGCATCAGCTTAAAACGTGCTCACAAAACCAAATCCCCCAGCACAGGGCCCTCGGAGACACGCCACCACGACAGGAGGCTTTCTGTCAGCGGACACATGACCAAGAGCAACCCCTTTGCGTTCACCCGGAAGACACGTGCAGAGCTGCGGACGGTGCCTGGCTCCGACGGACACCACCTCACCTTCAGAGACCGGGCTGTTGAAGCAAAGACCAAACTGCCTTCGTGACGTTCACAAAGACCATGAATGCCGGCCATCTGCGGGGCGACCCGTCAGACACTTCCAAGCAAGAGTCGCCACACGATGGCTACCTGACGTACGCAGCCCCCACTGCTCACTAGAACCACGCTCGCACGGTCTCAGGTCCCCAGCGCTGTCCTAACCGTGCCTCGGGCCACCTGTGACCCACCCCCACGCCCGCCACACTGAGCGCTCCCGCAGGCTGAGCCGCGCGGCAGGGTACCTCGGGGGCGGGCTGCCCGTCGCTCTTGCTGTCTCCTGCACAGTTCCAACTGCCTGTCACCTGGGGAGACTGTAAGATGACTTCTTCTGGAAACAACACTTTTAAAACAAGAAAGGGCAAGAAGGTCGAGGTTACCGAGAAGCATTAAACAGATGCACGAAGAGATGAACGGCTGCAGCAGCCCCGAGTCCGCGTCGTGCACCCTCTACATGCGGCCCCGTGGACGCAGCCACAGCCACGCCACCCAGCACAGGCTTGGGAACAAAAGCCATGGTTTGTCTACTTGTAGGTACAAAAGGAATTCTACTAAGAGGGGAGAACAGAGCGCAGTGGCTTTATTTTCAATAATCTAAGGGTTATTTTTACGTAGTTGAAATAAGACAACACGGAAGCTTCCCGATAGGAAAAACAACACTGGAAATCAGTTTCACTTTTTTTTGGTTACTCCTCACTTGAGGATATCTTCCCCATTGACTTTAGAGAGAGTGGACGCAAGAGGGAGGGGGAGAGAGAGAAATATTGATGTGAGAGACATCCGTCAGGCGCCTCCCGCACACGCCCAGACTGGTGCAGGGAACCTGCCACCCAGGTACGTGCTCTTGACCGGAACGGAACCCTTGGCCCTGCCGTGCACAGGCCGGCGCTCTAACCACTGAGCACCCGCCAGCCCAGCTTTACTTCTAACGTGGGGGAGGGGGCTGTGCCCGCCACGTGCGCGCGACGCTGAGGGAACCCGGGCGCCACGGGGCGCTCCACAGCAACAGTACCTTTCACTCCCAAGTGGCTGACGTGCTCAAGTGCAAAGTGACACCGTCTGCTCGTGGTCCTGTGGGGAAAAGACAGCACAAAGCCCGCTGTCGCGGCTGCACACGGGGCCAGCGCGGGGCTGGGCCTGACTGCGACCGAGTCGAACACTAGGCACTCTCTACAATGCATGTGGAGAGACTGCGGCTCCCAGGTTCTCACGGCACCGGAGGCCGAGGTCTGGAGGACCGAGGGTGGCGCCAGGGTCTGTGTCAGAGGAAAATCCTAATATCGCACCAATAGGACAGCACAGACTCCTTTCTTTCCAGGAACATTTAATGCATGAAGTGGACAAGTAGGAAAAAATAAAAACACAGTGTGAAGTGTTAGGAAAATATTAATATTACTGTAACAATCAGAAAGTAATCCTACTAATAATAGAGAAACATGGTAATTAACCGTAACTTCGCTACCCTTCCCATTGGCTAATCGGCGATATGCAAATTAACTGCCAGCCAAGATGGTGGCCGGCAGCCACGCAGCTGAAGCGAAGGAGGCTTGCTTGCTTCAGTGACGGAGGAAGCCAAGATTCCCCGCCTGCCGCAGCCCAGCTCTGAGCTCCGGATGCAACAATGTTGCAATTATAGAAGCTAAACAAACTCTAGATACCTGTTTTCAGCCGGCAACGGCCTCAGAGCTGGAGCCGGCTCTCAGCTCCAGTGACAGCCATAGAAGATAAATAAATCCCAGAATAAAAAAAAAGAAAAAAGGAGAGGTTGGGAGCTTTAGTCACCCGCCAGCCTGAAAACGGCCCTCAGCCCCTCACCAGACTGGCCAGGCACCCCAGTGAGGATCCCCACCCTGAAGGGGGTGTGACCAGCTGCAAACAGCCATCAGCCTCTCACCCAGGCTGGCCAGGCACCCCAGTGGGGACTCCCACCCTGATCCGGGACACCCTTCAGAGCAAACCAGCCGGCCCCCATCCGTGCACCAGGCCTCTATCCTATATAGTAAAAGGGTAATATGCAAACTGACCCTAACAGCAGAAAGACTGGGAATGACTGGTCACTATGACACACACTGACCACCAGGGGGAGCTCTGCTCAGCCACAAGCCAGGCTGATGGCTGCCAGTACAGCGGTGGTGGTGGGAGCCTCTCCTGCCTCCTCAGGAGCGCTAAGGATGTCCGACTGCAGCTTAGTCCTGCTCCCCGCTGGCAAGTGGACATCCCCTGAGGGCTGCCGGGCTGCCAGAGGGATGTCTGATTGCCATCTTAGGCTCAATCCCCTGGGGAACAGGCCTAAGCCAGCAAGTGGACACCCCTGTGGGGTCCCAGATTGCAAAAGGGCACAGGCCGGGCTGAGGGACCCCTTGCCCCCGAGTGCACAAATTTTTGTGCACCAGGCCTCTAGTCCTATATAATAAAAGCGTAATATGCAAATCGACCCAACAGTGGAACCGGTCACTATAATGCGCACTGACCACCAGGGGGCAGACACTCAATGCAGGAGCTGCCCCCTGGTGGTCAGTGCGCTCCCACAGGGGGAGCACCACTCAGCCAGAAGCCAGGCTCACCGCTGGCAAGTGCAGCGGCTGTGGTGGCAGCGCTATGGAGCAACGAGCAGCAAGCAGGCAGGCGGTAAGGAGCCGGGATCCCTGACTACAAGAGGGCACAGGCAGGGTTGAGGGACGCCCCTCCCCCCCAAGTGCACAAATTTCATGCATCGGCCTCTAGTTCTGATTATAAAGAATTACCCCCTTGAAATTCACTGAAAACAACTGTTAAAGGAAACTGAGGTGTATTACAATTTTAAGAGTTTTACAACAATTGACTGGCACCGGGCAGCATCCAATCCTGCAGAGAGAGGGGCTCCGAGGATCGGCACCAGTGAGACCGTTACAGGCAGCGCAGGCGGGAACAGGGACGCTGTCCTGGGCAATACAGTGCTCGGTACAGAAAGGTCACTCCTTTAGGGGACATGACATGCATGGCCCACCGGGCAGACCTCTCACTAGAGCTGACCGTGACGGACCAGGCACTCCACCCCTGGAGGAGCAGGCGCTGTAAGCCAGCCAGGTCTTGGTTTGGTGACGTGGGGCTCACACAGCAACTCCACTGGGGGCCTGGTGTCTTATTTTTTAACACAAAAGAAAGAGTAAAAAATGAGAAATAAAAAGTCTACCTTCAAGGAAACAAGATGATCGGAGCTCCAGCACAGATGATGAAGGATATTCAACAAAGCACATCTGGCCTCAAACCAGCAATGGCCCAGGAGCTGAGCCACAGTCTCGCAGAGCCTGGGCCACACCCACGCTCCGCCAAGTTCACACCTGGGCACCTGGAGAACCAACTGATGGGGGACAGCAGGGTGCAAGGGGGGTGCTCTAAGGGCAGAAGGAACCTTCAGGGCCCATCACAGCACGAAATCCTGGGAGGGGGTGTGTGAAGCAGGAAAAATGGCACCTGAGGGTCCCGGCACGAGGCCCTGGCAGCCCCACGCTGTCCCTTCAACAAGACCTTCACCGAGTTGCCTGGGACACAGTAAACTCCAAGATGAGAACCACCAGAAAAGAACCGTCCTAGGACTTAGGAACGTGACCCTAAGAAGGACAAAAACCGTAAAGCAGATGGATTACAGAGGAGGGGCTGAGAGAGGACCTGGCTTGTGCCCCCAGTGAGAGTTTCCCACATGCGCGTGCAGGGTGATCCCACACCTGCCCTCTTCAGAGACCAAGGGGAGAGACCCAAGACAGTGCCCACCAAGGAGGTAATCCATCAACCTGCAGTTCAGCCCTTTACCCCAACAGCCTGAAAAACACTAAACTGAAGGAAGAATTCACCAAAATAAAAAACATCATGTTGTTCCTTCTCAGCACACAAGAAAGGTGTATCTGTAGGACCTGAGAGGGGGCACTGTGTCAGGTCCTATAGATACGAAGTCGCCCAGTTGAAATGCTTCAAGTTACTGACAGGCTGAATAAAAAATAACACCTGCCAGGAAGGCAATGATTGTGGCGGCTTGAAAGAGAGACGACCAATTCCCTACATGGCAGGTCCAGGACAGCGAGAGCCCAGGGGTAAACCTAGAGGTGTCTGCACAGAGGAGGGAAGCACGAGGCCAGATGAGCAGCAGGGTGGGAGGCAGCACGTCGCAGGAACAGGGAGAGGAGAACGGGGCCGTTTCCGGGCACAGAGGAGAGGCCGCCCGCCCCTTGGCCCACTGTCACACAAAGACATGGGCGTGTCCACTGATTCACCGTGACAGCAGAAGCCTGGGGACCAAGTGTCCAGCAATAGAGGAGTGGCCGCATCCCTCTGAGAGCAAGGCCTAAAAGGCAGAGGAAGAAAGGCCTCGATTCAAGGACCCCCACGTCCACCCGAGAAGCAGAGCAGCAGATGGAGTCCCGAGCGAGAAGACAGGAAACGGCAGAGATCAGAGCCAACGCAGAGATGGAAACGAGCTGGAGACCAAGAGCCAGAGTCCGTCCCCCGATGAGGTCACATGGACAACCCTCCAGCCACACTAACAGGGACGAGAAGACACAAACAACCAGGATCCAAAACGAGAGGGGGCACCGGGTCAGGTCCTACAGATACAAAAAGAAAATGATTTTGTGCAAATAGACAATGTGGTCGGGACGCACGGAGTCCTCAGAAGGCAGGTGAGGCCAGAGCTCCCTCTCTGCGAGGCCGAGGCCCGGGCGCTTTATCCACGGAAGAGACGGAATCTGTGGTCGGGGAACTTCCCACAGAGAGAGCGCCAGGCCCAGAAGCCTCCCTGGCCCACCTGCCAGGCCCACACCTGCTCCGGAGACCAACGGGAGGTGCCACTTCCCAGTGTATGTGAGGCCAGCGTTGCCTCGATGCCCAAATCAGAAAAAGACACTCCTAGAAACCACAGACCGACGCGCCTCAGGAACAAGAAGTGACAGTGAATAAAGTCTCAGCAAGTCAGCCTCGCAGCAGGTGACAGGCAGCAACGCCACAGCAGGGGGTGGTGCTCATCACCTAACTGGCCATCTCGAGAGACAGAAACAGGGAAACCACACGTCCACCAACGGAGACATGAAAGCCCAGCAGAATCCCTCATCCACTGTGGCCTAAAGCTCTGCAAACTAGGGACCTAGCGCCTCAGCCGGACAGAGGGGCCCCGCTGGGCACACACAACCCCTCACCACCTCTTCCCCACTGTCTCCAAGCTCCAGCCCCGCAGTGAGGCAAAAGCAAACAAAAGCACCAAAATACACCCAGAGAACAAAGGAGGAAAACCACCTCTACTTGAACACACGATTGCATGCATAGAAAACCCCATCTAACCCATAAAAACCACTGGAAACATTGAGTTTAGCAAGCTCACAGGTCACAAGATTAATATACAAAAACCAACTGCATAATAAATCCTAGCTACAAGCAACTAGAAATGTATTTTTTATTTGTTTTTATTTTATTTATTGATTTCAGAGAGGAAGGGAGAGGAAGAGAAAGCCAGAAACATCAATGCTGAGAGAGAACCATTGACTGACTGCCTCCTGCACACCCCCCACTGGGGATCGAGCTTCAACCCAGGCATGTGCCCTTGACCAGAATCAAACCTGGGACCCTTCAGTCCACAGGCCGATGCTCTATCCACTGAGCCACACTGGCTAGGGCCAAGCAACTAGAAATTGAAATTACTGTTTACAACAGCATTAAAAGTTTCTTAGAGAGTCAGGGACATATTTGACAAAAAATATATAAAACATACACAGTGAAAAGTACAAAACGTTATGTAAGAAATGAGAAAAGACCTAAGTAGATGGAGAGAGACAGCACTGAAGAATCAACGCTGCCCCAGACAAACCTCGACAGTGTCCGTCCCAAGCCCAGGCGGTTCCGAGATCCACACAGACACCCGAGCTCTCGGCAAAGACGGGACCCAGTGGGAGCCTTGCCTACCCGACTCCAGACACAACGCAGGGGCGGACAGACCCCACACGTCAGGGCAGTGGGCTTCATGACGGTGTCAGGAGACGCACGGAGAGAGGACAGGGCTCACAACACTGGGGCTGGGACGAGGGGTAGGCACGTCCCCAACCTGGCATCACTGGTAAAATGAACTCAAACTAGACCATGGCCCTCAATGTAAAACTGAAAGCTGCAGCATTTTAGAAGAAAACACAGGAGAGAGTGTTTGTGATCTTGCGTGAGGCACATTTCTGAAGTGTGTCACCAAAGTCATCAAAGAAAAAACTGATCAACTTCCTTAAAATGAAAAATTTCTGCTCCTCGCTTTTTACGAAGATGGTGCCGAAAGCTAAGAAGGAAGCCCCTGCCCCTCCCAAGCCGAAGCCAAAGCAAAGGCTTTGAAGGCAAAGAAAGCAGTGTTGAAAGGCGTCCACAGCCACAAACAAAAGATCCGCACGTCACCCACTTTCCGACGGCCAAAGCCACTGAGGCTCCGGAGGCAGCCTCAATACCCTCGGAAGAGCGCGCCCAGGAGAAACCAGCGTGACCACTCTGCCATCATCAAATCCCCCAACTACCGAGTCAGCCATGAAGAAGATGGAAGACAATAATACACTAGTGTTCACTGTGGATGTCCAGGCCAACAAGCACCAGATCAAACCGGCTGTGAAGAAGCTCTATGACATTGAGGGGGCCGAGGTCAACACCCTGATCAGGCCTGATGGCGAGAAGAAGGCATATGTTTGACTGGCTCCTGACTATGATGCTTTGGATGTTGCCAACAAAATTGGAATCTAAACTGAGTCCAGCTGCCTAATTCTAAATATAAAAATTTTACACTGAAAAAAAAAAAAATTTCTGCTCCTCGAAAGACATTAAAAACAATAAAAACACAAGCCACAATCTAAGACAATATTTACAAAAAACATACCTGATAAAGGGCTAGCTTAAGAATGTGTACTCCACCAACTGCGCAGGTACCGGACGTAGTGCATGGTGATGAGAACTCACACAGGGCACCGAACACACACGCACACGCACACACAGGGCACCGAGATGCGCGCACACACACATGCGCGCACACACAGCACCGAGATGCACTGGCAGGGGCCCCGAGAGCAGGCAGCTGGGACACGGGGGAGCAGAAGCAACCCCTCAGCACCAGCCTCGGCCCGTCTCCTCCTGCAACACTGATGCTCAGGGGCCAAGGCAGGAGGCGCCCCATCAAGAAGGACAGGTCGGGAGGCGCTAAAAGCATCACCTGTTATATGTAAATTCCACGTCCATGGGCTCAAAGTTATACGCTTGTTCAAACTCCGGGTTCAGCTTAAGGGTTACGTCTTCTTCGTGAATCTAAAGGAGAAACAGACAGCGTAGCCTCCCTCCTTCGCACCCGAGTCCTTGCGACGCTCTCGTCGGTCTCGGCGGCACATGGCGACACCCCCCACAGATCGAAGGGGCCACCGGGTGTACAACCATCACGGCGCCCTCCCCACACACGCGTCCCCATTCCCCTCCCTGGCTCCGGGGGTCTACACACCAGGAACACAGCCACGGGCCAGGCTGTCCCGGGACCACCCCTCCTAGAGGGCCCTCCAGCCAAACAGATCCTGCAGAGTGTGACCTGGACCAGCGGGAGGAAAGGCGTTTCTGAGGCGCCCCAGGGAGCGTGGGGAGGCCTCCACCGGCCGGGCTCTACTAGGTGGGCCGGTTAATAATGCGGATTTTTGTCACTGGATGGAGTTACACTCACGTTGATATATATGCGATTTGATACGTATGCTCTTTTGTCGTATTGACAAGCTTCAAAACTTCATGTCAAATTTTCTGAAGGTGTTAATATCATAGATATTTTTACGCTTCATCTTTCTGCAAGTTGTTTTTGAGTTTGACATGCATCTCCATTCAATAATGCTTATTGTTGGTCTTTAAACTTTTTCGGTTGACCTGGGCATTGTCTTTCACATCAAAATGATCACTTTTAAAGCGTTTAAACCAGCATCCACAAGTATGGAGCATGTTCACCATAAGCTTCCCAAAGCATACGATAACTTTCAGCAGCACTTTTCTTCAAAATAATGAATTAAAACTTCCCACAAATGTTTTGGCATGAAATTTGACATTTTTAAGCATAAAAGTATCTATGATGTTAACAGCTTCAGAAAATTTGACATATGAAGTTTTGAAGCTTGTCAATACAAAATAGCATACATATAAAATCGCCTATATATCAACACTAGAGGCCCAGTTCAAGAAATTCGTGCATGGGGGAGGAGTCCCTCAGCCCAGCCTGCACTCTCTCCAATCCGGGACCCCTCGGGGGATGTCTGATTGCCTCTCACAATCCGGACCACTGGCTCCTAACCGCTCACCTGCCTGATTGCCCCCAACTACCTCTGCCTGCCTGCCTGATCACCCCTAACTGCTCCCCTACCAGCCTGATCGCCCCTATCTGCTCCCCTGATCGCCCCTAACCACCTCTGCCTCACCCCACACCCGGGACCCGTGCTTCCCTTTCTCTGGCTGGCCGCAGGCACCCAGGACCTGGGCCGGCTTCGCCTGGGCTGGCTGCAGTCACAAGGGACCGTGGGTGGGCGGCTTCGCTTGGGCCACAGCCACAGGCGCCTGGGATTGCGGGGTGGGCAACTTGTCCCTCTCCCGGGCTGCCACCTGGCTGGTCCCCATTCCTCTCTCCCCAGTGTTGAGTGTCTGAGCCGTTACAGTGTGAGGGCGTGATGACCATCTGCATATTAGCTCTTTATCATATAGGAGGATATGTGACAAATTTTCATCTATTGGGAAAATCTGCATCATTAACTGGTACACCTCGTATCCTGGGGGTGCTGGGCGCAGCGTGGCAGGGTCAGGAGGCAGGGCGGGGATCACCGCAGGAGCCCAGAGGCCCTCTGAGGGAAGCAGGCCGCCCAGCGAAGGCCCAGGTTCCCCAGACTGAGGAGGAAAATGGGTCATGATCAGAGACGGCCAAGACATGGGGAGCATGTTCCCTGGAGTGAGGTCAGCACAGCCGCATCGGATGCAGGCCTGGAGGACTTCACAGACAGACACTGTCACTTACAGAAACACAAAAGATGAGGTATGAAGTTAAAGAGCGGGAAGACAAAAACAAGGGAACCCAAGACCCTACCGAAATGACAGGGCAGCTTTCGTGAAGCCAACAGGCCATTCAGAAACCTGGAGAAGAACGAGAGCAAAGGGAGGAAAGGCGAGGCCACTCCCCAACTCTCAGAGACGCACCTGCTCTGGCCTGGGGAACCCTCCCGCCCGGCAGCCTCTCACCTTCACCACGTAGCCGATGTACTCAACGACGTGTCCATTGTACTCCTGAGTTTTCAGAACCAGTTTGTCACCTAGAGAAGCACAGGACCACATGTGACCACGGCAGCATATCAGAGGACCCACCACTTCACGTGACGTCAGGGACAGGAGACAGGTGCGGAGTCCCTGACCACGTTTTAAGTGACATTGTAACCCAAACCAAGAAAATGAGCTAATGGGACCACGTGGCACCAGTGGAAACCGCTCCTCCCGGGCGGGCCCACCCACCTGCATACAGGGAAGGCCGGCTCTCAGCCAGCCCCGGGACCTCCAGCACCAGCAAGTCCCCGCTCCTCTTCAAGACAACCCCGCTCATGTTATACTCTTTCAGCTCTATCTCCGCATGGATCTCCTCGAGCCAGAGCAGAGTGGACAGCTTCTCCTTGTAGTTTGACATGTTCAGAAGCTGAAAGCGACGAGCCAGCCAGTGAGCGCGGAGCACGGGGAGCACCCCAGGCCCCGGAGGCAGCAGCTGACATGCCAGACGGGAAGTGAGGGCTGCAGTGACCACAGGCCGTGCAGGACAGCGGTCCTGAGGCGGGGCGTCTCAGTGAGCCCCACCCCCGCCCCACGGCGACCTGGACAGTTTGCAGAGCCTGGCACAGGGACAGCACCAGAGCTGTGTGGCCTGGGCGGTGAGGAGGTGGGGCTGGGGGTGCAGGGAGGCCTAGGCCCGCGGTCGGCAAACGCTTTAGTCAGCAGAGCCAAACACCAACAGGACAACGATTGAAATTTCTTTTGAGAGCCAAATGTTTTAAACTTAACCTATATAGGTAGGCACATTGTTATTAACTTAGTTAAGGTGCTCCTAAGGCTTAGGAAGAGCCACACTCAAGGGGCCAAAGAGCCGCATGTGGCTCGTGAGCCGCAGTTTGGCGACCACGGGCCTAGGGGGCAGTGCTCAGGGTGTGGGAGCAACCTCATAGGACAGGGCTCCCAGCCTCCCGGCATGGGCATCGGGTGCATTGCGGTCGGAGAGGGACCCTCCTGTGCATCGTAGGGTATTTGGCAGCTCTCCTGGCCTCTACAGCACCCTAGTTGTGACACCAAAACACTCCAGGGGGTAAACTGTCACCTGTGGAGAACTGCCGGTTGAAGGGAACAATTCCCAGAGCTCGCACAGGGCCAGGTCGGTGGCCGCCAGCCCCATGCAGCCCGTGCACTGCACTGCACTGCCCTGGGCAGGGTCAGAGGGTACCTGCCCCCAAGGGCACCTCTGTTTCCACCTAGCAAAGCTTTAATGCAGGAAAGTGTCCTGCTTTTCCAAGTAACTCAACTGGGTCCCAGAACTGAGCTCAACGGTAAAATCCAGGATGTCTAGCAGCCACATGAGCCCTCCCGGCTGGAAGGCGGCACTTGAGCCCCTGAGAGGAAACACCCAGCCCCACTCAGGAGACAGGACGTGAGAGCCGTGGCTATACTGCGTCACTGATGTTCAAAGAGGTGAGGAAGACTGAGCATGGTAAGCACAGAGAAGACAGAAGAAAAGGAGTGGACCTGAACCTGTCGAAACCCAGCGCAGAGGGGAAGTGGCGAGAGAACAAGGAGCAGAGCGCCAGGGACGGGTGGGAGGGAAACCACCAGCCACACAGCCAAGCAGCGCCAAGAACCCAGGACCGTGAGGGAAGCGGCACCAAGGCACGTGGTCCTCTAATGTCGCAGACCCGGCGACAGAGCCATCACAGACGCAGCAGGAAAGCCCAGCCTGTGTGTGAAGGCAGAGGCAGCAGAGCAGCTGTGTTGTCGGGACGGCTCGGGGGGCGCAGCCGCCTCAGACTTTTCCAGACACGGAAGCCAATGAGCACCCAGGAGCACCCAGAGGCCGGGGCCCCGTGGGGCCGACAGCACCAGGAAAGGTCAGCGAGGAGCCCCTTTCTAAACGCCTGAACGAGAACTGGTTATGTCACGTGAAAACGCTAAGACGCCTCAAGGACTTCAAAACAGACGCAGAAGTCAGACTTCCGACAACGCCAGCAAGACGCCACGGAGAAGGGGAGGAGCCCGTGGGGCGCCCGCCTGGCAGCTGAGGGGCTGGGGCTCAGGCCCTAACCTGAGACCATGCACCCCAAATCAAGTGACAGCTAAAGAGCATTAACGACCCAGCTCCTCAGGGAAGCTGCCACATCGGGGGCCGCCTCAGGCCGACACCCCTTCTCCGGCAGAAGGCCCGAGCCCACGGTGCCCACGACCAAGGCAGCCTGCAGCCAGGAGAGCACGGGCGGCCACAGGCGCCTCCTACCTCGGCGAGCAGAGGCTGGAAAGTCAGGATGTCAATCTTCTGCTCCACACACTTCTTCAGCCGGTCGGGGATGGGGTACTGGGGAAGGAAACTTGGAAGCTGGCGCCTTGAGTTCCTTAAGGAAGAAATTCAGTTGGAGATGATTCTTCGTCACGACATCTGGCACAAGTTCCTTGGTCACCACAGGAACGACGCAGCAGCCGCGGCCCCGTCAGCGGGCGCCAGCATTTACTGGGGGCATCCTCCCAGCTGCAGCAGGGTGGCCGGTGCACAAGACCCTGGAACCAGGGGTTCTGCACCTTGACTGCTGTGCCTAACAGGGCGTGACCATGGGAACCGCAGCCACGGCTGCAGAGCGCGCTGACGGCTGCTCCGCCCAGGCCTGACTCCGCTCTCGCCTGTCACCCTCCAGCTCTGCCTCCCCTGGCAGGGGCTGTCATTGGGAGTCGCCACCACTGCTGTGGGCAAACCTGATGCAGCAGCATGATGGCCGGAGGGGCAGCCGGAGAGGAGACCAGGGAAGAGCGGATGTTACAGCACCACACGGTCAGTTCACAGGTGCACCTGATGTGGGTGAGGATGGCGCCAGCACTGGCCCCTTCTTGGGAGACAGGCTGGGCTGTGAGGAATACAAGAGGTGGCGGGGACCTGAGGTGGTGAAGTGGTGGCCGGGGCGTAGCAGGTCCACTTCCCCGTCCTCATACGCTCTGTGGGCTGCACCCCGGCCGCCTTCAGACAGTTTTGTATGAACACACCATCCCCCAAGAGTGGAACGAGCCCCCCCCACCGCTTCCCCTCAGCCAGCGGTCACACCATGAGTGCACGCCAGGCCACCCCGCTGTCCCTCCTGTCACGGTACCTTTTCTGCGTGGTCACGACAACCGTCGTTTTCGTGGGCGCCGGCGCCGGGGGACTCTTAGACTTCTTCCACAGGAAGGGCTCGCGCACGGCGATCAGGGCCTCCTCCGCGCTCACCACGCCCACGTCCAGGATGCGCCCGATCAGGCAGCTGGAGAAGCAGAGCAGGAGGAGCTCCTTGCAGCGGCCGGCAGTCCTGCGAGACAAGACATGGTCAGCGTGGGCCCCACATGCAGAGGCGGCCAGGATCAGGATCCTTTTTTTAAAAAAATATATTTTATTGATTCTCTACAGAGAGGAAGGGAGAGGGATAGAGAGTTAGAAACACCAATGAGTGAGAAGCATCGATCAGCTGCCTCCTGCACGCCCCCCACTGGGGATGCGCCCGCAGCCACGGTACATGCCCTTGACCGGAATCGAACCTGGGACCCTTGAGTCCGCAGGCCGATGCTCTGTCCACTAAGCCAAACCGGCCAGGGAAGGATCCTTTGTTTTTAACAATCTCGGAACAGAATCCTTTGTTTTTAACAATTCTTTCACAGGGAAAAGGGACTTTCCACAGGAACAACGTAACATGTCCCCAAGACAGTCAAGCACCCCAAACAGTCACCTCTGTAATCGTCAAACGTCAGAACAGTTTTCCCAAATTTCAATTGGAATCGTCTGACACGACCAGACACGGGTCATCACTGCTTCCTGCCCGAACTCCTGCTGTGGCCCTGGCCCCCAGTGCGGTCCCTGCCCCACATCCTCACAGGATCCCAGGGGTCACGGACAGGGGCTGAAGGAGCCCTGAGGTCCTCATGGTTGGACACTGCTGGGCTTACAGCGAGGCAGGGACGCACTCACTCAGATCCACGTTCACAAAAGATTGACAATTAATTAGCAAATGGAGGTGGCAGACAGCGGCCAAAATGTCCAGCTGACAGGCGCCCAGCAGGCAGTGGCAGGGGCTCAGGACATGTGGAAGGAGAAGAGGAGGCGGCCCAGGCTGAGGGCGCCCAGCTGTCCTCTCACTCAGAAGTCAGGGAAGGGGGTCAGTGCCTCACAGCGGACCTCACTCAAGCCACCGTCTCCACCAACGTGTTTTCTTTTGAGTCTGGTCCCACCAAAAGAGCTACAAATGCTGTTTGTAAGGACCACACGCGGGACCTGAGCGATACGTGTGCCAACGTCCCAGGCAAACCCCTGAGAGCCCAGCAGCACGTACTTGGCCTCACACGTGACCACCACCAGGGCTCTTCCTCCGGGAGGGATGAGCCCACTGGGCTCAGGCTCCATGACCTGCCTCCTCCAGCCGCCCTGTCCGCTTCCTCCCTCTTCTCCTTTGCAGGCACAGTTATCTGAGAGGGGACAGGAGACCCAGCGGTCAGCTGCTGGTGGCAGTGGTGGCGGCCTGTGGACTCCAGCACGCACGCACAGCCTATCACCCAACAGGGCACAGAAAGCCGACAGCAGGCAGCCTCCCGTTTGGAAGTGTCTGCAGGAAGCAGCATGTCCAATGTACTTCCGGGATCGCCAACTACCTTGGTCCCTGTCCCCAGCCCCAAATCATCAGAGAACTCGAACCAGAGCCCACAGCATCGAGGCCCCTGGGTCCCCCGACCGGCCGGGGCCCCGTCCACCTGGAGAGACTGCTCTGCTGTGGGCCACGCTGCTCTCCGCCATCTGGTAGGTTTTGTCTGGGCAGCTCTCCCGCGTCTCAGGGTCGGGAGCAGGTGCTGGGGGGCCGTGCTGGGTCCCCTGCAGCAAGTGGAACCGGAACTGTCTGGTTCTGTCCCAGCCGGCCAGCTTGCAGCTGACCAGCTTCTGCGGGACGTCTCCTTTATTCCTGCACAAAGGGAGCTGCCGTCAGCAGACAGGACTTCCGGAGCTGCTGTTACTGTGAAACAGTTCAAAGGAACTGGTACGTGGCGGCTGCAAATACCTTCACGCCCGCATAACTAAGTTCTGTGGTGAACACTTTCGTAAAGGAAAGAGCAACGGGGCAGGAGAGTGAAGGCTGTTCTGTAGGATCTCTTAACCCCCAGCTGGAGGCACGGCCGGGGAGGGTGGGACTCACTCGATGCAGACCACCAGGCTCCTGCTGCCCCCTTCCCGCAGCGTGCCGAAGCTGGTGGCCCTCGTGACTTCAAGGCCGCCCTTGTTCTTCAGCAGAAGGGCCTCGCAGGTCTCCTCGGAGGCCTCGGCGGGGGCGTGGTCTCTGGAGAATCCCACAGAGTGTCAGTCACCTGCAGGCTGCCTCCCCAGGCTCCGCCCCTGCCCACCTGCCTCTCCTCCCAGGTCCCCAACACCAGGTGCAGGGCCAGCTGCTGAGGACCCTCGAGGACACAGCCACCCTGAGGGTGAGTGACAGTCCTACAAGCTCCAGAGAGGAGGCGAGGCGGCGGTGACACTGCGAGGCGGTCCTGGGCCTTGGGCGGGGGGGGGGCTGCTGATTATCAGGGACAGCAGGCTTTCATTTGGGAAGCGTCATGCTGCTTCACAGCATTTGAAACAATTAAATGAGAAGGTTCTCTCCCCTACCCAGACCCCTTTCCCTTTATTCCAGACACTGCTCACCTGAGCACTGCCTCTAGGAGGCCCACCAGGCACACGCCCGCCCGCCCCACCTGCGGGGGCACTCAGAGTGCAGGCCTTCAGTAATGTATACCTGGGCATTCCCAACCCACATGCAAATGCAGTGACATTCTCACCACACCAGTGACCCCCTTTGCTGGCTGCTGCCCCTCCAATTCCCCATCTACACAGGCCTCCCCACCCCCTCCTTCCTCTCCTGCACAGGTGCCAACAGGGCCGTGGCTGCGGGGGCAGCACTGGAGCTGCTGGGTCTTGGGGCTGCTCAGCTGACCTCTGTGATGGACAGCTGAGGTCAGGAGTGAGTCGCAGGGCTCCCCCCCTTCCCCACCCCCGTGCAGATGTGCAAGACAGTGGGAAGCGCAGGGTCTACAGCAGGGCCGACACTCGCTGGGCACACACAGTGGGCACTCAGATTGGTGGCCGGATGGTGGTCTGACTGGCTACCATCGTGGCATCTGGATGCATGTGCAGAGGAAATGGCTCAGACAGGAAGCCGGGATGGGGGGAGGGGGTGGGGGACAGCACATCCTGGTGGGCAGAGCATGGCCCTCTCGGTGCCAGGCCCGCTCCTGTGGCTGGGACAGTGCTGGCACACAGGCAGCGGGCCCTGACCCTGTGCTGCCCAGACAGGGGTCCAGCCAGCTCCTTCCCCCTCTTAGCCCCCAGCCCCACTCTGAGGGCGATGAGGACACCCGAGTCGAGGATGGGGCCAGCTCACAGCCAGCCCAGCACTAGGGGTGGGGCCTCCCTGTCCCCGGGAGACGGCTACCTGAGGCAGATGAGGGAGGAGCCTCATTGAGCAGGTCTGGGGTCAGTCACTGGCCAGGGAGGACCAGCAACCCCTGGACAGCTGCCCAAGGAGGCGGAGCAGGAGGGACTGACCACTGCCAGGGGCCTGGCTTGCACCCACCACTGCACATGGCCGCCCCACCCCCCTCTGAAAGTGCAGTTAGTAAATCACTGCGTGCTGAGGTCGGTGCCGGGAGAACACGTGGATCTGGACAAGACCATGACCCTGAGCTGGACAGGAGGGGCCAGGCTGGAGTGACAGGCCACACCAACCACTCCCACAGCCTGAGCGCAGTCAGTCTGTCCCCCCCGCCATCCTGCCCCTCACAGCACCCCCCCCACCTCGCCCAGGCTGAGCTTGCATTTAGTGAGATGGGGTGACAGCAGCATGACTGGGGGCCCTGTGTGGTGAGATCCCTGGAAGTGGGTGCTGAGGAGGAAAGGCAGGGAGAGGCGGTGCTTCACAGCGGGAGCCCACGGCCTAGGGAAGGGAGGCCACTGGCAATGCAGGAGGACACAGACACGAGTCAGTCACGTAGGAGTCGGCCATGTCCAGTGTGCCCACAAAACGCCAACATGCTGAAGAATCACCCAGGCCAGACCCAGGGCAGGAGGGAGCCCTCCACTCGACCTCCGATCGAGCACCATCAACTCCTGTGGGAGACGCCTCCTGCCCACCACCACCCACCGGACGTGGACGCAGACGGCCACTGGGCTAGCGCAGGCAACGCTCACCCCAGCCAGTGGGGGCCCTCACCGTCTCTTCACGGGGGTCACGCACAGGGCCCTCCACATGTAGCAGGACTGGCTGCTCTCCACCACCACGGTGCTGACCACGTCGTACCTTCGCGGCACATACCCCTCAGGCAGCTTCAGAGAGTCCAGGGTGAAGAAGACACAGTCGTCGATCACCCCGTTTCTGCCACAGAGGCTGGAAATGCAGACCTGCGGGCACAGCGTGCAGACAGCCTCACCAACCGGCCGGCCCCCTGGCCCCCGAACAAAGGCCCAGTGACCGCGGCCTCCCCTCGCCCGGGGACCTCGGGGGGGAGTGGGGACCCTGTTCTCGGAGCAATGCCCTGAAGTTAACGCATTGTGGGGGCCTCGGAGCTAAGGCCCCTCGCAGGCCGCCACCCCACACGCCCAAGTCCTGTACCCCACTGCCCACAAGCAGGGCAGGGCACTTAGGACTAAACCCGACAGCACACTGGGTGGTCTTCTCTGGCCAACACTGAACCTGACGGGCGACCCACCCAGTGTCCCCCGGGGAACCGGGACCAGCGAGGGCCAGCGCCTACCTTGTCCACACGCTTGTACCGCAGCGGCTTCACCGACAGGGCCTCGCTGCTCCACGTGCCCGGCCGGATCCAGTAGGTGGCCTCCACCCAGTCGCCCTTGCACGGCTCGAAACCTCCGAGGCAGGAGGGCGGCGTCACCCGGGCCGTCCCCCCAGGCCGTCCCCCCCCCCCCCCGCCATGTCCAGCCCCTCGGAAGGGACGGGCACTGGTGCTCTGCCCACAGGGACACTGTTACCCTGATCTCCTGCAGACCCACCTGCTGCAGGGCCTCCTCCCCTCAGCCCCTCTCCCTGCCAGACAGGCCCACGCTCAGGTAGCCACGAAGCTGGTGCGCAGCCTCAAAGCCCATCTGGTTCCAGAGATTCACATACTTTCCATTAAAACCCCAGGTATTAGCGGCAACACAAGCAGCTCAGTAGCAGACCTGTCATCACCTCCACCTTCTAGAGCAGCGGTTCCCAACCTTCCTAACGCCGCGACCATTTAATACAGTTCCTCATGTTGTGACCCAACCGTAACATTATTTTCGTTGCTACTTCATAACTGTAATGTTGCTACTGTCATGAACCATAATGTAAGTATCTGATATGCAGGATGGCCTTAGGCGACCCCTGTGAAAGGGTCGTTCGACCCCCAAAGGGGTCGCAAACCACAAGTTGAGAACCGCATTCTAGAAGGTGTGGGCGCATGTGTGGTGGACAGTTTCACGACACCCTGTCCCTACCACCTCTGCCCAGATGCAGTGAGTGCCCCTCCCACTTAGGGACCCAGGGTGCTGGGGACGAGGGTAACTGAGGGCTGGCAGCTAGGTCTCTGCCAGCTCAGGTGGGGAGCAGGCAGTGCCCCACCAGCCCTGTGGCCTGCCAGGTAGCCGTGCTGTGGCCAGTGCCACGGCCTGCAGGGTGCAAGGTGCCCGCCCCCTCTGGCAGGCTGGGAAGCTCAGTGGCATGGAATGCAGTCCTGACACAAGGCAGGGAGAGAGCAGTCTGGGCAGGATGGCTGTGGTGCCTGGTGTAAAGCCACCACCAGATACAGCCTTTTGGTTCTTTTGCAATAAGCACTTCCGACAGCAATAAGCCCAAAGGACAGAGCACGGAACTGGACCCCAAGTTGTTCCTGTGGGAGCTGGTGACGAGCACTGTCCCAGCCACCAGCCACCTGTCAACTGCACTCGGGGGCTCCCAAGGTTAGCAGTCAAGGCTGCTCCCAGCTTTCATGGCCGTCAAGGGGACACAGCAGGCTCCCGGCAGGATGAGCTGATGCCCACAGCCCAGGTGGGGAGTCCCACGTCTACCTCTCAGCAGGCACTCTGCAGGGCCTGGGGCTAGAGTTCAGCTCAGAAAGCACCCCCCCTTCCCCCACCCGCCATCCTCCCCGCCTGCCCCCAGCTCTGCCAGTTCCTGCTGGGTTCCGAATGGGATGGTCTGCGCGGGAGGAAGAGCCACTGTCTCAGGCCCCCTGTTGCTGCCCTCCTACCACTGTGCCCAGCAGGCACCCCAGACGCTGCGAGTTAAAGTTAACTGAGGGCACCAACTTATTTCTTTAGGCATGAAAACAAAATCTGAGATCAGCTCAAACAAGTGCGATCACACAGGGACACGTGCTCCTGGGAGGTGCAGGTTCCCCACACCCCCTGAAAGCGTGTGAAGCGCCTGAGAAACAGCAGCGCCCGTGTGTCCGAGGCACCAATGACGATGCGAAAGGAGTAGTTACTCAGAGACGATGGCTGCATTCCACGAATGGGCACAAATGACAGCACGTCCCGTCCAAGACTCTCAACCTACAAAACGCGCCCCCATCTGACCCTCTCAGGGACGCACTAACCATTGCGAATCTAAGACATAACAAATGGAAAACCCACTTTTTAATGTGAAGGAGAAAGCCACCCTGCTGACCTTCACAAACGCTCTTCAGAGAGAAGTATGTGGTCTGATTGATGTAGCCAGCGCCCTTCATCAGCGACGTCACACAGCCAATCAGCACCCGGGGGCTGGAGTCGGACAGTCCTCTGCCCTGGTTTTTGCTGTCCTCTTCCCACTTATCAGAAACAGCTTCCACCTGAGACAAACCAACCTCTGTTAAGCACCAGAGGCCCACAGAACAGCAGGCTGAAGACCAGCACCTGCTGTGAAGAGCGATGCGAAAACCCCAATAAAAGACCAGCAAGCCGAACGCAGCAAACTATGAAAAGCATTGTGCACAAGCGAGGAGGACTCATCCCGGAAGGAAGGGCGGGTCAACAAGAAACTCCACCACGCGACACACACACTGGAGGAGCCGGGAAAACCACCGTCATCTCGGGGTGCAGAGAAGGCACCTGACAAAACGCAACTTGCTCTCGTGATGCAACACTCCGCACACTAGGCACAGACACCACCAGGCCACGTGTGCAGTGTCCTGCCAACGTCACGGGCAGTAGCGACACTCACTGAAAGCTTTTCCTCTAAGATGAGGAACAAGATGAGGTGCCTCCTTTTGCCACTTCTGCCAAAACAGCACTGGACGGTCTAGCCAGAGCAACAGGCAAAAAAAAAAGAAAGAAAGAAAGAAAGAAAGAAAGAGAATCTAACCTGGAGAGGAAGAAGTAAATTTATCTCTGCTTACATATGCCATGATCTTATATGTAAAAATCCACTAAATATTCCATTAAAAAACTGTTATAGCTAATAAATGAATTCAGCAAAGTTGCAAGATACAAATCAACAAAAATTACTTGCGATGAATATTCCAAAAAGTGAAATTAAAAAACCAATTTGCTACATACAGACACATCAAAAAGAAAAAGAAACTTAGGAATAAATTTAACCAAGGAGATAGAAGACGTATACACCGAAAATTATAAAAAGTGGCTGGAAGAAGTTAAAGACACAAGCAAATGGAAAGACACTGTTCATGAATTGGAAGACTTATATTAAAATGTCAATATTGTGCTAAGCAATCTAGAAATTCACCGCAATCCCCATCCAAATCCCAGGGACCTTATAGAAAGAGAAAACCCTCCTAAAATTCATACTGTCTCTCAGGGGCCTTGAGTAGCAAAACTATCTCGAAAAGGAAGAACAAAGCTGCAAGTTCCACATTTGATTTCAAAACTTGCTACAGAGTTATAGTCATCAAACAGTGGCACTGGCATGAGCACAGGCACAGGAACAGATTCCAGAAATAAATGGCATGTGTGGTCAATAGATTTTCTTTTAAAATTTATTTATTTTACAGAGAAAGAGGGGCAGGGAGGGATGGATGAATGGATAGATGGAGGCAGGGAGGGAGAGAAACATGGATCTGTTGTTCGACTTACCTATGCATTCACTGATTGATTCTTGTGTGTGTCCTATCTGGGTATGTATTTAACCCACAACCTTGGTGGGACAACACTCTAACCAACTGAGCTACCTGACCAGGTCCCAAGACCATTCAATGCAGAAAGGGTTTCCCCACGGTGAAGGCTTCTAAAACATGATGGTGAGAAAACTGGATACCAATATACAAAAGAAAGAAGTTAAATCCTTACCCAACACCATACTCACAGATTAGCTCAAAATGGATCAAAGACTTACATTTAAGAGCTAAAACTATAAAACTCTTAGAAAGAATAGGCAAAAATGGCCATGCTCTTGGACTAATGAATAATTTTTAAAAATATATTATTTTTATTGATTTCAGAAAGGAAGGGAGGGAGATGAGGTAGAAACAACAATGATGAGAGAGAATTATGGATCAACTGCTTCCTGTACATCCCCCATTGGGGATTGGGCCCGAAACCCAACCCTGACCAGGAATTGAACCGTGATCTCCTGGCCAGGCTGACGTTTCTTACAGAGCTCAAAAGCTACAATGAAAAGACAAACACATTTAACTACAAAAAACTATAAATCAAAGCCAAAAGATAATCTTGGGGAAAATATTTGCAACACTTCCATATACCAATTTTCCTTTAAAAGATCTAATTTCCTTAAAATAGAATTTTCATTAAAAAGTTGAGCCCCACAAAAAATATGGACAAAGGACACAAAAATATTTCATAGAAAAAAAGTGAAATGTTAAATTATTTTAAAAAGTGAAAAATAAAATTACGAGATAACTGTTCACGGATTAGATTGGCAAAGATTCACAAGAGTGAGACATCCACGCCCTTGTCAACCTTGGGGAACAGACAGCCTTCCACCTGCTCCCAAGAGTTCAATTAGTACAACATGACTGGGAAGTAATCCGACGACAACCACTGAAGTGAGAAGTGTGCACACCCTTTGCCTAACAATCCTACTTCCAAGAAATTACAAAAGTACTATTTGCAAATAAAAAAGTTGCTGAATAATAGGATCCGCTAAAGGGATAACACAGGGTCCAGTAACTGCTACTTTTAACAATATTTTTTGAAGACTAGAAGAATACAGAAATGTTCACCGTGTTCATCTCCAGTCTAAAATTACAGGCGAACTTACGAAGGATACGTGTCTACGGTGTTCGATTTACAACGATCACCACTGATTTTTTAAAACGGAAACCACGGCGAGAACAAATGCGCCCGGGCAGGTACACCCCGTCTCCCCCCTTAGCCAGGTGTCTCCGAGGCCACGCGAGCGGGCGGCCCGGGAACCCGGAAGAAGCTCGCGCCCAGGCGGGCCTCACCCTGACGGCCTTCAGCCCGTTGGACACTTTATCCTCCTCCACCACCGCGATGACCTCCTGCCCCACGCTCAGCAGCACTTTGCTCGTCACCACGTCGTTGGAGAAGTAGATGAGGTCGTCGATCATGCCGTAGTCGCTGCAGTACCTCGTCACCACGCCCTGCACGGTTTTCAGCTTGGCGTCACCTGGGCGGAAGGACAGACAAAGCGGCGCCACTGATGGCCAGCGCGGGGGGGGGGGGGGGGGGGGCGCGGGGGGGGGACCCTACCCCCGGGGCCCTGCTGGAGGGAGGCGGGGGGGGCGGGGCCCAAAGGGGCTGCAGGCCCCCCCCCCCCCCCCCCCGGGAGCGTCCAGGAAGTCGGTGCGTGAGGCAGGCTGCCTGGTGCTCGACCCCCAGCTCTTCCACGGCCACGTGGAACCCCAGGCCGGGTCCCGACCGCCTCGTGCCTGCTCCCCGGCGAAGGGGGCGCGGGGACAGCCTCCACTGATGCCCGGGCGGCTGGGGCGCAGTGGGGGTGACTGTGAGTGATGCCGCATCCGGGGACTTGTGATCCCTACTGTCGCTTTTTCCTCTTTCGTAATCCACAACCTCGGCAGCAGCGCCAGGAAATTATCTCACAAAACGAGGCAACGCGAGAGATCCCAGGCCTGGCCCGGGATCCAGGGGACCCCCCTCCCCCATTGCTGGCGACAAGGCTGCTGCCGCCCGTGTCCTGGGCCCTCCCTGCACCCCTGGGTGCACGTCTGCCCCGCGGCCCCTGCACGGGAGACTGGGCTCGGGCTGCCCCTCCAAGCCCACGGGGTGCAGACAGCCCGGAGGGCGAGGCCACGCCACAGGCCAGAGCCGGGATGCGCCTGCGGGGGAGGTGGGAGGTCGACTAGGCGCCCGGCCTGACTGCTCTCCCCGGGGGAGGCCTCGCCCTGGGGACCGCCGCCCGCCCGCAGCCCTGGCCCCGGCCCACGGCCCTCGAGGCACCTTCCGCGGGCTCGAGCCTCCGCAGCCCGGTCCCCTCCTCGGGGCCGTCCGCCCTCCTCCAGAAGAAGGCCACCACCTTGGCCGCGAGGCGCAACATGGCCGGCTGCGGCCTAGTCCGCGCAGCGTCCAGCTGCCCGAGGCCCCTGCACGTGGCCACGTCGCTCCCACCGCCCTCAGCCAATGGGGTGACCACGCCTGCGCCTGCGCCTTCGCCTTGTTTGTTCACGGAGCTTGGCCAATGGGGTTGCCGCACTGGAGCCTGCACCGGAGTCCCTTTGACTTTGGCCAATGGGGTTGCCGCCCTCTGGGACTGCGACTGCGCCTGCGCCCATGACCCATCGCTATTAGCCAATGGGGTCTCCGCTAGCAGTGTTTGTGGGCCGTTGGCGACCGTTAGTGTGCCTAGGCGCGGTGCAGTGTGGGAGTGATGTCATGTCCGGCCATTGGCTCGTGCTGGAGGGCGGAGCTTGGCGCAGGTGGGCCTCCGGGCCTCCTTCCCATTGGCTGCTGTCAGGCGTCGCTTTGGTTCCGGCCACGCCCCTCCTCCGGTGCAGGGTTGGAGATGCTCTTCTGCTCCTGCCAAGCGCGGCCCTGGTTCCTGACAGCGAGTCACACGGGCAGGTTTTCGGCGTTAAACACGCTGCTCTCCCGGGAGAACGCGCCGGGTCGTGGCCGCGTCTTTGCTCCGGGGACTCTGGTCCGGACTGTCCCCTCCCGCGTGTCGCGGCCGCTCGGTATCTGTCTCCTGAGGCCTCGGGGAGTGAGCCGCCTGCCCCGAGGCGGAGGCGCCGGAACGGAATGAGGCCTCGCACGGAGGGGGTCCTTCCCGTCTGCTCGGCGGGGCTGCAGGCCTCTTCGTGGGCTCATTTCGAGTTGCACCAACTTCTGCACCTGCCTAGGCTCCTCCACGTGCCGTGCAACGCGAGGCAGCTGCGCCGGCTCCTCTGCTCAGGGTTTGTCCATTTCAAACAAGGTGTCAAATATGGCATCGCCCGGCCGGCCGGGGCTCAGTGGTGAGAGGTCGGCCCGGAGGGAAGGGTCGCGCGGTTCGACTCCCGGTCAAGGGCACGCCCCTGGGTTGCAGGTCTGAGCCGGGCCGTGTCCGGCGCGTGTGGCGGGGGAGCAAGCAATCGATGTGTCTCCCACGTGGATGCTTCTGTTTCTCCTTCTAAAATTCAGTGGGAAATATCCCCGATTCTGCACTTCTCAGCTCAACTCTTCAGCAGATGCGCTCGGCCGCCCGACAGACGTCATCAAAGCGCACTCCTCGCCGGCCGCCTGTGAACCAGGAGGTCACCCCAGTGGGGGGCGCGCAGGAGGCAGCCGTCCATGATGCTCTCTCATCATGGATGTGTCTCTCTCTCCCACTCCCTTCCTCTCTGAAGTCAATAAAAATATATTTAAAAAACACAAAAGCCCACGGAGACAGCAGAGCATCCCACGATGGGGACCTGATGCTTCGCTCTCACCTCCCGTGGGTCTGTGTGTGCGGAGCCGGTGTTCCGGGCGCCTGAGCTCGCCGTGCACACACAGACCCTGCGGCTGTGACGCCCGTGCCAGCGTCTCCGGGGAAGGCATGTCCTGGCCTTTCTCTCTGCTCAGTGAGCAGAAGGAGAGGGCGCCACGGGGGCTCCGGGGCTGCCTGCCGGCCGGCCGGCCGGCCAGAGTCCGGAGCAGGCCAGGGCCACCCGGCCGGGGCTGCGCACAGACGTGTGTGTTTGCGTGTGCGTGTGCGTGCTGTTGTGCAGGCGGTTTCCTCGTATGACCACAGGGGATGGGAAAAGGGCGCTGGGAATAAAACGTCTCCAAGACAGAGCGCGGCCTCCGCCTTCGGGACTCTGTGCCGGGGGATCCCCTCGGGGGCACTTCTTCTGAGACGCCCCCGGCGCCCACGCCCTCCCTGTGCTGAGTGGGACCGGGGCGGCCCCTCCGTTTCCCGGAGCGAATCCAGGCCCTGGCAAGGCCGGCAGTTACACAACCACCGAGAACTTCCCAGGGTCACGGCTTCCCCTCATTGACATTCAGGACGAGGCTCTCCTGCTCCTGGCCCCGCGCAGATCTGCTGGGCTTTTGTTCCCCCTGAGGAGTCGCTGCTGGAAGGCCCGGCAGGATGACTGGGCAGCAGCGAGCCCCCCACCCGGAGACCGGCGCCACCAGCCCGGGGAGGTGAGCACGGACGGACGGACAGACAGACAGACGGACGGGACCTGTGTGTGTGAGAGAGAGAGGTGGGGTGGGGGTGACAGTTCAGTGACCACCTTGAGCAGCTGAAGGGCGTGGAGGAGCCAGCGCTTCCTGGGACGTGGGGGGTGAAGGACGCAGGGCCAGCACCCGCCCGAACCCAGAGGCGGGCTGGCTTTGCTGGGAAAGGGGCTGAGGGAGGAAGCAAGCGAGTCTCTTGTTCAGTTCACGGACTTGCTGTGAACGGCCCTCCCTCACTGGGAACTTGTTTTAACCGGCGCGTTTCCAGAGCGACCGCGAGGAGTAGAGTGGGCAGCGCGCCGGGCACAGCTCCGGGCGGCACTAACGAGGCCAGTCTGTCCCCAGCGCCATGACGCGGGAGGAGTCCTGCCGGGAGGAGCTCGGCTACGACCGGACGGCCACCCTGGAGCGCGGGAGGCCGGACGCAGAGGGCTACGCGGACACCAAGGCCGGCGACCTGCCGCTGTCGTCGAGGCTGCCCACCTGCTTCAGCCACAAGACGTGGGTCTTCTCTGTGCTGATGGGGGTGAGTCGCGTGCCAGGGCCACGGAGGCATCGTCCCGTGAGGTGTGCCCTGGCCGATGCCGCTCCCAGGCCTCGTGGGACGAGCTGCTCCCTACCCTGCTCCGGAGAGCCCCGGGGGGCTGGTCTCCAAATCGGTCCTCCGCTCACCTGCATCTGTGGCCCCAGCCCCAATGGCCGCTGGGCTCTGGCTGCCCTGGGTCCTGCCACAGTTGGGACAGCCCAGGGCCCACCTGACTGTCCGCAGGGTCATGCATGGAGCTGGGGTGGCCTCCTGGAGGGGGTCTGGAGTCACCCTGCAGGGGTGGGAGGAGCCTCCGGCAGAGTGGCCGGGGGACGGTGTCCCCTGGTGGGAGGCAGGGCCATGGTGTCAGAGCAGGCCCAGGGGCCAAGAACAGCCAGCAGGGAGCTGGGAGTCAGGCTGGGGGGACCAAACACTGGAGGGGACTTTCCTGGGACGTTCACCTTCAGACGAGCTTGGTGACCTGGGAACCAGGCCTCCGGACCCCTGGGCAGCACCCCCGATAGTCCTGCTTGCCCTCCCCCCAGCCAGGACCCCATGGGGCACTGAGGAAGCCCCCCCCGCTCCTGCTCCCGGGGTCCTAGACTCGGAGCCACGCCCCAGCCCCTGCTCCGCTGCCCGACCTCACGTAGGTGTGGGTCGTGTCTCCTCGGCCCAGGCCCCAGGCCCCAGCACTGCCATCACAGTGCAACAGACAAGGCCCCTGCCCGCCCCGCAGCCTCACCCTCTGCAGTGAGTTCCCATCTCCGGGCCCTGAGCTGGACGAGGCTCCGTGCCTGGACCCGGGAGTGGGGGTCCTAAGGCCCCGAAATTGTCCCTGGTGGGGGGAGGGCATTTTCTGGGAGAGGCATCATTTCTTCCCTTAGATTCTGACAGGGCCCCTCCTTTTCTTCCCCAAGTCAATGTTGAAGCCCACAGCCCGACAGGGCAGGGTGGGCCCTGGCTGTCCCCGGGCGGGGGCGGGGCCGGGGGGCCAGGTGCCGTGTGGTGCCGGCAGGCACCGTGCTGAGTCGTGCTGTGTTGCAGAGCTGCCTGCTGGTGACCTCGGGGTGCTCGCTGTACCTGGGGAATGTGTTCCCCTCTGAGATGGATTACCTGCGCTGCGCTGCGGGCTCGGTAAGCAGTGCCCTCGGGCGGGTCCTGGACCGAAGCTTGGGGTGCGGCTGGGTGTGTGCTCCGAGATACCCCGTGGCTGGCCCTCGGCAGTCAGCACCTCCTCTGGGGCCTCAGCTTCAGGGGTTCATGACGTTTGAAAACGACCGATGAGCGAGTCTGAGCCCCGCCGCGGCCTCCTGGGCTGGAAGTGGCTCCCTGGTCTCTGGCTTCTCGGAGTCAGGCCCCGGGGACTTGGGCTGCCCCAGGCCTCCCCGCTGTGCCCCACTGCAGGCCACTGGCCGGCCGGGCACGCCCTGGGCTCGCGGGGCCTCTCACCTGCCCTCCCGCCTGCCCGCTCTCCTGCTGCAGCCCCGCCAGGTCCTCTAACACCTGAGCCACTGACACAGCTTCCCTCCCACCCGCCCTGGGCGGCCTGTGCTGCCTCAGGACAAAGCTCTAATGCCCGCCCTGCCTCTCGGAGAACCTTCCAGGTGACCTTTGTCCTCACCTCTGGTGCAGCCCTTGTTGGGGCCACAGTGACCTGACCTCTGACCCTGATGGCTTCAGGGCAGCACCAGTCTAGGCTGGGGGTCCCGGCGTAGATCTTGGCAATGCCCTTCCCCCTCAAGTGACAGGGGTCATGGGGTCCCAAGGGCTCCCCCTCCCCATCCAACTACTGCTCTGGCCCCGCAGGCCCCGCCCCTCAGCTTGTGCTGTGCCCACGGCAGCGTCTGCAGGTGCGTCACCCCCAAGAGCCACACGTGGTGTGGCCCCTGAGGCCCCTTGGCCCCCTCTGTCCACCTCCCCACCCGACACCCCACACTTGCCCTCTTCCCTTGTCTTTGCTCCGGTGAGGGTCACAGTGGCCCCGACAAGAACGCCCTGGGGCTCGGCTCCTGAGTTCCCGCCCTGCAGCGTCTGCCCTTGGGGCCCCATCTCCCGCAGGGACCACCTCCGCCTCCGAGTGTCCACCTGGACATGGTCACACAGGGGCCCTTCCCGTCCCGCCAGGAAGCTGACGCTTCTTCCCGAACAGCCACTCTGCAGACGGGGCCTCTCAGGGCCGGCCCGTGGCCACCACCCTGGTTTTGCGACCGACCGTCTCGGGCCTGGGAGGCTCAGCGCTCACTGGCCCGCTCACGGGCTCTCTCTCTTCCAGTGCATCCCCGCGGCCGTCGTGAGCCTCGCTGTTTCCCGGAGGAACGCCGACGTGGTGAGTCCAGCTCGGTCCAGTCGCTGGGCCCTGGGCAGCCGCACGGCTCGTGGCTGCAGATGGAACCAGGCCCTGTGGGGCCGACAGGCACGTGTGTGCTCACCTGTGTACACGCATACTTGTGTGCGTGTACTCGTGTGCACGTGTGTACACTTATGTGCATGCATGTGTGCCTGGGTGGGTGCACCTCACTGCCCACGGCAGCCCGAGCCCCCACCCTCTCACCGGGAGTGAGTCCGTGGCCTCCCCACGAGTGGCCTGGAGTTGGGGTTAGTGTGGTGCAGAGGAGCACACACCCGACTTCTCTCCCAGGTCCCCAGCTTCCAGCTGCTGTTCGTCTCCACGTTCGCGGTCACCACGACGTGTCTGATCTGGTTTGGATGCAAACTGGTCCTGAACCCGTCAGCCATCGACGTGAGTCGCCGGGGCCACGTGGGTCCTCACGCTTCCCGCCTCCTCCCGGGCCTCCTGCCGCCGAGTCTGTGGGGCGCGTGGCTGCTGCCGCGTGTACCTGTGTCACGGCTCTCGTCCGACCCAGTGGAGAGTTTGTTCATCCTTCTGAGGAGGGAATTGTCTTTCACGTTTTCCTGACTCAGCGGATGGATTGACTGATGCCATTTCAGTGCCTTCCCGAGTTCTTAGACGTTAACGGGCATGGTGACAGGCAGGGGTCCCCCACAGCGTGCACCCACTCTAACAGCTGATAGCTCAACGGAGTTTCTCCTTGTTGAGTGTAACCCCTGGAGTTAATAATTACTCAGTGGGTCTGCGTTTTGGGGGACACCTTGTGTTTCATCGAGTCTGCGACGCACTGGTGGTGAGGGGCGCCTCTGAGAAAAACGGAAGAGCCATCATTCTCGCTCCAGAGCCAGAGGCGACTCACAGACACGGGGACCCCAGGGTCCTCCCAGAAAGCCACCGGCTCTGGGACCTGGGAAACGGTGGGGCGGCCCGAGGAAGGCTGAGCGGCTAACAAGCCACCAAAATGGACAGACGCACCCCGGTCGCCCGGCCGTGTGGTCCGCACGGGAGATGGTTGGCTACTTGGGTGGTTGTAGGGCTGCTGAGGGCTCGCACCAGGGGTGCCCTGTGAGCGTCGCCCGGTGGTTATTTTTACGAGTCACCCACTTCGCACCGCTCTCCCACGTTGCATGTTGTGGTCAGAAGGCACCGTCAGGGCTGTGCCGATTTCCTGGGACTACCGGGCCGTTTTAACAGGTGGTCAGTTCCCAGATGCCCTGAAGGTGTGGCAGTCCACGCTGTGTTTTGATGCAAGTTCTGTAGAGCAAGCGTATTAATTGCATTGGGTCTGAGATGTAGGTTTACCATCGTCCAGGTGTGGGGAGGCCAGGTCCAGGGACACTGGCCACCGAGATGACAGTTTGTGCTCACAGTCCCCAGGAGGAGGGGCCTTGAGGCCACACGAGGGCAGGGGAGCAGGGCAGGGGGCGCAGGAGCAGGGCGGGGGGCGCAGGAGCAGGGAGGGGGCGCAGGAGCAGGGAGGGGGCGCAGCAGCAGGGTGGGGGCACAGGAGCAGGGAGGGGGCGCAGGAGCAGGGAGGGGGGCAGGGGAGCAGGGCAGGGGTCGCAGGAGCAGGGAGGGGGCGCAGGAGCAGGGGGGGGCGCAGCAGCAGGGTGGGGGCACAGGAGCAGGGCGGGGGCGCAGGAGCAGGGCTGGGGGCAGGGGAGCAGGGCAGGGGGCGCAGGAACAGGGATGGGGGCAGGGGGCGCAGGAGCAGGGCGGGGGGCAGGGGGCGCAGGAGCAGGGAGGGGGGCAGGGGGCGCAGGAGCATGGTGGAGGCGCAGGAGCAGGGAGAGGGCGCAGGAACAGGGTGGGGGCGCAGGAGCAGGGATGGGGCGCAGGAGCAGGGTGGGGGTGCAACAGCAGGGCAGGGGTGTGGGAGCCCTCGCTTTGGTCTCAGGGAGGAACAGGCAGGGAGCAGCTGAGGACGGTCTGTGTGAAGTGTCTGGGCTCCGGGACGGGGGCTGCCCCTGGCTGTTGGGGACCTGGCCCCGGGTGATGAGGGCCGCTGGGGGGAGCCTCCTGAGTAGGGGCAGCAGGCCCTGGACTGGCCCGCTTGTACACAAATTGACATTTTTTAGCGATGGCTCTGTGAGCACTAACGGACGTGACTCTGGACATTAGTACAGAGGTAGGCGCATACCTGTCAGCAGGGCGGGAAGTGGGAAGCGCCCCAAAGCCCCGGTGGCCTCGGTCTTTGGCAACGTGCACAGGTTTCGGGGTGAATGTAGGTTCCCTCTCTAACTGTTACCACTTTCAAATCCTCACCTGAGGATTTTTTTCCCTGTTGCTTTCAGAGAGGGTAGGAGGGAGGGAGGGAGGGAGAGAAGAGACAAGGAGACATCTATGTGAGAGACACACCCACTGGCTGCCTCCCCCACAGAGGGAACCTGTTCCCAGGCACGAGCCCTTGACCAGGAATCGAACCCGAGACCCTTTGGTCCAGGGACCGAGGCTGTGACCATTGAGCCACCAGCCAGGGGGTGCTCCTCTCTTTAGAGCAGGGGCCCTGGAGGGCCGGCGGCAGGGAGGATGGACCAGGGCCAGGCTTGGATCAGCCGCAGGCGGCACCCAGCCCTGTGCCCGGGGTCCAGGTCACAGGTCAGAGGAGGCAGGCGCTCAGCCCCGCTCCCCGCCCCCTCGGCCCCTGCAGATCAACTTCAACCTGATCCTGCTGCTGCTGCTGGAGCTGCTCATGGCGGCCACGGTCATCGTCTCCGCGCGGGCCAGCGAGGCGTCCCGCCGGCAGGTGGGCGGCCGTGTGCAGGTGTGCGGGCCGTGTGCGGGGCGGGGGGCGGGGGGTGGGGGGTGGGGGTGTTGTGCTGACCTCCCCAGTATCCCGTGGAGAGGCCGGTCTGTCTGTGGAAAGTGCCGCTGGGGCAGGAACGTTTCCTCACCTGTGAGAAAGACGCTTACCTGAGCTGCTCGCAGGCCTGGGGGTCACTAGCCGGAGCTGGGGGAGTGGGGAGAGGGGAAGGAGGTGGGGGAGGGAAAGGGGGCGGCCCCCAGCACAGGGCGCAGGCAGGTCACCCGTCTCTCTCTCCAGGGCTCCAGCTCCGACAGCGCCAGCACGCTGCCCGGCGAGGCGTTCCCTGCGCGGGTCCTGAAAGCCTACTCCGTAAGGGCGTCCGTCTTCCTGCTCCTTCTGTTATTGGGGGAGGGCAGGGCGCTGTCTGTGGGGATCGCGGCTCCTGCAGTGCGGTTGGTGCCAAAGCACCACATCGTAGGAGCTGCCAGGTGTGGATGATTGATGTCGATGTGGGTGGGGTGGGGTGCAGGTGCGGGTGCAGGTGTGGGTGGGGTGGGGTGTGGGTGCAGGTGTGGGTGGGGTGCAGGTGTGATTGGGGTGGGGTGCAGGTGCGGGTGGGGTGTGGGTGCAGGTGTGGGTGGGGTGTGGGTGCAGGTGTGGGTGGGGTGTGGGGTGCAGGTGCGGGTGGGGTATGGGGTGCAGGTGCGGGTGGGGTGTGGGTGCAGGTGCGGGTGGGGTGTGGGTGCAGGTGTGGGTGGGGTGTGGGTGCAGGTGTGGGTGGGGTGCAGGTGTGAGTGGGGTGGGGTGCAGGTGTGGGTGGGTGTGGGGTGCAGGTGTGGGTAGGGTGTGGGGTGCAGGTGCGGGTGGGGTGCGGGTGTGGGTGGGGTGTGGGGTGCAGGTGCGGGTGGGGTGCAGGTGTGGGTGGGGTGTGGGGTGCAGGTGTGGGTAGGGTGTGGGGTGCAGGTGCGGGTGGGGTGCAGGTGTGGGTGGGGTGTGGGGTGCAGGTGCGGGTGGGGTGCAGGTGTGGGTGGGGTGTGGGGTGCAGGTGCGGGTGGGGTGTGGGTGCAGGTGCGGGTGGGGTGTGGGTGCAGGTGTGGGTGGGGTGGGGTGCAGGTGTGGGTGGGGTGGGGTGCAGGTGTGGGTGCGGGTGCAGGTGTGGGTGCAGGTGCAGGTGTGGGTGGGGTGCGGGTGCGGGTGCGGGTGCGGGTGCAGGTGTGGGTGGGGTGGGGTGCAGGTGTGGGTGGGGTGGGGTGCAGGTGTGGGTGGAGTGTGGGTGCAGGTGCAGGTGCGGGTGCAGGTGTGGGTGGGGTGTGGGTGCAGGTGCGGGTGCGGGTGCAGGTGTGGGTGGGGTGGGGTGCAGGTGCGGGTGCGGGTGCAGGTGTGGGTGGGGTGGGGTGCAGGTGTGGGTGGAGTGTGGGTGCAGGTGCAGGTGTGGGTGGGGTGTGGGTGCAAGTGCGGGTGCGGGTGCAGGTGTGGGTGCAGGTGTGGGTGCAGGTGTGGGTGGAGTGTGGGTGCAAGTGCGGGTGCGGGTGCAGGCGGGCTGCAGATGTGGGGTGAGTGAGGCACACAGTCCTGGCTGACACCTGCTGCCCCTGGGCGCCCTGTTTGGAGGATCCATCAGGTGGCCACCCTCTCGTTTCACTTTGAGTCTCTCTCTGCGTCTGCTGGTCCCGTAACCAAGCTGCTCGCCTCCCACCGGAGTTGGCGTCTGGGCTTCTCTGTGGCCTGTAGGTTTGGGCGAGAGGTGTTTGGGGTTACGTCGCGCTTAGAATCACTCCTGGTGGCCTCTCTCCGTCAGGACAGCAGCCTGCCTGGGGGGTGGTTCTGCCGTAAAAGCCAGAGCACATCCGGTCTGGCTGCTGTGGGCCTGGCTCCCTCCTCAGTCTGTGGACAGCGACCGGGCGTCACTGTCTGTCCTTCTCGGGCCTTTTGAGTGGAGCCCGCTCCCTCGAGGTGCCCATGGCACGTGCCGCCGGCCGTGTCCTGCCCCCGTGAAGGCGGCAGCGCCCCCGCTGATCCGGTGGGGGGTGCGTGTCCCGTGTCCTGCCCCCGTGAAGGCGGCAGCGCCCCCGCTGATCCGGTGGGGGGTGCGTGTCCCGTGTCCTGCCCCCGTGAAGGCGGCAGCGCCCCCGCTGATCCGGTGGGGGGTGCGTGTCCCGTGTCCTGCCCCCGTGAAGGCGGCAGCGCCCCCGCTGATCCGGTGGGGGGTGCGTGTCCCGTGTCTGGGAAAGTCGTCCTCGGGCTCCAACGGTGCCGCTCCTTCGCCCCAGCTCTTCGCGCCCCACGCCCTGCCGGCCACGTCAGGGCCCACCTCCCCGGGGACGCTGCCTCCACTGTCGCCCACAGGTCATCGAAGTGGTTGCTGGCGTCTCCGCCGTGCTGGGCGGGGTCATCACTCTGAACGTGCACGAGGCCGTCTCGAGCCCGCACCTCGCGGTGACGTTCTTCTGGATCCTCGTGGCCGTGAGTACCTCCAGCGCGGCCTCCTCCGTCTGGCGTGGCCACACGGCCCTCTCCTGGCCACCCTGCCGCTCCCATCGGACGCCGGGCAGGAGGGCACGGCCGGGAGCCCCGCTCCTGGGCCTGTCGCCTCCAGTGTCTTCCTTTTCTCTCCCCTCTCAGTGTTTCCCAGGCGCCATTGCCAGTCACGTGACAGCAGAGTGTCCCAGCAGGTGCCTGGTAGGTGGGACCCAGGCTGCGGGTGGGGGAGTGCGGGGGGGGGGGGGGGGGCTGCCCTGGGGGGAGGAGCCCAGCTTCGGCTCATCCTGTGTCTGTCGGGTAGCGACCTGCAGCCTCGCTGTGGATGTGGGACGGGTGCAGGGCAGGTCTCACGGCAGCAGGAGGAGCGGTTTCACCGTGTGAACAGAGGGGCCCACGTTGAGACTCCTGGCACGAGACCCGCCCGACCGTGATCAGGAGCTGCGTGGAGCAGGCGTGGCTCGAGCTGACCGGCCCCCACGGCCGCCTGCCCCCCCAGGTGGAGGTGCTGATCGCCATCTGCAGCCTCACGGCACCGCTGCTCTTCACGGCCGCGGGCTACCTGACCTTCAGCGTGAGGCGTGTCCTGGAGGTGTTTGCCGACTACCCGCCAGCCCTCAAGGTGCAAGTTCCTCTACAACCGGCTGCAGGCGTGTCCCTGGGGCGGTCGGTGTCTGGCGCTCTCCGTGTCCCTCCGACCCCTGCCCTCCGCTCAGGCCCTGGGAGGGAAGTGCCCCCAGTGCTGTGGTGCCACCCGCGCGATGCTGACGCTCCCGTTTCTGTTCCGCCATGAGATTTGGTGCTTTTCCCCTTCACCGTGGCTTTGAGTCCATGAGACATGTTCACGCTCAGAAGTCAGACCCGGAGGCAGGTCACGCGCCCTGTCACGTCCGTCCACCGGCTCCTTTTTCTTTAAACTGAACGATTTCTCCTGGCGTTTCCTCCGACTCAGGGATCAAGCGCTCTGTCTCCTCTCATTACACACATGCAGTCCCCTGGGCACCAGCTGCTCCCCTGGGAGGGGCCGGGCTGCTCTGGGTCCTGACACTGCAGACACTCCATGGGGCACCCCTGGCACAGGCAGCCTGAGGGCAGCTGCCAGGCCAGGGGAGAGGCGTCTGTGCTGTTAGACCCCAGGTGAGGGCCCTGGTCCCGGCCAGCGGAGGCGGGAGCAGCTGTCCCCTGTTCTGAAGCAGGTGAGGGCTGGCAGCACCCGCCCCTCCTCCAGTGACCTCTGTCCACCTGCGCCCGTCCCTCCTCCCCGTGACCTCTGTCCACCTATGCACCTGCCCCTCCTCCCCGTGACCTCTGTCCACCTGCGCCCGTCCCTCCTCCCCGTGACCTCTGTCCACCTATGCACCTGCCCCTCCTCCCGTGACCTCTGTCCACCTGCAACTGTCCCTCCTCCCCGTGACCTCTGTCCACCTGTGCACCCGCCCCTCCTCCCCGTGACCTCTGTCCACCTGCACCCGTCCCTCTTCCCCATGACCTCTGTCCACCTGCACCCGCCCCTCCTCCCGTGACCTCTGTCCACCTGCACCCGTCCCTCCTCCCCGTGACCTCTGTCCACCTGCACCCGTCCCTCCTCCCCGTGACCTCTGTCCACCTGTGCACCCGCCCCTCCTCCCGTGACCTCTGTCCACCTGTGCACCCGCCCCTCCTCCCCGTGACCTCTGTCCACCTGTGCACCCGCCCCTCCTCCTGTGACCTCTGTCCACCTGTGCACCCACCCCTCCTCCCCGTGACCTCTGTCCACCTGCACCCGCCCCTCCTCCCCGTGACCTCTGTCCACCTGCACCTGCCCCTCCTCCCGTGACCTCTGTCCACCTGCACCTGCCCCTCCTCCCGTGACCTCTGTCCACCTGCACCCGCCCCTCCTCCCGTGACCTCTGTCCACCTGTGCACCCGCCCCTCCTCCCCGTGACCTCTGTCCACCTGTGCACCCGCCCCTCCTCCCGTGACCTCTGTCCACCTGTGCACCCGCCCCTCTTCCCGTGACCTCTGTCCACCTGTGCACCCGCCCCTCCTCCCGTGACCTCTGTCCACCTGTGCACCCGCCCCTCCTCCCCGTGACCTCTGTCCACCTGCACCCGCCCCTCCTCCCCGTGACCTCTGTCCACCTGCACCCGCCCCTCCTCCCCGTGACCTCTGTCCACCTGCACCCACCCCTCCTCCCCGTGACCTCTGTCCACCTGCACCCGCCCCTCCTCCCCGTGACCTCTGTCCACCTGCACCCGCCCCTCCTCCCGTGACCTCTGTCCACCTGTGCACCCGCCCCTCCTCCCCGTGACCTCTGTCCACCTGTGCACCCGCCCCTCCTCCCGTGACCTCTGTTCACCTGTGCACCCGCCCCTCCTCCCGTGACCTCTGTCCACCTGTGCACCCGCCCCTCCTCCCGTGACCTCTGTCCACCTGCACCCGCCCCTCCTCCCCGTGACCTCTGACCTTCTGCATCTCTGGTGGCTCTGACATCGCGAGCAGTGGCCTCAGCTCCGCGAGCCGGTTGCTGTGTGTGGTGAACTCACCCACGTGCCTGACCTGCTCCGGGTCTCGGCTGTAATAGAAAGGCGAGCGCCGCACCCTCTTTACCTGGGCGAGCGTGGGGGGCGTCTTTCTCCGGGGTGTCGGTGGGCAGCGCCCCGCATCCGAGAGGCCCGTGTGTGGGTGGCTCTCCCCGGCCTGTCTCCGTCCTCAGTCTGTGGCCGCGCGGTCCTGCCCTGGACACGGGAGGTGCCACTGGTGGCGCCGCCCCACCCCACCCCGAGGACAGCTGTGGGGCCTCGCGGCCGGGCTTCTCCACATGCACCGAGCAGCCCTGCGGCGTGGCCGGGCGGGTCCGCGGCCCCCGTGCTGGCCGGGCGGTTGTGAGGGGGACACAGGAGACTGCCCGGCCGCTCAGGGCCCCTTTGTGCCCATTAAACCCGGAGCAGAGCTGAGTCCGCCGCCGCTTCGGGCGGAAGGATCCCTGCTCCCGGCACTGAGGTTCCCGCGCAGGGGGTGCGGCCCCCGGGCGGCTTCCGTGCTCCCAGGAAGCTGGCCGCGGGGTTGTGGGGTACCTCCTCCTGGACCCTCCTCGCCGCCCAGCTGTGGGGGCGCAGGTCCTTGGACGCTGGCGTTAGATGGAGAAGACATGAGTGGTCATAGGCCGGTGATGGCGAACCTTCTGAGCTCGGCATGTCAGCATTTTGAAAACCCTAACGTAACTCTGGTGCCGTGTCACACATAGAAATTTTTTGATATTTGCAACCATAGTAAAACAAAGACTTATATATTTTTGATATTTATTTTATTTAAATGCCATTTAACAAAGAAAAATCAACCAAAAAAATGAGTTTGCGTGTCACCTCTGACATGCGTGTCAGGTTTGCCATCACTGTCTAGGCATATGAGAGACCTTACTGCAGACCAAGGAGCCATGGCTATCAAGGAGCCATCAGACAAACAGCTCTTCAGAGCAGCTGCACAGACAGCTGCCAGCCCGGCTGCCAACCACCATCTTCAACCAGAGACAAAAGGCTTCTTGCCCAGCAGTGATGGCAGCACCTGGGCGGTGGAAGGCGCCTGCATGGGGTGTGCAGTGCGATCGCGGGTCCTGGCCTTTGCGCCTGCGTGTGGCAATGGCCTTGAGCACCCAGGGTCCTCTGATTAGGTTCCCATGGTGGTCTTCTGGGCCGGTGGGTCGGGGGTCGGGGGTCACGGGGGACTGAGGGCCCGGTGGGGGGCCGTGGCCGGCTGCTCACACCTGTTTCCCACCAGCAATCCTACGACGTGCTGCTGCTGCTGCTGCTGCTGGAGCTGGTGGTGCAGGCGAGCCTGCACACGGGCACCGTGGTCCAGTGCGCCCGCTTCACCGTGGCCCGCCCCCAGGAGCGCCCCGCGGAGGTGAGTCCCAGGCCCGGGAGGTGGCACCCACCCTCGCCGCCTTCTTTCAGGACCCAGGAAGCGAGAGGAGAGGAATGTGTGGTTTTTAAAGCCAGGCAGACGCAAGGCCACCCTGAAGACATGCCCCGGACTGAATGCTTTGATTTACTCCTGGGAATGTGCCAGGATTCACGCGGCCTCCCAGGCTCCCCCGGGCCTCTGGGCATGGCTCTGTGGGAGGGGCCCCGCTCCTGGCAGACGTGGCATCACAACCTCTGGCTGGCGGGCTCTAGAGCAGCCGTCGCCAACCTTTTGGACCTCAAGGACCACCGGTTGGTGACCGCTGCTCTAGAGGGTCAGGCTCAGGCTCAGGCCACCTGGACTCGCCCAGATCCCACCTCTTGTCCCCACACCTGATGGCTGAGGCTCCCTCCCTCCCTGTGGGCAGCCCACCCAGTCCCGCTTCATGGGACCCCAGCCCACCGCCCTTCAGGTGCAGGATGCCCTGTGCAGGGTCCTGCAGGCCCCCGAGTGCACTGGGCGCTCCTCCCACCCAGCCACCCAGGCTCCTCAGTCTCACGCCCTGTGCTCCGCACACCTTGGCACTGTGTCCCCACCAGGCTGCTCCTGGTCCTCCTGGGACCAGCTCCTGCCCGGGGCCCCGTCCTCAGTGACTGCCCTCCATCCCGTCCCACTGTTCCCTCCACCACACACCCCAGAGTCTCAGACCCACTGTTTCCTTGTGACCTGGTTGTGGTCGGTCTTCTGTGGGGATGGCTCTGTCTCTTGCTGTACAAGCGATGGGTCTGGTTCTGTGTTTGACACTAGGGTACAGAGTTGGGGGAAGGACTTGGGAGCCGCCCACAGCTGCCTCCATTTCTGCAGGTCTTGGGGGACCGCTACCCGGAGCATCCTCCTTCCCTGGGGTCAGGCCCCGGCCAATGGCATCAGTGTCCCAGGCCAGGTCCAGACCCCTCTCTGTGGGGGTGGCATCCCCTGCCCCCAGGAAGGGCCTGGAAGTCCCACTTACTCCTGTGCTATGGTGTATTGTCCCCCCATCAGCCAGTACTTATCAATCACCTACTGTATACAGGTGCTGGCTCTGCCAGGGGCCGGCCCCTCTGAGAACCGGCAGGAAGAGAGGCCTCGTGAGCAGATGTGGGTCCCCAGGAGCCCAGCCTTCTGGACACCAGGCCACGGCCCACCCCCAGAGCCAGCATGTGGCCACGGGGAGAGCTCATCCCCAGCCCAGACTCTGTTCCTGTGGAGGCCAGGGCAGACTCTCCCAGGCCGAGGGCTGCCAGGCCCCGCAGCCGCCTGCCTGCGTATGGCTGCCCGGTGATGACCTGTGCCTGTCTTGTCGCAGGTGGCCAGGAGCCCCCCGAGGGAGTTCGACAAGGAGCGAGCCTGGAGAGCCGTGGTGGTGCAGATGGCCCAGTGAGGCCCGGAGACCGGCGCAGGCCTCGTGACCTCGAGCTACTCCTCTAACCCCTTCCCGCTGAGGGCGGTCGGGCTGCCGAGGGTCTGTTCCCAATGGGCATAGGTTGACTGTTCCGTCTGATTGGCGGGTCAGCTCTGTGCGGGGTGAGGGGGGCTCGTGTGGGGCTGGGCTCTGGCGCTGGTCTGCGCAGTTTCCTGGCCACCGTGCCTGCTGCCTGCTTCACTCCTCCCACACCTCACCTGGCTCCTACCCCGCTTTTTGTGGGTTTTTAAAAAATATATTTTTACTGATTTCAGAGAGGAAGGGAGGGAGCGATAGAAACATCCATGATGAGAATCATTGATCAGCTGCCTCCTGCACGCCCCACACTGGGGATTGAGACCACAACCCCGGCCTGTGCCCTTGGCCGAACCGTGACTCCGGGTTCATAGGTCGACGCTCAGCCCCTGAGCCCCCCGGCCGGGCTCCTGCCCGTTTTGGTTGAGCACCTGTCGTGTGCAGACAGCGGGCCACCGGCTCCACCCTCTCGGCCTTTCTCTGCTGACCGAGCCCCCGCCCCACGCTGTTTCCTTGATGAGAGCAGACCTGAGGCTCTGTCCTGTGCTCAGACCCCACACGACTGGGGCGCCCAGAGCGCGGGCACAGGGCAGCCTCCTCCACGCTTCTCCCATGCTGTCCACCTGCCCCTGCTGCCCTCCCCTGGCCCAGCCACTGCAGCAGCGCCTGCCTGCTCAGGGCGCCGGTCCACGGGGGCGCTTGTCGGCACCTGTCACCCCTCATGTCCCGCTCCCAAGCCCTTGTCAGCCACATGGAGGTGGACTGTCCACTGTGCGGCTCAGTGACTGTTGGGGGGGCGTGCTCAGAAGGGTTTGAAAACTGACGGGGTCACGTCTCCCAGCCTCGGCGACCTGGGCCAGGCCGCTGCCCTCAGCTGCCCCGGAGGCCTCACATCCCCTAACAAGTAGTTCCTCTCCGTCCTCACTCCCCTGAGGTCTGGCCTGGGCGGGTCTCTGTCTGTCACCTCCACCTGCTGGGCTGCAGGCAGTTTGGGTGTGAGAATAACATTTGCTTTGATTAAAATCATGGCCCAGAAGCAGTCTGTGTGCGTCTGTCCCCAGGGCACCTGGAGTCATCAGAATAACTGATGTGGCACCAGGAGATCCCACGGTGGGAGCACATCTGAGGGGGAACAGGGCTCGGGTTGGGAGCTGTGCGCACCCCCACCCCCAGGGCTACGTGTCCGTCAGTGCCAGGAGGGAAAGGGCAGGCCGTGCCGGGAGGCTCAGGCTCCCGCTGCCTCAGCTCAGGGACATGCACCGCGTCCCAGGGAACCAAGGAACCGTTGCTGGCTGGGGCGGGACAGGGGCGGGCCTGGTGGGGGACTTGGTCTGCCCTGCTGGCTCACGTCTGAGCACAGGTGACAAGCTGCCAAGGTCACGGTCAGATGGGAGGGTGCAGGTCAGACCTGACAGGTGGAGCGTGCCAGCCAAGGGGTCATCAAAGCCGCTGCCCTGGCACCCCCTGCCCTGGTACCCCCTGCCCTGGCACCCCTGCCGTCCGCTAGCTCCAGAGGCTCGGCGGGTGGGCGAGGGGCCAGGCGGCTCTCCCTGCTGCTCCCAGGCGGTGGCAGGTGGGGCCGCCCCTGAATGGGGACAGGACCCCAGGGGATGCCCCGGGTGCCCAGGTCTTCGTGGGGGTTCAGAGAGTCTTAGAGCCGCATCGGGGCGCCTGGGGCTTCAAGCTGGCTTGTACTTTAGTTCAGAGAGAACTTGAGAAATCCGGCCGGTGGGGTTGGAAAAGGTGATCGTCCTCAGTCAGTTTCTTGCTGTAGTTAGTGCTGCCCGAGGAGGGACCGTTAGCAGGTGCAGGTGCCTGTGGCCTATGGAATGTTGTGTCCCAGGTACCTCCTTGCAGGTCCTGATGAGGCCGGGTGTAAACCCAGGACCCGGATGGAGGGGCGCCGCTTTCCATTTATTCTGGATTCTGTGACCCCGAGGCCAGGAGGGAGGCGGCGAGAGCCCAGGGTTCCCCCACGGACCCACCACCCAGTGGAGGTGGACCCTCGGTTTGCAGGCATCTCGGAAAGCCACACAGGAAAGAAAGACGATGTTAAACCAGAGAACAGTGGCATGCAGGTCCGGAAAGTGACCGCGGCGGGGGCACTGGGGCGGGTCTGTCCCTCCGCAGATGCGGGAGCGGCGGGACCCTGGGGAGCGGGACTCCCGGCAGCAGCGCACCCCTCCGGTGACCCGCGTGCCGCGCCACGCGGTGCCTCCGCGGGATGGGGCTGCCCCGCCACCCCGTCACCCCCCCCCCATCCCCACAGAGGGGGACGCTGCGCCCCCAAGCCCGGTCACCCGGGGCGCAGGCCCAGACCGGCCTGGGTGGGGCCGCGGGTCGCGGGGCGGAGCCCGTCCGGCGCCGCTGGCCCTGGGGGCGGGACCGCTTGTGACCCTCGGGTCTTTGTGACTTGGGGGGCTCTGACCACAGGGTGCGCCTGTGACCCCAACCGCGCGCTCTGGCGGGACCCCGGGATCCGGGCCGGGCGGCGAGGTCACTCGCTGACCCTCCTCCCCGAGCCTCCATGGCGCGCGCCGCCCGCGGCCACGGCCTCCGCTCCCCCGCCAGCCCCCGCAGCCCCGCGGATCGCAGCCCGGAGCCCAGCCCCACGCCCCGGGGCACCCCCACCGGCGGCCCCGCGCGCCGCCCGCACCGCCGCCGCCCCCGCAGCAGCCGCAGCAGCGCCCCGCGCTCCACGCCGCCCGCGCGCCCGCGCACCCCCACGCCCCGCACCGCCCTCCGCCGCCCGCGCGCCCCCACGCCCCGCGCCGCCCTCCGCCGCCCGCGCCCGCGCCCCCGCCGCCCGCGCCCCTCCTCTGCACAAGGCGCCGAGCGGCCCCTCCCCCCGGGCGACCGCGGGACGCTGGGCGGTGCAGAGGGTGGGGGCCCGGCACGGACCTCGGGACCACTCCCGGGTGAGCGCCCCTCACGGCCGCGTGGACCCCACACAGGACTCCACGCCCCGCCCCCCACCCCGCCCTCCCGGTAGAATTCCAGCCCCCGCGCCGGGCATTCTAAGCCGCCCTTGGAAATGGCCTGCCCGGCCCACGCCTGCCCTCCCCACACCACCCCTCTCCACCCCTGCCCTCCCCACCCCTCCCCAGCCCTGCCCTCCCCACCCCTCTCCACCCCTGCCCTCCCCACCCCTCCCCAGCCCTGCCCTCCCCACCCCTCTCCACCCCTGCCCTCCCCACCCCTCCCCAGCCCTGCCCTCCCCACCCCTCTCCACCCCTGCCCTCCCCACCCCTCCCCAGCCCTGCCCTCCCCACACCACCCCTCCCCACCCCTGCCCTCCCCACCCCTCTCCACCCCTGCCCTCCCCACCCCTCCCCAGCCCGGCCCTCCCCACACCACCCCTCCCCAGCCCTGCCCTCCCCACCCCTCTCCACCCCTGCCCTCCCCACCCCTCCCCAGCCCTGCCCTCCCCACCCCTCCCCAGCCCTGCTCCTACTCCAGACCTGCGCCCAACCTTCATTTTGCCCGACTTCAGTCCTGCCCGCCCCTGCTCCGGGCTTGGATCCATCCCTGACCGCCCCTCCTTGCAGGGCCCGGAGCAGAAGGGAGGAAGGAGGAGCTGCCGGGGGCTGGAATGGAGCCGGGGGAGAGGAAGCGGCTCCTGTCGGCCTCCTCGGAAGGAGACTGGAGAGAAGAAAACAGTCAGTATTGCCCGCCCGCCGCCCCTGTGCCCCGTGTTTCTGTGAAAATCAGACTCGCTGGTGTTTCTCCATCTGCTCCGTGGACTTGCCCTGTGGTCCTCCGGGGCTGGGTGGCCAGTCCGCCCACCCCGGTGTCCTGGCTGCCCCTGGAGGCCGGCGCGGCTCCGCGGCTGTGAGCGGTCGGTCTGCACACGCACAGACTGTGGGTCCGTCCATCTAACGTCGGGTCTTCCCGCCCGCGACCGTCCAGCCTGGTGGCTTCAGGTGCAGGGACGCAAGACCTTTTGAAGGCCGTTGTCGGCGACATGCTCAGGTTTCATTTTCTCGGCGGTTCTAGTGTGTTTAGAACAACAACTGATTTCGTTTTACTGACGGCACCCTTCCCCCGATCACCACGCAGCTGCGTTGCGGTGCTCTGATAGGTCACATTCTCATTCTCATTTAATTCCGATCATTTTGAAATTGGCTTTGATTCATGTTTTATTTTAAAAGAGGGCTGCGGCCCTGGCCGGTGTTGCTCAGTGGAGTTTGGTGACGTTCCTGAACACACCTACGAATTACAACAGCGAATAGATTCCTTTAGACTTGTGCACACTCATCTGCAACCCTTTCCCCTCTTCGTCATTTTATTTCTTTTTCTTGCATTATTGCTTTGGCCAGCTCTTTCCATAGAACGTTGAACACAGGTGGGAGAGTGGGCATCTTTTTTGTTGTTTCATTCCAAACGCAGAAGGAAGGTGCTCAGTATTTCACCACGAAGGATGATATTGCTGCACACGTTAAAGACGGTTCCCTTTTTTACCTGGTTTACTAAGAATTTTCAAATGAACAGCTCTGACATTTTACCCCACACTGTCCTCTGCATCTGTTGAGATGGCAATACATAGATTTGTTCTCTCGGCTGTGAGTGTGGTGGGTTACGTTGAGGGATTGTCAAACATTAAATCAACTTTGGACTCATGGACTAAACTCCACGTGGTCCTGCTGTTTTGTTTCATATGTCGCTGGATTTGACTAAAATTTTTTTTGTTTACGTTTTTTATTATTATTAATTTTTTTGAGAGAGAGAGAGAGAGGAAGGGGGAGGGAGAGAGAGAGAGAAACATTAATGTGCGGAACATACATCGACTGCCTCCTGCACGCCCCCCCCCCCCCTGAGGATGGAGCCCTAAGCCCCGGGTGATGCTCAACCAACTGAGCCGCTCAGGCAGGACTCGCGTCTCTTTTTACGAGTGAGATCGGCCTTTACTATTCCCTTCTTGTAGCATTCTTGACAGGTTTGGGTGTTAAACTTATGGCTTCATGAAAAGAGTTGAAAAGAGCCCGGTTTTCCCATTCAATGAAAGGCTTTATATAAGATTTCTTAAAATTTTTAATTGTTTTTCTTTTTTTGGCCGCTTTTTTCTTCTTTATGTATATTTTTTTCCCTTAAATATTTGGGAAAATTGACCTGTGCTGCCACCCAGACCTTGTTTCACTTGGGAATTTCTTTGACAGAAATAGGCCCGTCCTGATTCCTGTTGTGTCAGTTCGGTTGAGCCCGTTTGACATGAGCTGTCAAACTCCTGGCACGCGGGTGCTCATAGGACCGTGTCATCATTTCAATCCCACGCGGCGGTCCTGGGCCCCTTTCCATTCTTGCTGCTGGTAATCCATGTTCCCCTTCTTCTTGACCAGCCTTGGAGAGGTTTATCCGGTAAAAAATGCTTCAAAGATCCAACTTTTGGCTTTGCCTGTTTTCTCTAGAGTGCACCTTCTTCTCATTTCATGGAAGCCTTACCTTCTTTTATTGTTGCTGAGCTCCGACCTTCTCGTTTAATTGGTCTCTTTCTGGCCTCTTGAGATGGCAGGTAGATAACGTTCAGCTTGTTTTCTTTATAACTTACGCACTTAAGCCGGCACCCTTCCCCCGATCACCACGCAGCTGCGTTGCGGTGCTCTGATAGGTCACATTCTCATTCTCATTTAATTCCGATCATTTTGAAATTGGCTTTGATTCATGTTTTATTTTAAAAGAGGGCTGCGGCCCTGGCCGGTGTTGCTCAGTGGATAGAGCGTTCACCTGCAGACCAAAGGGTCCCGGGTTCGATTCCGGTCAAGGGCACATGCCTGGGTTGCAGGCTCCTCGGGCCCTGGCCCTGGTCAGGGCTCATGCAGGAGTCAACCAATCAATGTGTTTCTCTCACATCGATGTTTCTCTCTGTCTTTCCCTCTCTCTCCCTCTCTCCCTAAAAATCAACGGGAAAACATCCTCGGTGAGGATTAACAACAACAACAAATATCTATGTAATATGCATTTCTTAAATAAAATAAAAGTGGGCCGCTTACTTCTTGAACGTTTAGGAAAATTTCTAGTTGCCTTTTTGTTATTAATTTCTAGTTTGGTTCTCAGCCCCAAAACCCCCATGTCTGGGGTGGGCACCTGGCATGCGGGAGATTTATTACCTGCTTGGGGCGGGGGCATCGAAGGGGTCAGGGGTCCTTCTGACACTGGCTGTTGCTTTTTGAAATTGGGGTGACATTGGTTAATAAAGTTATACAGGTTTCAGGGGCACAATTCTGTGACTCATCATCTGTATATTGTATTGTGTGTTCACTACCCCAGGCTGAGTCTCCTTCCCTCACCCTTGGTCCCCCTTCACCTTCTCCTACCTCCTCCACCCCTTTCCCTCTGGTAACCACCACACTGTTGTCTGTCTGTGAATTTTTTCCCCTTAATCCCTCCACCCCTTTCACCCAGCCCGAAGCCCTCCTCCCCTCTGGCAGCTGTGGGTCTGCTCTGTGTCCATGAGTCTGCTGCTGTTTTGTTCATTCGATCCCACATGTAAGTGACATCCTACGGCGTCTCTTTTTCTCTGGCTTATGTCACTCAGCACCGCATTCCCAGGTCCGTCCGTGCTGTCGCCAGAGGTAAGAGTCCCTTCTTCTTTACGGCTTAGTGTTCCACTGTGTGGCTGTACCACGGCCTTTTCCCCGCTCATCTGATGGGCACTTGGGCTGCTTCCAGACCTTGGCTTTTGTAAATGAAGCTGCTGTGAACACAGAGGTGCATGTATCCTTTCGAATTAGTATTTTGGGGGCTTTCGGATCTATTCCCAGGAGTGGACTCGATGAGTCCGGCTGATTCCTAAGTAATTTAACTCGTAATACTCAGCACATCGCAGCGGCACATTTTGGGCGCCTGCCCTGGACCCGTCGTGCGTGGGGTTCTGCTGGGATGACTAACCCGGTTTTGTCTGCTCAGGGCATTTCCAAGGCTGGCCTCCATTTGCCCTTGATTCTAACAACAGCCCATTTTTTCTCCATTCCTAGTTTATTGCCCTGAAGTTCATAATAGCCTCTCAGTTTGTAAGCATCTGAGTAAGGGGTTTCCTGTCGTTACGGCTTTTTGATGCCTTTTTTTTTAATGACTCGCGTCTCCCATTGTTTATTGATCTTATGAGTCTTAAACGTTGGGCTTGGTTGATTCTCTTTATCGAATTAAAAAACATTTTCCTGTTACCCGGGGGGTGGGGGGTTGCGTTTACTTGGTTCTTCCTCACATCACCTCTCTCTGGGTCTCAGCCTTTACTGTCTCCCCATAGATGCACCTGCAGCAGAAACTCCCTTCCTGAACGCAGCTTCGCGGCCCGAGCGCTGGTGTTGGCCTTCGGTTCCCATTTCGTCAGCACGCACCGCTTTCTGCGCGATCGCTTCCTCGGCCGCGGGCTGTGGGGAGCGTGCTTGCTAACGGGCTGGCTTTCTGCCCGATACTTGGTTCTGTTATCGATCCCTGGCCTAACGGAGCTGGGACCAGGGGGCGTCATCTTCTCTAGGGACGATGTTGGTCGCTGTCCCGTGTCCCGGAGTCACGTGCCCGGGGCTGCGGAGCTGGAGAGGGGATGGCAACGCCGTGTTCAGATCTCGGTCCTCACCCGCCTTCGCTGGCGTGTCTGTGAGGACCGAGCTGCTGGGTGTTTGCACCGGCCCGGCTCCCCGCCCGCCCCCGCCTGCCCCCTCCCGCCCGGCTCTGTCTGCATGGACTGGTGTTCCCAGCGCAGGCGTCGAACAGGTGGAATCAGGGAGCCCCTCCTGTGGGCCCAGATGTGAGCTTGCCGGTGTGTTTCCCAGCCTGGGACCTTGGCTTCCGTCACGGAGCAGAACACATCAGCCCTGACAAGGCCCCGCTCGCCGGTCTTCACTCCGATGGCCGCCCTCTGCAGGCCGCTCCATGCCTTCTCCTGGGCCGCGGGCTCAGCTCCCTCACGGAGGCCCGGACGCCGCAGATCAGTTCTGTGTGGTGCCCAGCGGGGCCGTGGGTCCCTCGCTCCATGTGGCAGGGCTTCGGGGTTGGGGTCTGAGGCAGCCGGCCGTGTGGACGTGGGTCTCTGGGGCCCAGGGTGGAGGGGGCCCCAGGAGGAGCAGGCGGGGGGTCTGCTGGCCTCCCACCTGCGATGCGCCTTGGCCAGCAGGAACGGTGGGTGCAGGGGTGCGTACGATCCTGGGCACTGTCCAGGGGGATTTAAAGCCACCGCCAGGAAGAGGTGGCCGAGGGCGTGGACCAAGCACAGAGGTCTGGGGTCTGGGCCTGGGCTCCCCCATGGTTAGGGGAGAGGGAAAGGGGCTGCCATGAGGAGGAGCTGCCAGGCCCCGGGGAGTGACGGGGACCATGCGTGACTTAGCGTGAACGTGTCTGGTGGAGCCCCGCAGACGGGTGGAGAGGGGGCTGTGGAGAGAGGCAGGGGCAGGATGGGGAGGGTGCAGGGGGAGGTGTTCATTTTCATGTTGAAGGTGTTTACTATGAAACTCACGGTGGCTCGTGGCCGTGGTCACAGGAAGGAGCCGAGCGGGGCTGGTCTCAGACAGGACTGGCCCAGGTCGGGGCAGTGCTGGGGGACCCTGTGCGGAAAGACGGTGCCTCAAGGCTGAGCTGTGGGGGAGCGTGGGGAGGGGTTGTAGCCTGGAGAGGGGTCTGGGGAGATGCAGGAGAAGGGCCTGGGGGTGAGAGCTAGAGGCTGGGGGGAGGGGTGCATGGGGGGTCTGGGGCAGAAGTGGGGCTGCACCTGCTGCTCAGGGCTGCGGGGCTCCTGGGTCCGCCCTGAATCAGGACAGACCGGGGCAGGGTTGTGGGCAGCGGGGCCTCTGTGAACCCGCCTGGTGTCTCCGTGGTGAGAGCACCCATTTGCCTCCGTATCTGCTTTCTCTTTTGCAGAATTAAAACGAGGAGACTCATCTGCCTCCCCCAAACTGGACAGATACAAAATGGCGAGACAGCTGACGGAAAAGGCAATCAAGGTAAATGCTCCTGGGGACTCGGTGGGGAGGGGCCGCCTTTTAAATACGGAATTTGATTTTGGAATTTGGGGAGTGAGTCCAGAGCTCTAACACCCAACACCCAGTCCCGGCCGGCCTTGGTCCCTGGCCCCCCAGGCCTGGTCACCACGTGGAAGCTTGTGTTAGAGTTACTTTAAAATTTTTCTAAATTTATTTCAGAGAGGAAGGGACAGGGAGAGAGAGAGAGAAACATCAATGATGAGAGAGAATCACTGATGGGCGGCCTCCTGCACGCCCCCTACTGGGACTCGAGCCCACAACCCAGGCCTGTGCCCTTGACCAGGAATGGAACCTGGGGCCCTTCAGTCCGCAGGCCAATGCTCTATCCACTGAGCCACACCAGCTAGGGCTAGCGTTACCTTTTATTTCAGCTGGACGCTGGAAATACTCTCAAGATTGGGGACATGCAGACATATGAGGTGTGGAAGCCTGTCCCAGGTCCCGCCATGCGGCCTCAGGCCCTGGGCACACTTCCGGGCCAGGGTTCTGTGTCAGGGACAGGCTCGTGATGACCTGGAGCCCGTGTGCCGGCCCCTGCTCCCCAGGCCCCTCTCGGGGACGCAGTGAGGACAGACGCCACCATTTCTGTCCTTGCGCAGAAGTCCGGGAGCCTGGGAGCCCCGAGGGACCGGGCACATGGTTACGTGAGCCTGTGGGCCGGGGAGAGGGCCCAGAGGCCAGTCTGATCGCAGGGACCCAGAGGCCAGCTCCGTTCCCACAGTTCCCTCCCGTCGCTGTGCCGCGGGCAGCCGGGACCCAGGACTGACTCCCGCTGCGCCGGCCGGGACCCTAGCCTGGTGTTCGGTCGTCCGTCCGGACGTTTAGGTCGTGATGGCACCTGGCTCTTTATATATTAGGATGATTCCTTCCTCCCTGATCACGGGCGACTGGCAAGCCGCGTTGCGAATGTCTGTACTTTTCCCAGTTGGTCTGTCACTGACTCCTCAGCAGGTGCGTTGTGGCTGAGCGTGTGTCTGCGTGAGTCACCCTGCTGAGACGCTCTGTGCCTGCGTCTGGTGAGTGTAGGCGGAAGGCGGTGCGAACGCTGGCTGCACACCCTGGGCGGAGGCGCCTGTGGCCACGCTGAGCTTCTGCCTGTGTCCCATCCGCACGGAGAGCAGCGTGTTAACACCTGTTGCCTGTGGATGTGTCTGCTCTTCCGTTCTGTCCGTTCCCGCTGCAGATAACGGCCGCCCTGCCAACAGGTGCACACGAGCGCATCGTTCTGCGGGCCGACTCTTTTCTCTCAATTACTAAATAATCGTCTTTACTCCAGCGACGTTCATGTGACCTCTTTTAATCCTCACCTGAGGATATTTTTCCATTGATTTTTAGAGAGAGTGGAAGGGAGAGGGGAAGACAGAGAAATATTGATGAGAGAGAGACACACTGATTGGTTGCCTCCTGCACGTGCCCCAACCAGGCCCCAGGCTGGGGAGGAGCCTGCCACCGAGCTACGTGCTCTTGTCTGGAATCGAACCCGGGACACTTCGGTCCGCAGGCCGATGCTCTACCCACTGAGCCAGGCTGGCTAGGGCGGGTGATGTGACTTTGTCCCGACGTCAGTTCTGCCTCAGATGTGGGTCCTCTCATCTTTGGCCCGTAGGCTGTGCTGTTCGTTTTCTCTCGCAAACAGCACAGGGTTGGGTTTTTAAAAATCGAGTCTGGTGCTCTTCACCTTCCAGCTGCAGCAGGAAGCGTGTTTACCAGTCGGACTGCTGGTGCCTACCTTCTCCCTCCGCCCGCCCTGTCTGCTCCGTTCGCCTCTCCTTCCATGCCTGCTGGGGACTGATTGCTTTATTTCTTTATTTAGTTCGTTAGTTAATCCTCCCCCGAGGACATTTTCCCGTTGGTTTTTAGGGAGAGTGGAAGAGAGGGGGAGAGGCACATCGATGGGCTGCCTCCTGCACGAGCCCGACCAGGGACTGGGCCGGGAGGAGCCTGCAACTGAAGTACGTGCCCTTGACCGAGTCGAACCCGGGACCCTTTGGTCCACAGGTCGACACTCTATCCATTGGGCCACACCGGCCAGGGCTGGACTGATTGCTTTTAAAAATTGCACTTCCTGCCCTAGCTGGTGTGGCTCAGTGGATAGAGCATCAGCTTATGGAGTGAAGGGTCCTGGATTCAATTCCAGTCAGGGCACAGGCCCGGGTTGCGGGCTCGGTCCCCAGCAGGGAGCGTGCGGGAGGCAGCCGATGCGCGGTTCTCATCACTGATGTCTCGCTCTCTCCTGCCTTCCTCTCTGAAATCCGTACAGACATATTTTTGAGAGGAAACTGCTCCCGCGGGACGGGCGTGTGCTGACTCTGTGCTCTCTCATTCGAGGACAAGAAGATCTTCTCCATCCACGGCCACTACCCCGTGGTGCGGGCGCTGCTGCGCAGGAAGGGCTGGGTGGAGAAGAAGCTGCACTTCCTGCCCCGGATCTCTGTCAGTGCCGACGGCGAAGGCGAAGAGGCCGCTGGTCGGTATTGAAGCCCTGGCCCTCCATGTGCGTGTGTCTGTCTCGAGGCCCCGGGTCCTGGGACCTGGGCCCCCCTCGAAGGCAGAGGACCCGCCTCCCCACGCGGGAGCCGCACTGCCTCCCACACAGGCACCCACCGCCCAAGCCCGGGTTTGGCCACGTCTCAGCGCCGTCGCCCTGACCGTCTCTCCTCCTCCTCAGCTCACACAGGGTACCCCCCACCTGCCCCCTCCCCGCCACCCCCCCACCTCGGGCCCTGCCCCTGCTCCAGCCAGGACCCTGCAGGTGAGGCTGCTGGGCGGTCAGGGGCCGTCTGGCTGCTGTGGCCGCCGGAAGCGAGTGTTGGTGGCCAGGCATTCGGCCGTGACGCGTGGATGCCCCCATGTTGTATTTGCAGAAAGTAAACGTCCTGAAAGCAAAGAAAGCCAGGAAGTGGCCTTCGAGGAAACGGACGACATCCACGACGTGATGGTAGGTCCCCTGCGCGAGGCCCTGGGGGACCCGGGCGCAGCCATGGCATGGGCGGGGGGGGGGACACAGCCTGTCACGGAGGCCTCTGCACCAGCTGCTGCAGAGCCCAGCGGGGGTCAGACAGCCCACAGCCGGGTGACACGCTGCAGGACACCCATGTGTGTGCACCCATGTGTGTATACCCATGTGTGTGAGCTCATGCATATGTGTGCACGTATGAGAGCATATGCGTGTGCATGTGTACGTGTGTGAGCACATGCATGTGTAAGTGCGTGCACGGGTGTGCATAAGCACGTGTGTCCTGTGTGCCCGTGTGTGAGCCGACAGGCTGTGTCTGTGACTGGAAACGCCACGAGGAGCCGGCAGGAGAAGGTGCCTCTCACTGTGCTGGCTGAACAGTGACCACTGAGCAGAGCTGGACCCCAAACAGCCCAGCTGGTGACCTTGATTGGGCCGGGGTTGGGGGGCAGCTCAGCCCGCAGTGCCGGTCCTGAGAGCCCGTGCGGAGACGCCAGGCGCCCTCATGCGGGACTCGGGGGAGGGACAGACTTAAAACGAGGCCACAAGCGTTTGCCGGGAGAACGGACACGTGATTACATTAGACCTGCGAGGAGCAGGACCCTGGGCCACGCCGCCCCCCCCCCTCCCCGCGCACGGTGGCCCCGCAGCGGGTGTGATGGGGGGCGGCGACTCCCCCCGTGGCCCCGCCAACTGGCGGGACAGGACGTGGGTCCTGATGGAGGCCTCCTGCCAGTCCAGGTTGGTGCGAAACGAGGTCCCCTACTTCCTGTGGACGATCAAAAGGGACTCCATCGACTACCACAGCCTGAGCGGCGACCAGATGCTGAACCACTACGGCAAGACGGCGTCCTTCACCACCAAGGTGAGGGCGGGCACGGGCTGGGCGGGCATCGCGGGCCTGGGGGGAGGGGAGCACACATGACCAGTCGCCTTGGGGTCCTCCTCGGGCTCCTCCCACCCCCCCCACCCCCGGCAAACGCCACACTGTGCCAATGTCCACAGTTGCAAGCACCTCCGGACCCACCACCTGACCCCCAGCGCCCCCCGCCCCCCCCGTGCCCCTCTCCGTGTCCCTGGGTGACCCTGAGGCCACAGAAGCGCCTGCTGTGGGTTCACAGCCCAAGCCTGAAACGGGCTGGACCCTGGCTCTGGGTCCCGGGAGGGGCTCTGGGTCCCGGGAGGGGTTCTGGGTCCCGGGAGGGGCTCCAGGCCTGAGGAGGGGTGGCCCCCCTCACCTGCGTGGGGACCTATAGCTACAGGGACAGTGACGGGCTCTGTAAGGGACGGGCACATAGAGCCTGCACGCCCGTCACGTCCTCCCTCGCCTTCCAGCCCCACGGCCCCGCCTACAGGGGGGCTGTCCCCCACTTGCCCTTGGGCTCTGGCTCAGGGGAGGGGCCTGCAGGTCCCGCTGGGTGAGGTTGGTAGAGGGCTTCCCTGACAACGGGGGGCCAGCCCCTCAACAGGCAAGGACAGCACAGGAGGGGGGGACGAGGCCACGCTGCCCATGGCTCTGTGTGGGGGTCCAGCCCCCCTGCGTCCTCCCAAGGCTCAGGGCGTGGCCTCCTGTGCAGCGTGGGCGATACTGTGGGCGCCCCAGCCAGGCTGGGCTCCCTGCAAAGACCCCCGCCAAGTGGCCGCGAGGGGCTCAGCTTCCTTCCACATGGGCGGCAGCTGGACCCCGGGAGCAGTTCCCCCAGGTCCCTGGAACCGCAGATGGTGTCCCCGAGGCCGAGTGCGGGGACGGCTGTGGTAGCCCCTCCCACCTGCCCCGCTGCCCATGCCCCCGTGCCCTCGGGTGGTCCCTGCCCAGAGGATGAGCTGGCCAGGGTGGGCGGGGCTGTTGGGGGGCGTTCTGCAGGTGCGGGGAGGGGGCAGGCGGGGGACGGCGGTGGGGAGGGTGGCACCGGACTCTCCGCTCTCTCTGGAGATCGGGCTGTGCCTGAACATGAGGAGCCTGCCCTGGTACGCCCAGGCCAACCCCGACGCCTTCTTCCCACGCTGCTACGGCCTGGGCTCCGACAGCGAGAAGCAGGAGTTCCTGGGTAGGTAGCTGGCCTGTGGCCCAGACCGGGACCCACGGGACCTCCCTGCTTCGGGCTGCGGGCCTTCGGGGGGGCCATGGGCGGCGTGGCTGAGGGCCGGTCTGGGCCCGGAGCTGGCGGGGACCTGCACCACCCGACCCGGGGCTCAGCTCCGTGCACATGGCGAGGCCCTCCAGACGCTTTTGTGGGCAGCGTGGGCAGGGGGCTGGCGGGGGCCACGGGGCTGAGTGCGCTCGGAGCTGCCGCCTCCTCTGGGGGCGGCGCTGGGACCACGTGGGGCCCACGGGCTCTGGCCCAGGATGAAGGGGGCTCCTGGTCGACCTGCTGAGAGGCCACAGGAGAGAGAAGGTGGTCAGGGCAGGTGGGGCCGGGTCTGAGGGGCGACTGTGTTTCCTGAGCACCGACCTGGGGCCATGGAGATGTGGCACCTGCCCGGCACCCCTGCCTGTGCCCTCACCCACCCGGGCCCACCGGGAGCAGATGCCCAGGCAGCGTGATGGTGGCAGGGTGGCCTGGAGGGGCCTGGTGGAGCCCTGGAGGGCCGGGCAGGCGAGGGGGCTAAGGGGAGCCGGCAGAGAGCAGGGTCGTGTAGGGCTCAGGGACATTTGTTCTGGAGGAGGAGGAGGCCTGGGCTTTGGCGGCCCTGGGTGTGGGGGGCAGCAGCCAGGGGAGCTCAGGTTCTCAAAGCTCCTGGGCGGCAGCAGCTGCTGGGAGGCAGGTGGCAGGTGGGCAGGGGCCGGCCTCCACTGAGGGGTGAAAGGAGCAGGCTGGGCAAGAAGGTGCTGGAATGTGCGGACCCCAAAGGCACAGGGTAGCGCCGGGGGGGAGGGGCGAGAGCTGCCTGCTGTGCTGGATGGGCCACACGTGCAGGGCTGTCCGGGAGGAGCCCTCGGGGGGTGGGCCGAGAGCCTGGAGCAGGGGGAGGTGGTGGGGCTCCTGGACCTCGGTCCTGGGGGGCAGGTGGGGCTGTGGCTTCTGCCTCTGGGCCTCGCCAGGTGTGCTAGGAGTCCCTCTGCAGAGCAGGGGGAGGGGGGGCTGTGGGACCCCTGAGCTGGGGCAGCTGGCAAGGGCCCAGGTCTCGGGCCCAGCGTGGGCAGAGGGGGCGAGGCCTCGGTGCCTTTGCAGATGACTTCCGGCGCACAGCGGCCTCCAGCATCCTCAAGTGGGTGGTCAGCCACCAGCACTGCCCCAAGAGCCACGCCCAGAGCAGGCCCAAGGAGGCCCAGGACGCGGACCCCGGCAGCCAGAAAGGTGAGTGACCCCTGACCCCTGACCCCACTCTGTTCCCACACTCCCGGGAGGCGTGTGCTCCGGGTGCCAGCGGGGCCTGAAGACCCCAGTGAGGGTTTGGTGCTGGTCCACGTGAACGAAGCAGTTTTTAAAAATACGTTTTCATTGATGTCAGAGCGGAAGGAGGGGGGAGAGAGAGAGACATCAACGATGAGAGAATCATCAACAGCTGCCCCCGCACGCCCCCCGCTGGGGCTCGAGCCGCACCCCGGGCCTGCGCCCCGACCGGGAATCAAACCGGGACCTCCTGGCTCCGAGGTCGGCGTTCGACCCTGAGCCGCGCTGGCCGGGCCGTGAGGCAGGTTTAGGTCCCAGCAACACCGAGGGGAAGGGCAGTGTCTCATGCTCCCCCCCATGCCAGGCCCCCCACCGTCCGTGAGGGGTGTCGGGGGCGATCGCTGAGCCCGTACGGACACGTCACTGTCACCCCAAGTCCATAGTTTGCATCGGGGTCACCCCGGCTGTTAGATGTGTGAGGGCACGTGCCCATCACCACGGCGCACACGGGGGTTTCATGGCTGGCCCCCGGCTCCGCAGTCTGTGCTTTCGCCTTTGGCCTGCGTGGTCCTTTTCTTTGTGTGCTTTTTAAATTATTTTCTTAAGGTTCTTTTTAAAACATACATTTTTATTGATTTCAGAGAAGAAGGGAGAGGGAGAGAGAGAGAAACCTGAGAGGGAACCATGGATCGGCCGCCTCCTGCTCGCCCCCTACTGGGGATCGAGCCCACAACCCGGGCCTGTGCCCTCGACCGGAATCAAACCCGCAACCCTTCAGTCCGCAGAGCGATGCTCTATCCACTGGGCCACACTGTCCAGGGCTGCCTGGTCGTTTTCTGTTCAAAGCCAGACCCGGTGTCCTGGGCAGAAGGGGGAGCACAGACAGGCCTGAGTGAGGGCGCGCCTGAGTGAGGGCGCGGGATGTGGGGCGAGTGCCCTGGGCCCTGGATGAGGACCCGCCTGCTTCCCAGGGCGGCAGCAGGGCTGGCGTGGAATGCGCCCTCCCTCCCCAGGCTGCTGGGCTCAGATCCCGGCAGGAGCTGTGGCTGTTTCACCACAGCTATGGGGGGGGGGGGGGGGTGTGTGTCTCTGCTCTTCAAGCTCCTGCAGGTAAAAGTGGAAAACGTGAGGGTCCCCAGGCGGAGCCTCCAGCGCCAGCAGCTGGTCCCTGCCGTCGGGCCTCCGGGCCCCGGGCGGCCGCTGCGCGTGTGCCCGCCCACCGGGCGCTGCAGCTCCAGGGACGGCTGTGCCCGGCCCCTGCTCTGAGGGCCCCCGGTGTGCTCGGCTCTGCTCGTGGTTGACATGGAACAGGGACTCCTGAGCCCCTCGTGTCAGACCGAAGCCCGAAGCGCCATTTTTCACTTTAAAAAATAGTCATTTGCTGTCATTTCCACCTCAGCACGGGCTTTCGCTGCCGGCTGCAGCCTCTGCGCCCAGCCCATGAACAAGCCTCCCAGGGCAGCGACTGGGCTGGGCCTGAATCGCTGGGCGTGCTCTGCACCCCGGGCTGCCTCCAGGCACGATGCCTCTGGGACGCCTCGCTGCCCCGTGGGCTTGCGGGCATCACGGGCGCGCAGTTGGTCACTGAACGCCAGGCGTGGGCCGCTGCCCGGAGTTTGTAGGAAGTGCCACCGCGTCCCACCCCGCGGGGCTGAGCCTTGATGGAGGCAGTGGGGGCGCTGGTGGGCGCCCGGCAGAGGGAGGGCCCGAGGGAGGGGCGGGCACCTGCCCAGACCCGTGTGGCACCAGGTGGCTGCCTGAGAAGCGTCCCCAGCGAGGCCGGCGGCACCGGGGCAGCGGGGCCACTCCACGTGCCTGCGCTTGGTTTCAGCTCCCGAGAACGACCCGAAGCTCCTGGGCCTCCCGGGGCAGCTGGTGGACATGGCGTGCCAGGTGTGCCAGGCCTACCTGGGGCAGCTGGAGCACGAGGACATCGACCTCGCCCAGGACACCGCCACGGACCTGACGGAGGAGCAGTGGAAGGAGCTGACCCAGCAGTACTACGCCCTCATTCAGTAAGAGTGCGGCGGGGGCGCGGGGACCGCGGGGAGGCCTGGGGAACCTCAGCCTCCGGGGCGTCAGGGTCACCGTCCGGGTGTCACGGTCACCGTCCGGGAGTGAGGGTCACCGTCCGGGAGTGAGGGTCACCGTCCGGGCGTCAGGGTCACCGTCCGGGAGTGAGGGTCACCGTCCGGGCGTGAGGGTCACCGTCTGGGAGTGAGGGTCACCATCCGGGAGTGAGGGTCACTGTCCGGGAATGAGGGTCTCCGTCCGGGAGTGAGGGTCACCGTCCGGGCATCAGGGTCACCGTCCGGGAGTGAGGGTCACCGTCCTGGAGTGAGGGTCACCGTCCGGGAGTCAGGGTCTCCATCCGGGCGTCAGGGTCACCGTCCGGGAGTGAGGGTCACCGTCTGGGAGTCAGGGTCTCCGTCCGGGCGTCAGGGTCTCCGTCCGGGCGTCAGGGTCACCGTCCGGGAGTGAGGGTCACCGTCCGGGAGTGAGGGTCACCGTCCGGGCGTCAGGGTCACCGTCCGGGAGTGAGGGTCACCATCGGTCGTGGTTAGAGACTCCCATCAACTGTGAAAAGTGCTCCCCATTTTCTCTCCGATGTGGCTCCTGCTCCTCTCTGGCCTCCGGTCACGTGTCGGAGGGTGTGTCACATGTCCCCTCTCGCTGAGCTGAGCATGAACGCTGGTCCTGACCCGCCTTCAGGTTGGGCAGTTCTGTCTCCTGTCGTCTCCAGCCTGTTCTCAAACCGCCCAGTGCCGAGGCCGCACCTGGATCACCCCTTGTCTCCTGCTGTTTGCTGGAGGTCAGGGTTCCCTGCTCCGCGGTGATGGTGCTGAGCCCGGCCCCGCGTGTGAGCCGCCCCGGCCTGGAGTCGGTGCCGCCGGAGAGAGGGTCGCACTCCCCTCGGCTGTGGGTGGATGTGGAGCTGACGCCCTCCCGGGGGAGCAAGGGGACGGGGCGGGCGGCTCACTCTGGTGTCAGATGCCTCCACAGTGAAATCAAAACGCCTTTGCAGCCCGGCCAGCGGGCTGGTTGGTTGGCGCGTAGTCTGGGGCCTAGAAAGGTGACAGGTGTGATTCCTTGTCAGGGCACATGCCCAGGCTGGCGTTCCATCCTGGTCCAACCAATTGATGTTTCCCTCTCCCCCTCCCCCTCCCGCTCCCCCCTCCCCCTCCCCCTCCCTCTCCCCTCCCCCGCTCTCTAAAAATCAGTAAAGACATATCCTCAGGTGAGGGTTACTTGTGTATTTATTTATTTATTGTAATCCTCACCGAGGAGTGAGGATATTTTTTCCATTGATTTTTAGAGAGAGTGGCAGGAGGGAGACAGGGAGGGAGAGAGAGGCATCGATGTGGCAGAAACAGCTGGATTAGTTGCCTCCCACGTGTGCCCCAACAAGGGGCAGGGATTGAACTTATACCCCAGGTATGTGCCCTTGACCAGGAATTGAATCTGTGACCCTTCTGGGTGGCCAGTGCTCTAACCACTGAGCCACCGGCCGGGGCCAAGCTTCTTTTTCTCCTTGTTGCAGCGGGCGTAACGGCCGGCCACCGCTCACTGCATGCTACTTAAATGAGGTCTCCTAATCAAGTATTCTCCATCATTTTATTGCATCTCCTACATTTGGTTTTTAGTTACACATTTTTATTTTTTACTTTTAGGATTTACCTCCCAAAAATTACAAAACATTGATTTTTTTTAAAAATGTTTTTATTGATTTTTAAAAAACATTTCTTTATTTCAGAGAAGAAGGGAGAGGAAGAGAGAGAGAGAAACATCCATGATGAGAGAGAATCATGGATGGGTTGCCTCCTGCACGCCCCCTACTGGGGATCGAGCCCACAGCCTGGCCCTGTGCCCTGACCCGGAATCGAATCATGACCTCCTGGTTCCTAGGTCAAGGCTCACTCACTGAGCTGCCTGGCCGGGCCAGGTTGGCGTTTCACCAGGAGGTGCCCATGGGGGGAATGCCATCCCAGACACCCCCTCCCGCTGGACACACGGGCCTGCAAGGGCCACACTGACTTGGGGCCCCACACGGGAGCCCCGCCTTAGTCTCCCTGCAGCCTGTACTGGGCCCAGGTCGACATTCGGGGCCCCAGTGTCCACGCCCCCCGGCCAGGAGCAGCCTTGCCGCCAGCGGAGCCCCAGCGCCGCCCTGAGGCCTTCCGCGCTCTCTGCCTTTTGCAGTGGCAAGGCCTTCATCTCCAACCCAAGAAGCCACTTCTCGCAGTGCCAGGCTCTGCTGAACAGGATCTCCTCGGCGAGCCCGCAGACGGAGATCGACGGGCTTCGGAACATCTGGATCGTCAAGCCCGCGGCCAAGTCCCGGGGCCGGGGTGAGTGCCGAGGAGGACGGCTGCGGGGACAGCCCTGCGGGGTGAGGAGTGGGCTGGGCACCAGGGTCCATGGGCTCAGACTCCCAGGCTCCCGGCAGCCTGGTCCCGGGAACAGGCATCTAACAGGACTGTCCTCCCGGCTTCTGCCCTGCGCTCTGCTAGTTCATTAGGAGGCTCCTTCCTCTTCCCAAGTCCAGCGGGTCTGCCGTTTCCTTGTTGATGGGACGATCCTGGCAACAGGCTCCTGCTCGCTGCTGAGTGGACGAAGGACCACCTCTCGGGCAGCAGGGCCCACTCCTCGGGTCTCTTCATAACCCACCTCGAGCCCAGGTGCTCGGGGCGGCCCTGCGCACCTTGTCAGCGTGTCCGTGGTGACTGTGTGTCCGTTTTATGCCTCATCTTCTCGCGTCGCAGCCATGACCATGTTCTTCTTATTCCCCATGGTCAGCGCTGTGTGCTTCTTTGTGTCTTCTTTAAAAAGAAGATTTCAAGGTAGATTTGTGCTTCCAAAGAACAACTTTTGGTTACATTTTTTCTCAATGTTCCTTAAGGGACATTTCCCCTCTTGGCTCTGACTTAAACGCTAAGCTTATTTATTTTCAATATTTCTTGTGCAACAAGAAACTGCAAGGCTATGAAATCTCCTCTGGATATGGCCTTAACGGCACCCTTTTATCCTATCTAATAAAAGAGAAACATGGTAATTAGCTGTACATCCGCTACTCTTCCCATTGGCTAATCAGGGCGATATGCAAATTAACTGACAGCCAAGATGGCGGCCGGCAGCCAGGCAGCTTGAAGCGAACATGAGGCTTGTTTGCTTCAGTGACGGAGGACTCCAACGTTTCCCGCCTGCCACTGCCGGCCTCTGAGCTTGCAGTTTGAAACATTGTTACAAACATAGAAGCTAAACAAAACCCCAGAAACCTGCTTTCAGCCAGCCGGGATCTCAGAGCTGGAGTTGAAACAGTGTTTCGATTATAGAACCCAAACAAACCAGATACCTGCTTTCAGCAGCCGAGGCCTCAGAGCTGGAGCCAAGCCTCAGAGCTAAAGCTGGCCCAGAATAAAAAAAAAAGAAAAAAAGGAGCAGTTGGGAGCTTCAGTCACCCGCCAGCCTGAAAACAGCCCTCAGCCCCTCACCCAGCCTGGCCAGGCACCCCAGTGGGGACCCCCAACCCTGAAGGGTGTGTGACCAGCTGCAAACAGCCATCATCCCCTCATCCAGGCTGGCCAGGCACCCCAGTGGGGACCCCACCCTGATCCAGGACACCCTTCAGGGCAAACCAGCTGGCCCCACCCGTGCACCAGGCCTCTATCCTATATAGTAAAAGGGTGATATGCCTCCCGGCACCGGGATCAGCGTGACAGGGGGCAGCGCCCAAACCCCCTGATCGCCCTGTGGCTCTGTGTATGACAGGGGGCGGGGCCACAACCTCCCTATCCGCCCTGCTCTGTTTGTGACAGGGGAAGGCGCCCCAACCCCCTGATTGCCCTGCGGTTCTGTGTGTGACAGGGTGTGGCGCCCCAACCCCCCCCCCCCCCACGGGCCCTGCTCTATGTGTGACGGGGTAGAGCCATAACCTCCCCATCGGCCCTGCCCTGAGTGTGACAGTGGCGGCGCTCCAACCCCCTGATCGGCCCTGCTCTGTGTGTGACAGGGGGTAGTTCCTCAACCCCCTGATCGGCCCTGCTCTGTGCATGACAGGGGGCGGTGCCCCAACCTCCTCATCGACCCTGCCTTGAGTATGACAGGGGCGGTGCCCCAACCCCACAATCAGCCCTACCCTGAGCATGACTGAAGGTGGCATCACAACCTCCCCATCTGCCCTGCTCTGTGCACGACAGGGGGCAGCGCCCCAACTCCCCAGTCAGCCCTGCTCTGAGCCCGACCAGGGGCTGCACCTAGGGATTGGGCCTGCCCTCTGCCACCCCGGAGCAGGCCTAAGCCAGCAGGTTGTTATCTCCAGAGGGGTCCCAGACTGTGAGAGAGCACAGGCCGGGCGGAGGGACCCCCCCCCCCCCCGAGTGCACAAATTTTTGTGCACCGGGCCTCTAGTTTGTTATATAATGTTCTCATTTTCCTGAGCCTCTAAATATATTTTTCTTTTCATTTGGAGATTCTGTTGGCCCCTTGAATTATTTTTTTGTTGTCATTGTTTTAAATTCACAAGTGGTTAATTTTTATGTGACTTTTAAAGATCTGTTAATTTGATGTTACTGCACTCTGTCCTAAACATCATCTGTCCCGGAACATTCTCTCTCCCGGATGGAGCAGTGCCAGGCCTGGGCTCTGTCCTGAGCCCAAGGCTCTGGATGGCAGCGCTGTCTGTTCGTGGCTCCCTGCTCCCATCCCTCAGGCCAGACCTTCTCCCACTGCACCCCCAGGGCACCCACAGACTCACCTGGTCAGGACCCCAGAGCACCACTCTCCTCCTGGTCACTGGCTGTGTCCCCGCCTCTGAGTCCTCCCTGCCCTCAGCTCAGCATCACGCCATTGCTGGTTGCTTTGTCCCAGCCTTTCCTTCAGGATGGCAAGGTCTCATCTTACTGCAGCTGGAGACCAGCCTCGTGTTCTTATGAGGAAAGCTCCCCTCCACCCTCATATCAGTCAGGATGGGCCAGGTTGTGCCGCGTAACAAACAGTCCCCAAACCTCAGTGGCTCTCAACGAGGCCATGAATGAGCCTCACCAAGTTCATCCCTCCTCATGCCCGTTGCCCATGCAGCTTGGCATGGGAGGGTGGTGTGGGGGGCTCTGCCCACCAAAGTCCCCCGCCCTCTACGGTGTGACACCACTCGCTGCAGGCCTCAGGGTTGCCAGGGAAAGCGGGCGCAGGGTCTGTGGGTGACAGCAAATGCTGCAGCCGGAGCAGTGACGTCACTTCTGCTCAGACATCACTGCTCACGACTAGTCACGTGGCCTGACTTTGGGGGTGAGCGTGAGAAACCGTAGCCCCCTGCAGAGTGGAGAAGGGCCAGGTGGGGGTGAGCACTAGGGCACCCAGCCCACCCCCGCTTGTCCAGTCACCCGTGGGCGTGAGGCCTCCCTGGACCCTCCCAGTGGGCGGAGCAGCCCACGCCCCTGCCTGCTGGCTTCCCAGAGCCGGCCTTGCTCCCCTGTCCAGCCATACCCGCCACTCCCTGGCCGCCTTCCCAGAGGGCCTCTGTCCCATCCTCACTCCTCCCTGCAATCCTGGGGCTGCACCGGCTGCAGGCTGGACCTGAGGTCAGAGGCCGCCCCACCCCCTGCCCCTCGCCCTCGCGCTCCCTCCCCTCCCCCAACCCCTGCCACCCTGCCTCTTGCAGACATCGTGTGCATGGACCGCGTGGAGGAGATCCTGGAGCTGGTGGCCTCGGACAACCTCTTGGCCAAGGACAAGTGGGTGGTGCAGAAGTACATCGAGACGCCGCTGCTCATCTACGACACCAAGTTCGACATCCGGCAGTGGTTCCTGGTCACCGACTGGAACCCCCTGACCATCTGGTTCTACAAGGAGAGCTACCTGCGCTTCTCCACACGGCGCTTCTCCCTGGACGACCTGGACGGGTCAGTGGGCGTCGGCACCGTGGGGTGGGCCCGGGCAGGGCGCCCAGGCTGTGTCTGCTGTTGCCCACCACCCACCACATCATGCACAGAGGGGAGGCCCAGGCCCCTGTCCCCCAAAGCCAGCGCTCTGCACGCCCACCAAGTGTGAATCTTCAGAAAATCCCGGAAGCACCCCCCGTCCCTGCGCCCGCTTCTCCATCTTGGACCCCAGGCTGCGAGGGGTCCCTGAAATCGATTCTGCGCAGGTGTGGCCCCGCCAGACGGGGTGAGCCCCGAGGGTCCGTCACCCTAACACCTGCGGTAGGGCAGCTTCCAGACTCTTCGGTGTGCCTGAGTCTCTTTCTTCTCCCTCTTGTGTCTCCCAGAGTAAAACTTACCCACGGCCATGGGGGCGGGGGCGGGGGCGGGGCCTGGACCAGGTGGGAATCCCGGACACATGTGCATGGACATGACCTCGAGAGCACCCCTGGGGTTCAGGGTTCCCAGAGACGTTACTCTGTTTAGAACAAGGCCCGAGTCTAAGTGAATGAACTGGAAAGGTTAGTTGGTGAATCCTTCTCCCCAGACCAGCTCCTCAAAGGCCCATCTTATTGCCGTGGACATTGGGGAAACTGAGGCTCGGGGAGGTTCCTAGTTGGTGGCCCGGGCTGGTGGGATTTTTAAAAAAAAAAAATATATATATATATATATTGATTTCAGAGAGGAAGGGAGTGGGAGAGAGAGATAGAAACATCAAGGATGAGAGAGAATCACAGATCGGCTGCCTCCTGCACGCCCCACACTGGGGATCGAGCCTGCATCCCGGGCCTGTGCCCTGACTGGGAATCAAACCATGGCCTCCTGGTTCCTAGGTCCACCCCTGAGCCACACCGGCTGGGCATGGGCTTCTGACCTGGCCCTGGTGCAGTCTGTGGGTCCCCCAGGCAGGACGGGGAGCTGTTGGCGTCCCTCCTGCAGCGACCTGGTGCCAGGGGGCGGGGCCCCGGGTGCAGCTGGGGTGTGGGTTTGGGGGCTGGGGCTGGGTAGGGACTCGGGGGGCGACCCTGACCATGGCTTGGCCTTGCAGGGCCATCCACCTCTGCAACAACTCCATCCAGAAGCACCTGAAGATCGACAAGGGCCGCAGCCCGCTGCTGCCCTACCACAACATGTGGACCAGCGCGCGCTTCCAGGAGTACCTGCAGAAGCGCGGCCGCGGCTCGGTGTGGGGCAGCGTCATCTACCCCGCCATGAAGCAGGCCATCGCCAACACCATGAAGGTGGCCCAGGACCACGTGGAGCCGCGCAAGAGCAGCTTCGAGCTCTACGGCGCCGACTTCATCCTGGGGCACGACTTCAAGCCCTGGCTGATCGAGATCAACTCCAGCCCCACCATGCACGCCTCCACGCCCGTCACGGCCCAGCTGTGTGCGCAGGTGCAGGAGGACACCATCAAGGTGGTGCTGGACCGCAAGGGCGACCGCAACTGCGACGTCGGCAACTTCGAGCTGCTGTGGAAGCAGGTGCGGGCGCCGGGCACGGCTGCCCAGCCCAGCGGGGGCGGGGGGACCCAGGCTTCGAACTCAGGGTGCTCCCAGGGCCTGGCCCTGCCCCCGCTGGCTGGCCCCTCATGCCAACCGAGCAATGGGGTCACTGGGCTTGTGGGGCGCCCATGGCCGCTGGGTCCTTCCCTGCCGATTCTTGCTGGGCCCCCCTCTTCTCTTCGGGGAAATCGCACCCTCGGGGGCCTCCGCAGGCCATGGGGGCGGGGGGCTCTGTGCCAGCTGCTGGCTCTGTGGGTGGACCCTGCACCGAGGCCTCCCTGGAGGGCGGGCGGCCCAGCATCGGGCAGTGTAGCCAGTGCTTCCCCTTGTGGCCTTATGCCTGACTGGCTGCCTGGGAAAAGGGGGTGCTGGTCCCTGGGGAGGGCAGCCAGCGCTCCTAACCTCGCCCCCTCGCCCCCCTCAGTCTGCTGTGGACCTGCCACCGGTCTACGGGTCTGACCTCTGCGTGGAGGGCGTCAGCGTGCGGAAAGGCAAGAAGCAAATGCCGCCCATCCCCCACTTCAGATTCTCCCCCTCGTTCCGGGACGCGCAGCCGCTGAAGGCGCGGGGCCCCACGGCCATGCCCGACCTGGCGCCCGGACCCCGGGCCGTCCCGCAGCACCTGAAGCTGAAATACGGAAAGGTGGGTGCCGGAGCCCCTCCCCAGGCGCGTCTTCTGCTCTGAGGCTCAACTCGGAGACAATGAGGCCCGAACACCCGTCCAGTAGGCAGTCGCGGGGATGCCATCGTAGGCAAAGTGCACCCCCTGCCACCGGTGCGCCTGGCACAGGGAAGGCGGCGGGGACGCTCTCCCACTGGTGTCTGCGCGCAGGGGCTCGGGGCCTGGCAGCGGCCGCGGTTGAAGCAGGGAGCCGGCGTGATGCTGCCGCTGGCCTGAGCTCCCAGCCAGGGTTGGGGTATCCTGGCCCCGTCCCGGGCCTGGCCGGGTTGTCAGGAAAGTGGGGGTTCTGTCACATCAGTTTCAGGGGCCGACCGAGCGTGGGGTCTCCTCCACAGGATGGGGGGGACGCACGGTCTCGGGGGACTGGGGTCGAGATCTGAACCATCACTGGGCTCTCGGGATCCGTTTTCTTTTCCTTTCTTTCTTTTTTTTTTTTTTTGGTGAATCTTCACCCAAAAAAAGGACATTTTTCCATTGATTTTTAGAGAGAGTGGAAGGGAGGGGGAGAGACAGGAACATCCATGTGAGAGAAACACATCAATTGGTCACCTCGTGCACATGCCCCAACCGAGGTACATGCCCTCGACAGGAATCAAGCCCGGGACCCTTTGGTCCGCAGGCCGACACTGTCCACTGAGCCACACCAGCCAGGGCTTGGGTTCAGTTTTCTGAAGGAGCCAACCCCATGCGGCCTGGGGCCCGTGCTGGAGCTGGGCTCAGAGCCCAAGGCAGCTGGCACTCGGCGTGGCCAGGCCATGTGGGCACCCCACTGCTCCCCGTGGTGCCCAGCACACAGCAGCGGCCCAGAGAGTGTGTGTGACCCAAAGGTATACATTTTACTAATACTTTCAAATTCTGCTCTTGACATGAGTCCTCATGGGTCTGGAGTCGATTTTTGTATACAGGGGTGGGCAAGAGGAGGTGGACAGTTGTTCGTGTGGAGCAAGGCGGGCGCGTCGTGATCCTTACAGCAGCTGTATTAGCTCTGTTTCACGTACTCACACTGTAAACCTACTTCTGCCCAGCCCTGTATGGTGTGAGGCAGGGATCCCATTTTACCTTCGTCCAGAACGACAAGATTTTTTCCCAGTTGTTTATTGAAACCCACCCCCACCCACTCCACTTTTGTCCACATGCAGGTCTGTTCTGGAGGGTCCCTCCCACTCCACTGGTGAACTTTCGTCTCCTGTCTGTTAGGCACCTCAATGCCAGAGCTGCCCCCCTGTTCATCCGTGTAAGGACCCTGTCCTTCTTGGCCTCCTTCTCTCTGTGTAAATGTCACAATCGGTTTTAAACGTGTTTCACAAAAACCCTACTGAGACTGTGTTTGGATTCGCACTGAATCCATCGATTCGCCATGGGGACATGAACTAATGAAACTGTGTTTCCCTTCCCAGAACATGGTATGTGTCTCCATTTACTTAGGCCTTCGAATTGTATCACTTTCCCAACGGAGCAGACGTCTCTTGTTAGATCTCTTCTTGGTTACTTGATGCGCTGAACTATTGCACGTGTTGTCACTTCTCTAAATTCCCTCCTTGCTGCTGCTGGTAGATAAGATGCAACTGACTCGTACGCAGCATGTCCCAAAACATGTACACCAAGCGTGTCAAACTCAAAGGCTAACACGGGCCAAATAAACAAGGTTTAAGTTTATGTGGGCTGCAAAAAAGCAAAAGCTTCAATGTTCATAGAAATAGAGGTTTATTTTGATAGAGACGTGCTGAATGCAAAGGACTGAAATAAATGAGTCATTGTTAACATAAAATAATAGGACGTTTTATTTTATTTTATTTTATTTTATTTATTTTTTAAAGATATTTTATTGATTTTTACAGAGAGGAAGGGAGAGGGATAGAGAGTTAGAAACATCAATGAGAGAGAAACATCAATCAGCTGCCTCCAGCACACCCCTGACTGGGGATGTGCCTGCAACCAAGGTACATGCCCTTGACCGGAATCGAACCTGGGAACCTTGAGTCTGCAGGCCGATGCTCTATCCGCTGAGCCAAACCAGTTAGGGCTAGGACATTTTAATAAACATTAATATTTTTTCTTGAACATTAACTTGCCACACACTGACCTATTTTTCTTGTTCTCCGAAAGCGAAATATTTCCTGTTGCCACACCAAACAAGTCAGTACAAGACTAATGACGTGGCCATCGGCTGCTAAAATATTCGCTGCTAGTGTTAGTGGAGAGAAATGGTGCGCCTGCGTGTAAGGTGCGTAAGGGAAATGAATGCAACACGATTATAGTCATCAGTCATTAGCGAACGTTGTACTTTGTTATTAATAATTATGTATAACAGGATATTGTAAAAATTAAGTTACGAAATTTTTATTAAGATGTTTCTTACATGCCATTATATTGTCTGGGTCGCAAAAATATTCATTGTGGGCCACATGTGGCCACGGGCCGCGCGTTTGACATGCTTGGTGTACACACCCTATAACAGCTCAACTGGTGTTTCTTTCTTTCTAGCCCAGCTAAGCTATGAACAAAGGAAATTCATCCTAAAATACTACTGGGGATTTGAAAACACAGTTGAAGTACAAACGCTGCCTTTATAATTATTCAAAGTGTGTATTTTGGGGGACAAAAAGATGTATACACACTTGCTGTTGTTGTTAATCCTCACCCAAGGATATTTTTTCCTTTGATTCTTAGAGAGAGTGGAAGGGAGGGAGGAGAGAGACACATCGATGTGAGAGGGACACATCGATCGGCTGCCTCCTGCACGTGCCCCAACCTGGGCTGGAATCAGGCCTGAACTCAGGTATATGCCCTTGACCAAGAATCAAACCCGAACCCTTCAGTCCGCGGCCGACGCTCTAACCACTGAGCAACTGGCCAGGGTAGTACGCACACTTTTAACAGCTGGTAACTCACTTAATTTTCACTCCTTTTCAGGTTTAACTGATTTGAAATAATGGGTGAAGCCAAAGAAAATTTACCCACTATCTTTTTTATGGGGACACATAACAGATAAAGTTTATGATACAAAACGGGCTACAGTTGACGCGTGGAGGGCGCACAGATTCCGAGCGAAATGTTCTTGATGTTTTGAGTCCACTGCTTCGTGTTACCAGCAGCGCCAGGGCCAGAGGGTCATCGGTTTGAAAACAGGTGTTGACCCCAAAAAATTATTCATTTCTGGAGATGCTTTTAAATTTTGAAAACGAGCTGTATGTTAATAAACGCTGACTTTATAAGCATTCGAAGTGTGTACACATGTGGGGGACGCCCTCCTGCTGATTTTCTCTGCCACCGCCGTCCTCAGGCCCGTTACTTCTGAAGACTCGTGTGCCGGTCTTCTCGTTTCTCCGTAAGGGGCCGCGTTGCGTGCAGATGGCGCCACACGCTCAGCCCTCGCCACTGCCTCTTCCTGTGCCGCTGGAGCTGTGGGCGCCCTGGTTGGAGCCCTGATTTTAGAGGGACGGCTCCAGCATCTCCTCGTTTGCGGGGCAGGGGTCCAGGTCTTTATAAAGACACAGACGCAGGCGGGAATGGGAGGCGCTCCGCACGCCCAAGTGCTCTCTCTGCGTCTTGGCCAGGACGTGCAGTGACGCTTCTCCAGCACCTATTTTCGCTGTGAGGTCGTCGTCACCTTCAGTCCTTGGCACTATTGTTGTTGTTGTTAATCCCCACCCAGGGTATTTGTTCCATTGGTTGTTAGAGAGGGAGGGAGGGAGGGAGGGAGGGAGGGAGGGAGGGAGGAGAGAGGGAGGGAGATCGATGTGAGGAATCGCGCTGGTTGGGTGCCTCCTGAATGTGCCCCCACCAGAGCTGGGGTGGAGCCTGAACCCGGCACCTGCCCGGACCGGAACCGAACGTGTCTTCCTGGCTCATAGGCCAGCACCCGGCGGTGTCCTGCGCTCAGAAGTTCTGTGTAAAAAGCCCTGTGGTCATTCCTCTGGCTTCTTCCTGTTGCCTGGACTTTCTAAATGGCATTGAAGTCACGTCGTGAGGAGCAGTCGGCCTCTGATGTCGGGACCGTCATCGCTGGGGTCTCGGTCATGTGCGTGCTGGTGTGCCGGCTCTCTCGTTTTCTCATAAATGGCTCGTTTTCTTCAAACACTGAATTGGGGGATTCTCCGCTCCCTTCCGGAAGGCAGGCCTCGTCCCTCCAGGCCCCGGGAGGGGCTGGGACCTGCAGCAGACACTGCCCCCGCCGCCCCCCCCCCCCCCCCAGCGCAGGGAGGACAGCCTGTGGAGAGACCTGGGGGCGTGGCTGGCTTCGGATCCCGGCATTGCTCAGCACGGAGCTTCCTTCCGCAGGCCCTGGGCAGGCAGGGGCAGCCTCTCACAGTTGGGGGGGTGGGGTTCTCACCCCTTGGGATAGTCTTTTGCCCTCGCCCGCCCACCCGCCCGCCCCAGCCCGGTTGGCAGAGCCTCAGGAGGAAGTGCCTGGGGCTCCCTCGCGGGGGCCAACGCTCTGCTGCTTTTAAGAAGATGCTTTTCATGCTCAGCGCTGGGGGGGGGGGGGGTTTCCCCAGGAAGTTTGGTCTGGATCCCAGAACGCCCGTTCCTGGGCACCTGGGCCGCCGGGGGCTCCGTCGGTTGGAGCATCGTCCTGTTCACCAGCACGTCTGTGGCTTCCATTTCTGGTCAGGGAACGTCCCTAGGTGGCGGGTTCGATCCCGGTCGGGCATGTACTGTGGCTGTTTCTTGCTCCCTCTCTTTCTAAAAATCTATAAAAACATATCCTTGGGTGAGATTTTTTTTTTTTTAAAGAACCGCCCGACAGAGCTGCCCCTGGGGTGCCGTGCCTGCTCACCCCAGCCCTGCGCCCGCCCAGCCTCTGCCTCCTGCGCAGGCCCCGGCCTGTCCTGGGGGCCCCTTTCCGGCTCAGTGTCTGCTCCAGCTCCGCTTCCCTCCTGGAAGCTGCAGGCTGCTTTGCATGGGCCCCGGGCCCCCTCCTCTCAGACCTGAACCCGGGAGGAGTGTGACTCAGCCAGGCTGTTGGCAGAGGGCAGCTGGCACGTGTTCCTGGGGAACCATGGCTGGCTGGGGACTGCCCTGGCCCCAAGGCCAGGTGCCTGGGGAGCGCCCCCCCCCACCCTCCCCATTCTCCCCATGGGGCCTGAGAGGCCTGCACGGAGGGGGCTCGGCCCAGGTCCACCCCACTCCCTGAGGAGGGGCCAGAGGCCTGGGGACCGGAGCCAGGGCCGGCCCACGGATGAACAGAGACCTGGGTTCCTGGAGCCGCCCAG